ACTTTGTAGTTTTATACCTATGACGCATCGATGTCATTTATTTCTTTTGATTTTTCTTACAACTGTTTTTTCGCAACCTTCGATTCTCTGAATTACCCTAGTTGACTTAATCTCAGTATACTGAGAAATTAAAACTATGTAAACTTGTATCAAGTCCTGCATTGTTTATTTATTTAATAACACAAAATGACTACTGGAACTTCCATTTTAGAATACCGATCAAGGACAAAGAAGGCAAGCTAATCATCGAGATTCAAGAACAGATGAGTAGAACACTTTGAGGAACTCGTGAATGGAACAGCTCCATTCAATCCACCACCCATTGAAGCAGCACAAACAGACCATCCTATAGATGTAACTCCATCAACGATTGAAAGAATCTGTATGGTCATCAGACAAATCAAGAGTGGGAAAGCAGCAGGACCTGACAATATACCAGCTGAAGCACTAAAGTCAGGCATTGTTATAATCTCCTTCTTACGGTTATGACCCAGCTATTCCTATTGCTTAGTATTCTCGGACACCGATTCACTCGACAAGTCCCCAAATCAGAACACGGTTGAACAGAAAAGAGATTATATTCCAAATAACAAGGTTAGATGGAAGTAAGATGCACAATAGAGAAAACGTTAGTATATTTATAGTTGTTACATGAGAAGATTCTAGAGCATTTTCCAACTACCGACGAGTGCTGATTGACTAATTCTTATTCAATCAGCGCGCAGCAAAGCAATCGTGCATTGAGCATGCTTTAATCCAGTCTATGTCCCGCTACACCTCCCCTTTGAGCAGATTCGTAGGATCTGGTGCTAGGGTCCAACTGCAACCGAGTGACTGGCCTGTGCTCTCGATTAGTCCATCGTCTAGGCAATAAAGAAGTATCACTCTTTTCTTGCACAGAACCTGATGTGTTTTGATTTCAAAGGTGTCTAGCAGAACATCAAGAGGTAATTGATATTGAATCTTGTTGCTGGCTATCGAAGTTGCTTTCAATTGGTTAGCATGACGTTAGCATGACTGAGCCAACTAATACCTCGTAAACCACACTCCCCTTCTTTTTCAAGATCCGACAAGCTGTCCATGTAGGATGTTTTCCACGATAGTCCATAGCAAATACTTTTTGTCCCACCGTAAACAATCGTCTTTGTGCCCCATGATGTCGATTGAACTGATTCTTCATCGATAGGTTTCGTTGGGGTTCAACAGCTGGCGAAGGACGGATGACATAGAAATGTGTTCGTATCTTTCTGCCAAGTTAAGCTTCTGCTGGAGAGACCCCGTTAATCGTCTGAGGGTTCAGTGTAGAGCGATATGTAAGCAGGAACCTCTCTAAGATCTCTTCAATGGTCCCTTCCTCTTTAGATTTTTTTCGAGCATTTTTAAATGTACTCACAAAGCGTTCCGCTTGGCCATTTGATTAGAGATGGAATGGAGGTGTCCGGACGTGATGGATTCCATTCTGCTGACAAAAGTGTGAGATTACGGACGTAAACTGTGTTCCGTTGTCACTAACTATCGATTCCGGGATTCCGAAACGATTGAATAGTTGACGCAGTTTACTGACTGTGCAGCTTGCAGTCGAGTGTTCCATGAGAAAAATTTCTGGCCACTTGCTATATGCATCAACCACCAAAAGGTAAGTTTGTCCATGAAGTGGACCAGCAAAGTCCAAATGTATACGCTGCCACGGTGACTGTGGTATTGGCCATGATTGCAGCTCTGCTTTTCGCGGTGCTTTTGTTGCTAATACACATTTGGTACACGAATGGGATAGCAGCTCCAGTTTGGTGTCTAAATGCGGCCAGTATGAATAACTTCGTGCCAGTGCTTTCATTCGATTTATTCCAGGATGTCTTGCGTGCAAATTTTCAAGCACTGATGGTTGTAGCTTCTTGGGGACTATGACACGTTCGGCAAACAGCAGGCAGTGGTCAATGATTGAAAGAGAGAGTCGGAGAGAGAGACGGAAACGAAAACGGGGAGAGATTTGCAAACCTGTGTATGTTCAACAAATTGGTTATAGACGATACAGTATTACGCCACAGACGCATACACAAAGGTACATGGGTCTCACCGGATCGCTCCACGGAGAATCAGATAGATCATATTTGTATCAATAAAAAATTCAGAAGGACAATGAAAGACGTGAGGAACAGGAGAGGAGCTGATTTAACTTCAGATCACCACCTAGTTGTAGTCAAGATGAAGCTGAAGCTAAACAAACACAGGACAACTGGAGAAACGGCAGTACAAAGGTTTAATACAGCCTTCCTTCCAAATACTAACAAACTCAACCAATTCAAGATAACTCTCAACAACAGGTCCCAAGCCTTACAACATCTACTCAAGGAAGATAAAACTACAATGTAAAACAACTGGAAAGTGATCAAAGAAGAAGTAACTTCGACATGCCAAGAGGTGCTGGGCCGAAAGAAGCATCATCATAAGGAATGACTCTATGTCAAAACCCTGGATAAGATTCAAGAAAGGAGAGCAGTTAATAAAATTTGAACAGGAACAGAGAAAGTCAAGGAACAAGCTGAATACATAGAAGCAAACAAGCAAGTAAAGAAGTGCATTAGATCCGACAAGCAGAAATACGTGGGATGCCTAGCAACCAGAGAGGAAAAGGATGCAAAAGAAGGAAATATGAGACAGCAATATGACACAATCAGGAAACTGGAATGGAAATATAGTGAACCAGAGACACCGGTCAAGGACAAAAAAGGCAAGCTAATCACCGAGATTCAAGAACAGATGAGTAGAACACTTTGAGGAACTCTTGAATGGAACAGCTCCATTCAATCCACCACCCATTGAAGCAGCACAAACAGACCATCCTATAGATGTAACTCCATCAACGATTGAAAGAATCTGTATGGTCATCAGACAAATCAAGAGTGGGAAAGCAGCAGGACCTGACAATATACCAGCTGAAGCACTTAAGTCAGGCATAGAAGTAACTGCAAAGATGTTCCACGTTCTATTCAGGAAGATTTGGGAGAAAGAACAAGTGCCAACGGACTGCAAAGAAGGACACCTCATCAAGATACAAAAGAAAGGAGATCTGAGCAAGTGGCAAAACTACAGAGACATCACACTACTATCAGTACGAGGAAAAGTTTTCAACAGAGTGTTGCTGAACCGGATGAAAGACTCAGTAGACGCCCAACCTCGAGATCAACAGGACGGACTCCGAATGCACTGGTCGTGAACAGATCAAATCGCGACACTACAGATCATCGCTGAACAATCTATTGAATAGAACTCGTCAATATGCATCAACCTCCCTGACTATGAGAAGGTGTTTGACAGATTGGATAGGAAAACCTTCTTTGACACTATGGTGTACCTGAGAAGACCGTCAGCATCATCTGGAATTCATACGAAGGGCTACATTGCAAATTCGTGCATGGAAGACAGATGACAGACACATTCCAAGTGAAGACCGCAGTCAGACAAGGCTGCTTACTCCTGCCTTTTCTCTTTCTTCTGGTGTTCTCTTGGATTATAAAGCCCTCCACATATGAAGAGAAGCACGGGATAAAATGGACAGTACAGATGCGGCTAGACGATTTGGACTTTGCAGATAATTTAGCTCTTTTATCCCATACACCAACAAATTCAGGTGAAGACAGTCAGTGTAGCAGCAATCTTGGCAGCAGTAGGCCTCAAAATACACGAGGAAAAAGAACGATCCTGAAATGCAACACAGAGAGCACCAACCCAACCACACTTGATGGAGAAACTCTGGAGGAGGTGGAAAGTCTTACGTACCTGGGCAACATCACCGATAAACAAGGATGATCTGACGCAGATATGAAGGGAAGGATTGGCAAAGCAAGAGCAGCATTCCTACTATTGGAAAATGTCTGAGACTTAAAACAACTTTTAACCAACATCAAAGTCAGAATCTCCAATACCAACGTCAAGACAGTTCTACTGTATGCATCTGAAACTTGAACAACTGCTACATCCATCATCAGAACAGTACAAATATTTGTAAACAATTATCTACGCAAGATACTCGATATCCGTTAGACGTTTAGCATCAGCAACAGCCTACTGTGGGAGAGAACAAACCAACTTTTAGCTGAAGAGGAAATTAGGAAAGGAGTCAGGAGATGGATAGGACATACATCGAGGAAATCATCAGACTGCATAACGAGGCAAGCACTAACATGGAATCCTGAAGGGATGATGAAAAGAGGGAGGCCAAAGAACACACTGCTCCGAGAATCGGAAGCAGGCATGGAAAGGATTAGTAGTAACCGTAAAGGATTGCCCAGAACAGCGTTGGATGGAGAATGCTGGTGGGCGGACAATGCTCTAACGCGGGTTAACAAGATTAATTAATAGATTGGTTTTTTTAGAATGGAAAACCTAATGATTTACACGTCCCAATCTTATACTATAGAGTATGATATATAGCAAATTATTTTGTAGTCCAAATTTTTTCTTAGAAAATGAAAACGTCAATTTACAACTGCCTAGTTCAACGGTTTTTACTGATTTAGAGAAAAATCGGAAGTTTTTTGAAAATCAGAGTAAGGTCATCATAGTTTTTGTCAATATGTGCCTATAACCCTAGTCAATCAGTTAAAGACTAGTCAATTAAAGGGGCATACTTCATCGTGAACAAGATGATCTCGTTGCAATAATCAGTTGAAAACTATAGAACCATCAAATTGAAGATATTCCTACATTTAAAAGAATTCTAATCAAAAATAATACAAATTGCTTTGCAACGTTATGATGAAACTGCATTATTACCAAGAGAACTTACAATATTTTAGCTAAATAACTCCTAATGTATTAAATATAAAGCATATAACATACTAAATTACTGATAGTCATCGGCTACAACAGCCCTGTAATAAACTTAAAAATAACTAGGTATTGTAATCTGAATACTAGAGCAAAAAAGACCTAAAAATATATATGATGATAACGGATCATTATATGATTGAAATAAAATTTTCAGTAAATGAAAGGCATGCTTCCAATACACACGAAAATAATTTATTTATACTGATTCTGAGAATACAATGAAATAAATGCACACTAGCTAACATCCATTTCAGAATCGTCTTTAGTTTGAAATAGAAAATCCCAAAGAGCCATATCAATGTGATCAGGTATTCGATAATCATCAGGATTGTTCACATTGACAGAACAGTATTCCAATGATTGATTTGGAAGGGATATAGATCCTTGCTTAGGTTGCAAATACCGACCAACAGGATTAGATACTAGTGTCTCATCAAGTACCGTATGTAATAAGGGAGCCAACTCGGGGCCTAGATCATTCAGACCATTCCGTAGATTGTCCATGAGATTAAAACTACTAGAAGTTGAAACTGGTGTACCAGGGACAGTAAGATCATTAGCTGCTATCCTGAGTTGTTCGTCTGCTCGTGTTAAATACTGTTCAGCCTTTTCGACAGTTTCTGCTCCTATGTTAACCTGAAAGTAGATGAAATCCTTGTATAAGTATCATGAAACACTGTATCTGTGTATATTCATTTCGAGTTGCTAGTCGAGATAAGTCTAAGTTGGATTTCGATGATTGACTAGTAAAAAATGATTGGGTTTATGCTAAACAATATTCGGATCAGAACGATTTGATCAATCTTTCACAAATTAAAATCGTTTCATGCGCTAATTTTCTCTTTCATTCGTGTGATACATATTGTGACAACTTTAGCCGATGTGTATTTGTGTTATAACATACTTTGATGACAACTAACTAGAAAGTATTTTATAAGACGAATAACTGCCTGAGGATGACTAAATTTAATTAGTCATTAAAATTCAAGTGAAGAAACTAAATATAACTCAGATATATTGTAAAGGTATGTATGCTAAGCCAGTTCATATTATTATGTAACGGCTAGTGATATTACCCGACCATACGAACTACGATATGTGTCTCGTGTTTTTAACCTATGACCGACTAGTTGAGAAACAAGTGTTTAAAGTAGAAGGGTGCAACCTTAGTGCGTTATGAAGGATGATCATGAATTTTGCAGTATATTGGTTGCTAAAATGATGAGTAGGAAACTAAATGACATGATGTAATGTGGTCGAAAGACAGCTGTCCACAACGATTTATTGAAACATGGTCCCGAGTGAGCTGATATCAAAAGATAACACACCAAGTCAGTAAAGTAGTTCCTTGACAATAAAATAATACGATTGTATGTGAAATAAGCGACTGTTGGATATGTTAAAGATTACTCACGTAGAAATGATACTGGGGCCTGACTACTAGGTTTAATTGTTGCCCATTAGATCAAAATGAATCTCAAGTAATTAGAATGACGTTTATATAAGTGATCTAATAGTTAACTATTTACTAAATAAACTTTAGATCTGAGTGACTTAGATAACTAACTGTTACACAAGTATAATGCTGATAGTCCAGTGACGGCAATTATACGACAAACAATTCGAAACCAAACTTTTTCACGAGTACAGCGGTACCATAAATATAGTACAAACTTCCCTCACAATAAAGATCCAGTAACCTGTCGTTGAATTTTGAATTCATGCAATACTGAAAGAATTCAAACTCATGCATCGGAAATAATAAACCATTTAATTATTACATTTTACTCTGACCTAATTACATAAAATTTGAAAGACTATCTTTCAAGCCGGAGTTAATTTACTTAAGGACTTGTCTTTATAGTATGATTTCTTAATTACTATACTTATTAACTAGACTATATTTAGCGCAAGTAAATTATTATAAATTATGGAAGTAGTTTTGTTTATTCAGAGTGTAGTGTTGCAACATGTATGGATGTGAAATGTTTTTCACAAACTCTTTACACAACTATTAAATAAAATAAATGATTGAAATAATTAATAACCTGATATTTAAGAATTTCTCGAAGTAAATCTCTGGCTTGGTGTTGTCGGTACTCATTAACAAGATGATGCATATTAATGAATAGAATGGCCAAATGATCAAGCTTTTCTGCTCGTTTACATGAACTAGGATCACGAGTGATGATGTCCAACAAATCCAAATAGTTAGCCAATATTGAAAAATTAATTTTTCTTAACTCCCGCTTACGATTATACGTCTGATAGTAAATGAAAACAAATAAATATAAAAGTGTTTTTATTGAAACAATTGGGACGCTAAAATATGATCCTGAGAGTAAAGCATCAATAATAAGTACTCAACTAAGGAAATAAATCGAACCCCATAAATAGTTAAAGAGGTTATGACAGATAAAAATAAATTAACTTATGAACCAAGTAGATCTGATTTGTTGTCGCTCTTCATCATGTTCGGAACCTGATGGGACGAGTTTGCGAGAATCCATCAGTGTGATAGTCTTTGAAGAAATCCACTGGTTCTTTGTAACTCTGTGGTTTAAGTCACTAATAGATTTCATTGCTGTTTCCACAGCTTTTCCTGGAACTTTTGGTTTTCTCGTTACTCAACTCAGTTCTAATGGGTCGTTTTAATGTGGCTTTTTTTGCGTCCAGTGAGGCGCAAGCAGATGCGTGCCCGTTTACATCTACATAGAAATTGTCTGCAGACTAGGTTGTGTCTATTTTGATGCGTTTTACATTGGACTCTTCCATGAGATCTCGACGCATGCCAAGGAACACGTAAGTTACACACATAGGCCTAATAATCTTATAGAATTGGAAAATCTACCAGTTAAGCTAGATCAGCAATAGCAGTTTATGCTATTTCCAATGACCACCAAATTGATATTAAAAATATCAAAATAGTTCAGAAAGGTTTTTCCAACTATAAAGAAAGGGGAGTAACCGAAGCGTTTCATATAATACCAAATCCCTCTGCCTTCAATAGGAAAGAAGATCTTACTATTTATCCAACAACCAGATTTGACGCTATTTATTTACCTCACAATCTGCACACATTCAGTTTCAATTCTACTACTTCATATTAGAAATGTATACATTTTTTATACCCACCTGACATAAATTAATAGTGACATGTCATATAAATTCACCTTAAGCAAAAACAACTTAACATTGACATGTTCAGATTCATTAATATTTTGATTGTACTAAAAATATTCTGCAATGTTTCCTCTGTACTATTTAAACTTGTGTTGATTTTATCTCGATTATTTATTTGCTCAGAAGTGACGTATGTTAAGTCGCGAAACGTCAGAAATACAATTTCTACTCATTGGGATATGACAAAAACATATTACTAACTTTTTACCCAGAGTTCAACTTCTTTAGAACTATTAAGTCCAACATTGGCATGGATACCTATTAATTTTAACTTTTGTTCTTTAACGGGTTTCCGTAATTAAGAAGCAATTTGACCTAATAATACTTAGTGACCTCCATCTAACCCTTCTAAATTTAATAGAAATATATCTTCAGAATCACGGTTCGTAGTATTTCTACTACATTTTCAACTATTTTTTAAGACTAAAATAGATAGATCTGTTGGTGAACTAACCTGTGGATAAACTCGACGAACACCTTGTGATTCCAGAGATCGGAGGATGGCATCTTCAGAATTGTAAAAATTTCCGAACATTCTGTACGCAGTTGAACCAGGAGGGGTAGGTGGGCGTGGAGGGGTCTCGGTACTGAAGAGTTTATTTATCAGTTGCCAAGGTGGTGCTGGGAACAAACTGACATGAGAAGTCAAGTTGGCTTTTGACTTCTCGCTTCCCGACATCTTAGACAGCAACAACAGAAATCAAAGTCTTATACCGGCTTCTCGTGCACGGCTTTGGACACAACGTTTTAATATTTGAAATTCTTTTTCGCAAGAATTGTGCTTAACATCTTTTAATGACAAAACACATTTCGCATACACTGAAGATTCAAGGATGCATTGTGACAGTAAGGCAGGGTAGCGTAGGAGTCTTGTCTTACCGTCACGAACAACAGGCATTACCAACCCCCAACAGTTGCGTTTACTGGATTAATTAAAATATAAACAAGGTTAATTCAGATATGAAACACTTGAATAGGGATGAAATAGAGTGAAGTTTGTTATAAACAGGATTTATTATTTATTTAAACACATAAACATTGGTACAAGGAAGCAACGAATATATATACACCACACAAATCATTCGATCTGTGTGAGGGTTGGAATGCTGCTCAGGTGCCCAAACCGAAGTAGATGGTTTTCTTAGAAGGCCACTCATCGGTAACCAAATAGACGTATATGTATTCAACTTTTAGTTGCATATATAGGAAATCAAGACACAGTATCCAGATTCCTAACCAGAAATATATAGACTAGAATTCTCAAATGTGATAAGATGGCTCAGTAGAATGAGTTAACTACTTCACAAACACTAACATATAAAAGAAAACTGTAGTGTAAAGCACTGAGAACAATGTAGTCTCTTTGTATCACAAGTTTTCCACTGGAAGAAATATGCTCATAGAGAAACTGTATACATATGAGTCTCACCGAGTCTTTGTAGGCTTTGAGATAGTACATTCGTTGAGAGTTATTGAGTCTCTAACCTCAAACCAAGGGGAGATACGAATTAATAATTAATATTTATAAAACTTAATGCTCAAAATGGTGATAGTTACGTGATCTTCTCAAGTCAAACATAAAAAAATGGGGACTATGAAAGTCTTAATGAACAGCTGAACCAAGGGGTATGATGATATGTATAACTATGAATATTTATTCATTTCAAAAATGGGGAGCTCAAAAATACGTACACTTAGAGTTGTACAGAAAGTCTATATGAGTTATGCATATCGTAGTTTCTCTTCGCCTACATCAAAACTTTCTTTATTACAAATCAGCTACATTTCTCACATTAATATTCGACTGTAAGGTTATGAACTTTAGATCACTAATATTATTGGAGGTAAGTAATTGATGGTCATTGGTAGGAAACCTTGGACTTGTGTTTTGTGCTAGTTGGAACTTGTTAGCAACATCCAGGAGCTCCTGTTGATAATATGAGAACACGAGACACCAAACATAATCCACTTTGATGTGGATTACCGTTGATCATATTGCGACTTGATCGACAGAACCCGATCAGCACTAACGACTTGACAAATAGGACTTTATTACTCGGTGATCGATTACTGTAAAATAACCTTCGAGATGGCCCTCAAATGCCCTAGTATGGCCGAGAGTGGGGAGAGTTCGCTGCCCCTCTCGAAATGCTTTCACATGGCCACGCGTATATAACCTCTACCAGGGAAATCCTACTCACTGCCTTCTCGTGGTGGGGGTGTTTACGAAATTGAGAGGACAAAAAGCGAATGTCCGGTGCTTTAAGTGGGTTGGTGGACACGGAGAGTTCACCTAGGGGAGTTGGGAAACCCTGATTTTAAACCAATGGTGCACATGGGCTCCAGTATCCTGAGGGAGCAAATGGCGTATGATACAATCGTTGGCCACCTGCTACCACGGGACTGCATCTCCTTACGTTGCTCTACTGCCTTGTGAATCAGACCTTCGGGTCGAAGGCTCCGGGTGTGACCCCCTAAGAAAACCGCCTGCTTCGGTTTAGACACCCGGGCAGTATCACAGCCCTCACACTTCAAATGAGATTTGTGTCGTGTATATGTATCTGTTGCCCCTTTGTACCAATATCTATGTTAAAATAATTAAAAATAAATAACCTTTGAGATGTGAAACAAACTTGTGATGTTGATTAGAACAATACATTTAATGGAAGAGTTCTTTCTATTCTTATGAAAATAATAGATCAGGGAGTATGTTTAAAATGTTTATGCTACCTATCATACACTAAGTTTGAATGTTCGTACTGTGTTTTAGTAACCAACTGAGCCACATAACTTCCTAAATTTTATATTGACAGATTTGCTGGAATTTAGTTGTAGCAAGTTGATAAAACTGACTTTAAAAAATATTTATCTAATCAACTTCGAGTCAAACTTCTAGCAACAAAGGCTAGTAACATTGTTCGGCCTCCCGAACTCACGTAAATGGTCAGACCTAAGCACCGTAGTTGTAGCTTGAGTGAGCCCAGGATTATTTACAGGTGGCAAGTAACTTCGCATAGGACGTTATCTGATGCAAACAACAGTCTAATATGGAAATGTCAGTCTTTGTATACAAAATTGAGATGGCCTTAAAGCTATTGTTTATAGTTTTAACTCATAGTAGTATTTATAGATTTTTGTCATTGTAAAGACTGGTACTAACAAGTGCTATTTTAATGGTAACGGTGAATATCTCAAAAGAATGTTAATAAAAATAGGTTTTAAGTAGTTACATTCAATTGTATTTTCTGTTGGTCGTCAGTGCATAAATCAGATGCAGCTTCACAGAGAAGTGGAATGATCATGCACTCAATTACCTCATTACCATTAGTTAAACTAAGTACAGTTCCAGAACTGTCCCGAAGTATTATGTAGTACCCAATATGCGTGAAATACATTTTAAAATGTAGATATTTCGGCAGGTTAGTTAAAAATTTAAATTGATAGCACTCTAGGGCATTTTTACACGATCATTCTACAAAACATATGTGAGTTTCAGGTTACGACATGACCATAAATACTATACATAAGTATTCTCCACCAGAAATAAACATTTGGAGTTTATTTAAAAGTTTAGAACTTGTGGTTAAAACACCCAAATCTGAGGGCAGACATCAAGTCTAAGAGTTTGAATCGATTTACATTTTAGCAAGACAGTGAGAAAATGAACATGTTACTTAATTGTTCAACCGGAACCACAAGAATTGATGATAATGCTAACTCTCAACCTCATGAACTGAAGAGCACAAACATTAGTTATTCATTAATGCTCAGAAACACACGAAACATACATACCAGTAGGTCTTAAATGACCTTAAATAAATAATCAAAGGAAACAGTGCTCGTTAAACTGGGTCATTTACTTAAACAAGCAGACCTGTAACTGGTAATTTTTTTGGGTAGTCAGATTCTCAAAGCATGTAGTGTCCAAGCTTCACTGGATAAGTCACATAAATCATAAACTTTGGATCAAGAAGAAACAAATATGCAACTCAGTACTTATCACATTGTTAGTGCAGTTAAGTCTATTGATGTCACGAATTGTATACGTGTATTGAGTTGTTGATTAATTCATATTAACTACTGATTACGACAATGCATTAAAACTTGACTTTACTAGAAAAGTTATGTATATACACGTCAGTATATTTTGATATGGCATTGTATCTGCTGTAAATTAATTTTGTAGGGTCAATAAATCTTCATTTGCAGTCTCAACTGCTTTCTTACATCAGGGCACATTAGTCTCTGTTAAGTTAGTCGTACAGAGGCAACCAACCAGTTTTATTCTCTAACGGGATCTGTGGTGTAAATCCAAGAGCACTTTTAAAGTAATTATATTTTTCTTTAGTTCATGGTTAACGAAGTAAAGTGAATAACGTTTCAAACGCCAGAAAAAATGAGATAACCGCTCACTCATACTAGATATAAGAATTTTCAAGTTTGATATTATGAGATTAGGAGCGTGAGAACGATTAATACGGAGGGCTCGATTATCATTCTAAAGGCAACTAGTTTGGTATTTTCGAAGCTTTCGTGGTAAAATATAGCATCAAAAATACATAGAATGGGGGTAGTCCGTCGCTCTTAACTTAGGAAAAACCACTAGAGATTATAAGTGGCGTCCCCAGGGTCAACTGTTATTTTCTTTCTACAGATATCTCCAGACAATGGGATCGGAACTTCAACCAACAATTTTGAGCGTCCTTGTGCAAAAAACGCTCATTGATTCATTTTATGACCACTTAAGAATCCCAACCTGGAATGTTGATTGATTTAGTTTATCATTATTTCTTAATACATTCAGGGACAAACCTTATTTCAACTGCAATATAATCCCCAATCAACATAGATTACACATGCGTAGTAAGAATAAATCAAATCAGAAGCCGATGCTAGGTATGCATGAAAAATCGATTCTGAACTATAACAAAATTAAAGAGGTAACTGTGAAGTATTAATGGCCCGAAGTTCTTGGTCTTTTGGTTATTTTTGAAAGACGTTTAGGACATTGATCAAGATGTTTTCGGCGATATTACTGAGTTGTACAGAATAATACAAGAGATTCAGCCAAAGTGACTGAGTCTCAAATATGAAATTTACAGGTTTAAAATTAGGAGCTAATGACGAAACGAATTTTAAGATATGTCAATGAAGAAAGATCGGAACATTCAGATCTCTTCTCGATCTGTTCATACGTTAAATATTTGTGAGCGACATAATTATTTTGGTCCGAACACTAAAACATAACGTAGCAAAAGCCTACCCAGTTCTTCACGGGTATATGCAGTATGACTAGCCTTCAAAGATCAAACCTCCCTCTACAATATTCAAACGGTTCAAATGGTTGTGGACGGAATAGAATAAGCTTTCGCTTGACGGGCTTCTACGTCTAGTAGCAGTGGATCACTAATACCTCCAGGCAGGAACCTAGGTATACTAACGATAACAGATGGATAAAAGAAATTGATAAATCATAATATGATGTTATCCTTAGTCCTTAAGAATAGATCAAGTTGCCTCTTAAATAACTCCTGGGGAGTTACTTGGACTAGCTCAGCCGGCAGAGAATTCCAGAATTTGACAATTCTTAAAGAGTAAAAGCTCGTCGTTGGATACGTTTCAGAGTGTTCTTATCATTTTGGAGTGAGGGAGGAAGTGCTATGTTTCCGTACTCTAAATGCGGACGAATAAAACTGTTGAAGATTATATGGAAAGTTCTTCCGTCAAACTGGCCAAAAATGTGCTTCAATGCTACTATGGTGCGTGCTACTTATATCGATGTAAGTAGTATATGACGCGAGTTAAAAATGCAATGTCTGGCAGCAGAAGATGCGGGGAGATCAAGAAAAGAAGAGCGACAACACAATGTAATTCGTGAGAAAACGCATGAACAATGAAATGTGAGACAATGGATTGATGTTTGCAACAGGAACAGTTCAGGTTGATATGATGTATTGATATTTTGTAGATTAACGATTTACTATATGGTTTTTCTATTTTACTAAGTAACTCTGTAATTCTGTGCTAAATACAATTCGGTTGTCCTCACATGTGTTCTCCTTCAATACACTATCAGTGCAAGGTTTGCTCGAAAGTCGTAAGACCCCAAATCATGGGGTGTCAGGACTCCTAAATCTTCTTCGACTTGAGGTACTTCTAGTGAGGAGTTTCTCAAGTTGTAACTGTAGTTTGCAGAATGTCTCAGATAGAGTTGTTTACACTTTGAAATGTTGAAGTAAGTCCATTTTCATCTGCCCAACTTTGAAGTCGAGTCAGATCCTTCTGAAGTGCCAGTATATCCTTTTGGTCGCGTATCACTCTCCAAAGTTTCACGAAATCAGCAGAAAGTAATACGTCAGACAAGACCTTTTATGGAAGATCGTTTATATAAATCAATCTGCTCCATCTACGGACGAGACTTCAGTGTCACATACGGATCAGCAGACCACGCCGCCCTTGACTTCGGATGAGATTGCAGGCTCACGAAGTACAAACGAGACTAGCGTCTCACGTTCCAGTCGCCGAGTACGCTTACCCGTACGCTTTCGGGACTAACCGCACAATCAACAAAGGATACAGTATTGGACTCAATTCATACACCATATGCATGCTACACCTTTTCTCTTTTTCTTTGATTTTTGTTAGTATCCTCAGCCCATACCTCCGAACATTGCCTGTTTGGTAGCATCGACTTCAGTCAATCTAGGCGAAAGCTGGCCTGATCACCCACGCTCTTATCAACGCACTCAGTCGATATTCTGGCTTCGAATCTGTCTGGCGTATGTTTGGTTTTGCAATTGGTTGTTATTATTTGTTCGATCAATGAGGTTCCGTCCTACGTCTGCAGCGTTTTCTGGTCCGTATTCCTACGAACGCAATCTTCAGATCCTGGATACGAACCACTCTGGTTTGGTATGTTAACTCAAGCAACAAATACACCACGTTTCTCCTGGTACTGTTCTACGTAAAAGACCTTCAATGGCAACTCGAGGATCAACGATCGGTTCCTGTTCCGCCAACCCTTTCGTCCTACAATCACACGTTTACAGATCAGTCACATGAACGAGACCGCTACGTATCGAATGTGCAAACCCTTTCTAACGGGAGGGCTCCTGTAGTAATATACTTTTATCAAGAGAAAGTGGTTGGTATAATGGAAACAATTATTGTTATAACCAATTGTACCAGTGATTGTTTTACTCTACCTGTTCGTTTAACTGTGCTAAGAACATACATTCTTCTTTTGATTGTGACCTTGCACAAATTCGGTTACGCCCAGTAACCGCACCCGTAACCTGGCACGGTCTCGGTATTCTTTCGATACCACGAGATCACCAAGAAATATACCTCGACTACAGCCATCAATTGCCTACTGATATTTGACCCAAGGGGGATCGTATCGATTAATTGGCGCATAGTCTTCCTGTAGTGGTGATCATAGTCAACCGCTACTCGATGCCACACTATACTTTAATAATGTTAGCATTATATTTGTCATAATTGAAAAAGAGAATAATAATAATGATAATAGAATAATAATAAATCAGGTTCTGTGTAACTGAATTCGAGTTTAACGAAGTAATAAACCACTTTTAGGTCATCGGCATAAAGGAAAGTTCTACCATACTGAAAGAGGGTGCACATGTCATTGATAAAAATGAGAAAGAGTAATGGACCAATCACACTTCTTTGTATAACCCCACTAGTTACATTCACAGATTTAGAGTAGCAAGATCCAAAGCGGACGATTTGGCTATGTTCTTCTAAAAACCATTTGAGTCAAGAATTAAGGGGATTTTGAATGCCAAATGAAGAGAGTTTTAGAAGAAGGAGTTTGTGTGAGACACTTTCGAAAGCCTTACTAAAATTGAAGTACAGAGTTATCACTGACTGACCGACATCTCTTCTCTGGGTAATTTGATCCAAAAATTCCAGGTGCGATGTGAAGCATGAACGCTTAGTCATAAGCCCGTGTTGGGATGGGCTAATCAGACTAGTCGGAAGTAAAAATGTTGATAGCTGTTTGTGGATGATTTTTTCCACGGCTCTTGATAGAGCGGATGTCAAATTAATGAGCCTTTAGTTAGCAATATCACTACGTGATCCGTTTTGAATCTAGAGATGATTTCTGTAGAGATGGATAGGTCCCATATCCCATAGATAGGATGAAAAGTTTCAAACAAAATAACGGGAAATCTCTACTCTCATATTTCACAAATGATGAAAGGATCCCGTCAGGTCCATCGTCATAAGACTTTTTCAGAGCAGCTATGGCCTGCTTGATGTCAGAGGATATGAAATCAATTTTGGATAGGTATTTGGATATCAGCATTAGAAACGTATTGATTTTTCAGTTCCACTTTTGTAGCATTGAGAGAAATACTGGCTGAATTGTTCGCAAATAATATCAGGGTCGTCAACAATGGTTCCGTTAACTATGAAGAATTTAGTCATGCCAAGAGATTTCGACTTCGAACGGGATTTGAAAAGCCGAAGTATTGATAATTCTGGGCTTTTACTACCTATGGCTTTGTTTTCTATATTCATAAAGTACTTGCGTTTAGATGAAGCATTTCTGTCGATTAAGTTAAGTATACTCTGAAGTGCATACACGTTATTATGTTCATAGTAGCGGTGTTTTAATTTCCCCAGCTTTCTTTTAAAAGTTTTAAAATTATTCTGGCCTCTATTAGGTTCGAACATATCGACGTTAAGTGTGTGGTCAGTTGTATGAATGTTATGATTAGTTTCCCCGTTATCCATTGCAGTTACTATAACTAAGCGTTGCAATAACAGGAATTTGAACTGTGTTATCGAGCTCATCATCAGCACAACTACTTCGAGTTGAATCCAAATCAATATTCTTCTGTACGCGCCGTTGTTATCGATTCGTTTGTATTCCGCCCAACAGTGCCTTTTGCAAATTAACAAACGAAGAGTGCAATTCTTGGTGATTGTAGATTGCTTGTAGATTTTGAGGACGGTTTGAGGAACAGAGTGTCTTGTAGCACATGAGATCGTGTGCAATAAGAAATCTCAGTGAGCATCCACAACAAGTTGAGGGTGAGTTTCCCAATCCACCTGTAGTAAATTATCCTGTAAAGTTGACGCATTTAACCGTTTGAAATTCAAGTGCCTGTTGTTGGTTGGATATCTTAGCTCAGTTTTTCTGATAAAACCGGTGTTCAAAACATAAGAAGGATTGACGTTATGCAACATCAAAGAAGCATGTGTTTATGTAAACATATTTAATCTTCATTTCTACTACTTTCTTTAATCCTTGTGGAAGCTGTTTCATTCTGCGTTCTGTTCCCGCCATTTCAAAGGTTTTTATAAAGCTTTGAGAGTCGTACTGTGCATATATTTTACTATTTATATAAAATTTGACTTCAGAACACTCAAATATCAATTGTAATGGATCATTCCTTTCAGGATATAGGTTGTGTATGCTTGTGAATGCTTGACAACTTTTTTATCTGTAACTCCTTCGTAATCGAGTATCTCGGACCTAGTCAAAATGGATAACACGAGTTAATAAGTTGGAAGAAATGTTTGGAAGGCAGCCGATATGTTAAGGAGCGTCAAATATGTGGCGGTTAGTAAATCCCCAAAATCAATAGCTTTGCACGTCTTCGACAAGTGATGCTGACTGCATTGGTTTAAGTGGACTCATTAAGCTGAAGATTCTCGGTCATGCATCCGCACCAGACCACGAGTGGGTACGCCGTGCCTCACATCTACAACTGCTGGCCAGTTTACATTGGTCACTTCTTGATTTATCGATATGTTATCAAATAAATCTTCAATCCTCTTCTCTTCTGAGTTCTAATTTCACTAGGTTGGCACGTTTTAATTAAAGGTATTACTGGTTAAGATGTTGCCGAACTCCGAATACTTACAGCATCTTTGATGGTAAGCCTGATGTGATCTGGTACAATCGTCCGTAAACTGTGAATTCGTTTCCTTTTGGAACTTCATATATCATATTTTTACTTTGGTTTCTAGATATTGTGATATCTTTTCACATTTTGGGGCATGTTTTTCTATTTCGTTTCTTTACTTTGTGTTCATCATGAACGAACAAACTCTTAGATTATTTGAGATCAAAACCCTCATTCCAGCTAATGCCGTTTTCGCCTGACAACATCGAAGCCTGTTTCTGCTACGCAGAAGCTGACTTCTACAAGCATTGTGTGACCGATTCACGTGCACAATTACTCGCAGTAGTGAAGGCACTACCACGCGATTTATACAGGTACGCCAGACTTAATAATTTTACTGGTGATGTCTCGGAACCTTACGAAACCGAAAAACGTTTATGATGAAAAGTTCCACTCGTCGTATTTGTTTTTGTTTTTTTCGTCTTTTCCGAGGAAAGTAAGGAATGTTAATATAAGTTTATGTCGAAATGCGCTCACACTTCAGCAAGCAAAAGGTGTGTAAGAAACCCGGTGTTTACACGTTTATATACCAGGTGGCAGCAAGAAATGGTACACGAAAATGGTCTGTTTTTAATTTTCTATGAAGAAATTATGCACATGTTTAAGCATGTTTGAGAGCTGACTTACTTTTGATTTCAATGCAGTAAGAAGTTAAAAACCAACCAATTGGCTGTGGAGCACTGGAAACGCAATATAGAGGCTTGTAAAATAACTTGTACGCGGCATTTTACACCAACAGATGAGTCAGCAACCGTGCAAGTAAAAAAGGGTGCACGCTCGGAAGGTTGGGAATTAATAAGATCGACAATAAAAATACTGTTCTTTTCATAAATCCAGAGTTTATTAGACAACTTTGGGTGAGTGAAAATGTATAAGTCGTAGAATTGGTTACAACCAGGTATTTGCTGTGAAAGCGCACCAAAATATAATGTAACTTTGCATATATTTATTTTGAATAAAATATTAGGCTTGATTTTATAGTGAAACAATTGAATATGAGGTCCGAGATGAGCAAACATCCCCTTCAATAGATTATCTCGTAGCTTTTTCGAATAGATGTACGATATAACTGAACCGGAGTAATAACAATTCGTTATCGAATTCCGGAACTTACAGCGTTTATTAGTGTTTATAGACTCTTCATACATTGAAGAAAATACTTTTTTAGTTGGTCGTAAGACAAAAGTATAGATGGTGAGGCGAACATATTTCACATAGTTAGAATCATCATTTCGTTTTTCACTGATCATCTTCATTATTATGATACCTTATGATAGTCGCTCTTAATAATGCGGACCTTCGTGATGGTCAAACTTTTATTTGTCTATCTCATTATTATTCTTTCATGTAGGAGTGCGCCATTTCATAAGCTCACACTTTTGACTTGTGAATTTGATGTTCGGCCATTCTTCGCCTTATTTTTAATGGATAATACGTGATGTAGATTTTCAAGTGTATTTGGAATGTTCAACTTCTTTGAGAGCGTGTTGTTTCGGCAAAGTATCATAGTGGTTGTTATTTATAGGGGATCGCATCTCGGTTGTGTGAACTGTGCTGGTCGATTGTGCGATAGGAAGTTCGTAGTAAAAGAAATTAAAATATAAGTAATCTGATTTTAGATAGTCGATTCCGATGTTGCCCTCAGCTGCGTTTGTTATAGCCGAAGGTGATCGAAATCTGACATTAGTACATTATGTACTAAATACCTAACTGACAAATTGAGCGAGAACACAAGAGTGGATGACGAAGCATGTTGGGCTACCGAACGAAATATATATACCTATATATGTAGATCTACCACTCAGAAGACAAATCGATTTCTCGGCTAATGAAACGGACCTGATTTTCAAGTGATTTGCGATTGCAAACAATTAACCTTTTTGTCTAGCTACTTCTGATTAGTTTGATTTTTCGCCGTCCTAAACAAAGGTATTACGACTGCAGTACCAATACTCGTTTGAAAGAAGGACTAACGAACTGAAATCTATTCGATTAGGCAAGACTAGGTTCTTCTGTGCATCCCTCAAACAGTACAGCCTATGCTATAAGGTCGAGGGTTACTGTGACACAAACTAACATGCGAAACAACAAAAGGAATGGTTAATAAAAAGGGGTTTGATGCCTGAGAATCCATGACAGTATTCATAGCAAGATTGGATCAGATATCTATCTGCAAGGATTTTAGCAATCTTTCCGGACATACAGACAAATGTTAATAGCCACACACCGAACAACGTCATGACCTTGAGCCCAGTCAAATAGTACCTTATTGTCAGAAGTCTGGCAACATGCAACAGAAAAATTAGGTAACAAAGGTAAGTCTTTAATCAAAGTCACATAATAAACGCTCAGGCGATGAAGACTATAAAACACAAAGTGTGGTTAAAAGAAACCTGAATAAGGGTTAAAGTAAACAGCACAAAGAAGAAACAAATGAATGACAGAGCTGTTCAACTAAATGCTGTCAATGGTCCTGCCAAATCAAGATGAAAATGTTCGAAATGAGTGTCAGAAGTTGAGAATCAGCCTACGGAAAATGTATTGTTTATTTACCCCTTATTTCATGAAGCTTACACTAGAGCATGTCCACTCCTTCGAATCTTTACTTATACCAGGATTGCCAAATCGTTTTGATCTGGGCCTGACGGTTGTTTGAACACCTGGATGTGACAGTTTGTGCAACTTATTGAGGGTACTATGATGACAACGTATCAGTACGATTGAGATGTGGATTACTAACGTAGATGATCTGTGTCGAATGATTGGAGGCCTACTCAAGTTAGACGGGAATGGTGTGAAAAGCCGGCCAACTTCGAAGTTACACCTTGCGCTCAGCACCTAACATGGATTATCCTTTCGTCGTATCATGGTACCATGGTTACTTTGAACGTCATATAACACAAAGGATGTTATTACAGAAATACATTAGTAAGAGAAGGTACAATGAAGAGATTGAAACGACCACCGCATGGACCAGTCCTCGGCGTGCGATTAAATGATGCGCATTGGTTATCTCATGAATTGACAAGGACCAGTGAATTGTTCAACATTCAGTGACCCGACTGCCGGATATATTGGCTATGGCACAGTAACATTCCACTGGCCCTACAGAACCATCCCTATCTGTAGATGTGTCACATAGTAGTTTCCTAATCTGTTTAAATCCGTTTGATTTGCAATTTCAGGGTTGTTGAAAATAACTCGTACTGAAGATCAGTGTCTTTTTTTTGAATTTGGGAGAGTTTAAGGAGATCAATTCCTTGAAAAACTGTTAAAAGAAGTTACACGGGGTAAGGTTTATAAAACTACATTGTTTGTGTTGCGGAGGTATTAGGTATTCTTCATGAAAGTCCAGAGGGTCCCCGAAAACTTTGAGAAACATTTTATCTAAGTAGATTTAAATATGTGTATAATAGAAGAATTCGAATTAATGTGCTAACTAAGAATTCCGGAAATAGTACATTTTAGGGCAGATAGAACGAAATGAACGTATTATATTTGCAACTCGTAATCAGAGGACAGTACAGTACAAGTATCTTGGAAACACCTAGAAAGTGAATTCACATTTCTGACTGAATGGCTAAGGTTCCTGCTAATATATTTAGAGATGCTCCGGGAACTTTCAGAAGCCTGTGACAATTTGACACACCGTAAATACTTTTGACTTCATATAAATTAACTTTGGACAAAAACGTTCTCACACACTTCGCGCCCTTCCTCTCGTTTTCAAGTTGTCATCTAAATTCAGTCTAGGGTTACCAGGAAAACTTGAGAAACTGATTAAAGAGTTCGGTTGCAAGACTTATCACTTTGTCTCAAAAACAATTTGTATATCTGAAGTGCGCTATGAGTTATAGTACAGTTGTTATGCATCTCGAATGTTCTGGGTTCACTATACACAAGCATTTTTGGCTTGTTGGTCCTTTTCTCCACTTTTTTGATTGCTTGCTCTCTATTTTCGTACATTTAGGCAGTCTTGACCTTCATGGGATGCTAGGCTGCTGAAAGTATAAAAGAGGTGTCTAATTGAGTGTGTTATCGGAACAAATTCATAGAAATATTAGTATTTGAACTTACTTTATGATGGTCTGTTTCAGGTGTCCAGAAGCATCCAAAAGGTTGTTTTTTTCATAGAAGGTAAATACTTTGGATGTGAAGGGTATGATTGCTATCCACACTATGGGACCATGATCATTTGGACTAACTTATTCAGCGGACTTTTGAATGTAAGGTCACAATGAATCAGCTGCTTCGTCTTGGCAGTCTGAAGCACCTCACTGGAGCATCCGCTCCTAGGATATGTTACTCTACATTTCCGCTAATTAATCGTGTTGAGCAGTATTCAGCACGTCTGGTATATATTTCCTCATATTTTTCATTATGTAGTTTAAATCAAGATCTAAGTGGAAATGGGGATCTACAAATGCTAGTAAGTAAAACACTCAGTTCAATAATGTGAATCGGCAGATTATTCCAGTGGCCATCAAAGTGATGATCCTTCCAAAAATAACCCAGACATTGTGGACATTTATGCATTAGCTGCTGGTGGTGCTTCAATCGCCCTCTTGTTAATTGCGTGGTGGTTAATTGCTAATGTACCCCATATAACCCAAGTAACTTTCGGAATGCTCGTATCCATGTTGGAAAGAGGTGAAGTTCAAAGGATACAAATAACGTCTTCCGGTGATGTGTACATTCTCACTTATCAACATGGTCAACTGCCTGTAAGCTAATATTTTATCTAACATGCATGCCATAAGCACCTAGATGGGGTAAAGATTTTGTATTTTACAGCGCTTAAGATCCTAATTAGCGAATATCTCGATGGGTCAGGAAGATGTACTCCTTTTTGTACCAAACTTGGAGTAACCAATCCTAACAGGTCATGTTTTTTTTCCGTTTTTTAGTTCAAGTATAGAACTTAAGTTCAACAGTAATCTGGTACAAAGTAATTGATTCAAGGTACCCCGATCGTGTCAAACCTGAGTAATTTCAGTCCCAAGTCGTAGATGTCTTCTGTAAGCAATACTGAACTTTAGGTTGAAGTGTTTTATATTCATATGTCGGGTGACAGTAGACTTAAGAATTTTCACCATTCGAAAACATACTGTGGTTATGGGCTTTCGTAGGTTACCTTTCATTTTATCCTATAATTATATACAAGGTCTCATTCTAAACCACAGGTAGTCTGAATTAACAGAATCTGTACTTTTGATTCCTGTTATCAGTGAGATTGACTGGTTGATTCTTATTTTGAGTTTCTATCTAAAGGGACTTGGAGGATTGAGGCACAATTACTACATATTCAACTTGATTTTTGTTGATCTTATCCAGATATTCTTAGTTTTTACCTTAAGTTTTCTATTCTAACGAGTCGGAAAAATGTTTGTTACTTAAAAACTCCTTTATGTTTTTAAGATATTTCCTAACTACTTTACTATACCCTCACTTGTTAATCATCATCCCAAATTTTCTGTAGCTGGTTTTGAAGCACTCAGTACCTGTAAATGAATTTATAAAAAAATTACGATCCCTAGAGGATATGTGGGGCATTGAAGAACATGACCGTATCCCAGTCCAGATGTCTGACTTGTAAGTAAATTTATGATGATTTTAAAAGTATATGGCTTACCAACCAAGTGAATGTTTATATATTAAATTATTCATGCTTGTTGTTTAAGGACTTACGAAATTACTCAACCAAATATTCAGAATAACATTTAAACATTAAGCTAAAGCAGCGAGTTGTAGATTTATGATACCCACGATTGTATAGAGGAAAGTATCCGTTGACGCACACTGACCTTGAATAACGTCTTACATTTTATATGATGTTATCAGGTATGGTCAATGTTAGAAAGGTATGCGCCGCATATATATTTGGTGCCTCCTTGTACTAATATTTATGTGTTCAAATAAATAATAAATAATAGGGAGGTATACCCATAACGAATAAGCTTCATACTTTCATGGACAAAATGATCTCAGTAATCTGACAGATCCAATCAACGCTTGTGAACGTGTCCATGTAGTTGTTTGTTTCGTCAGTTAACTTTGTATGCCGAAAGTTACCTACGCGATTCCTATATAGACACTTGTTTTATTTTTGTACTGGTTCTGGTTGTTGTTTGGATGTAATATACCTAAAATTGGCGCTGATTAGCACTGAGTTGGTCGTGTCTAGTTAAAGTAAAATGATTGACCAATAACCCTCAAATGATGACGTAACTGTAGAAAATCGTAGTAGCGAGTGTTTAAAAACATTCCTAAAATTTGACGAGGTCGAATTTTCGTGTCATCACGATCCTGCATATACTGAAAAAACTGTTTCACAAAATTTAAATCATATTACAAAGTGACCAATTGGTCTTGAAGTAATCTAAATAAAATCTAAGTATTCATTCTATCGTTGGATTTTTTTCTTGTACACTTACGAACCACTTTCATATAAATACCAAACTTCTTAAAAACCCTTTTCTGCGTTTTCAAACTTATTCTCAGACCTTTGAACACGTTCATGCAAAGATGGAATACGAAATTGTGTACTGGTCTTCTACTTATATCTTGTGGATTGTTCACATTTTCAATGAGGAGAGTGTTGTCTCAAAAAAAGAACTTAGAAAAAGCAGCGAATAGCGGTATTTTGAAGAAGTCCATAAATATCTCAAAGTATCATGATGACCCTAAGCCACCGAAAACATCGAGTTCAAGTTTTGATTCTGAAAACGACCGATTTTCTTTTCGTCCACCCTTTCAGTGGGATCCAATTACTGGTTTCAATACAATTAAACCTACAACATCCACCGTGAAATTCAAGGTATATTTTATTTTAATTATGTTTTCACTTGTTTTTCAGTCATCACATGACATACGTAGCCTGAATAATTCAGTCGCATGTGTTATTTGTAATCAGATAGCTTTATTTTCCCAGTTTTACATTTTATTTTAATGCTTCACTTGTCCTTTATTAAGTATGCGAAACTAGGTGATGGTTAGTGTAGTTAAAGTCTATAAATGTTTTTCATTTGAATGCTAAGCATCGTGTGTTTAGTGTTTTTTAAAATTGATTTTCTGGACGTGGAACATTTTGCTAAACACATTTATTCAGGTCAATTACGTTGTTGTAGTTCACTGTATAAACATTTGTCGACCAATTAAATCCTATTCACCCCAATTTTTTAGTTAGAGGGATCTAGTGGTTTAACAGATTCCGTACGTATTAGGTTATTTATACAAGTATGAATCGAGTATTCAATTTACTTTGTTCGTAGATGCCACAACATGATGTTTACTTAGAATAAACAAATGGCCTAACAGTTTACAGGATATGAGAATCAAGTAAATTCTTATGCCTAGTCTTTTGTAATCCATTTCTGTTTGCGTTTCCTCCCCGTAATAGTATGGTCAAGTTCCACTTGTAGGTATACACCGACATTGGTCTTTGAAAGGTGACTTTCAGCACTGTAAATGGCGAAAAGCTAGTCAGGAACTGGGGATGAGTAGTAATCAGTTAGTCATTCAGTCAGAAACAACGTACGTACATCAGTTCTAGTTGCCATACCACATTAGCACAGAGATGCAGTTGTCGATTCAAATCCCGTAGTTTTAGAGGTAGTAATAGTATAAGCAGTAATCGGAAAGATTAGGATTTGAAGATGTTATTCAAGGAGTTTAATCCAGTGGGATAAATTTGGAAAGAGAAAAAAAGAAAGGGATATGAAGAATTCAGAAGATTAGAATTTGGGAGAACACAAATAGTAGACGCACCTGCGCCATTACAAACGATTTTGAGTCATGTCACTCAAAGTCTCTAACCATCGGTTGCTATCATCTGGCGGATCCCAGCCAGGAAGTCTACGACTACCAACATGACTCAGTTCACTTGTCAATGACTTCATGGACTTGTGCCATATTTTGGTCTGGCCGCCTCTAGATTTCTTCCAACCTAATCTTACACTATGAAACATCGTACGTCGAGGCAGTCGGTGGTTGGGCATACGTAACACGTGTCCCAGTCATCTCAACTGATGGAGTTTCACTACTTCATCAATTGATTTGCCATCCTTATGTAGTACCCGTTTCCTAACAACTGCATTACTTACTCGGTGGTCCCAGGATATACGAGCAATGCTTCGAATACACCTATGATCGAATACTAGTAACCTACGAATATCCTCTACTCTTACCTACCATGTTTCACTGCCATTAAGTAGGACAGGACGAACTGCTGCGCAGTAAACACATCCTTTGGTTGATAGACGGATATCTCGCCTATGCCATAAATGACGCAAGTTTGCAAAATCTAGTCGAGCCTACTATATTCCTGCTGAGATTTCGTCACACACCAGACCACAAGGGTTGATGAGACTTCCAAGATAAGTGAAGCGGTTGACACGCTCAACTACTTCACTCCCTATCATTAATTCAGGTGTTGACGCTGACCAGTCCTGAAGCAACATTTCGCATTTCGAGGGGGAGAATCGCATCCCGAACATGCTTGCATTGTTGCTTAGAGTGGTCAGAAGACTCTGCATTTTGTCAGCGTCTTCACCAAACAAAACAATGTCATCGACATATTCTTAGTCATCAAATGAATCTCCCGGTAGAAGTTCAACCCCTGGAAATTTAGATGAGGAAAGTGTCATCTCTAAACGCACGTCAACGACAAAGTTAAACAAGAATGGAGATAATGGGCAGCCCTGACGAACACCACTTGAGGTAATCAATTCTGATGACAGTTCGCCATAAGCTCCCACTCTACCAGTTGTGTTCGAGTAAAGAGCCTTTACAAGGTTAATGTATTTCCTTGGTACTCCTTTCAGTGACAAACACTGCCATAGAACCTTACGATCAACAGAGTCGAATGCCTCCTTAAGGTCGAGAAATACTACCATTGTGGGGCGTCTGAATGTGTGTCTGTGTTCTAGAACCTGACGTAGTGTGAATATCTGATCTATACAACCACGTCCAGGTCGAAAATCAGCTTGATTTTCTCTAGTCTGCTCTTCACGAGCTTTGATTAGGCGTCGAAGTATTATTGAGGCTAATAGTTTAGACACTATATTAGTCAAACTGATTCCTCTGTGATTGTCACAAGAGGACTTTTGTCCTTTTTTGTAGACTGGTACAATCAGTAATTGAGACCAGTCAGATGGGATTGCGTCCAGTTCCCAAATACTACCTAAGACCTCAGTCAATCTCGCTGATAATACTGTACCTCTATCCTCAGAAATCTCAGGGGCAAACCTGTCAGGGCCTGCTGCTCTCCCTCGCTTCAGATTTCCTATGGCTTTTTCAACTTCGTAAAGTGACGGAGAACCTACATTAACTTGCCATTCAGGTTGACTGGAGATCATGGGAAACCGAAGTGTGGCTGAAGGCCAGTTGAACTGATCCCTAAAGTGTTCTGCCCATCGATCCAATCTCCTGGATTGAGAATGTATAATATGTCCATCTTTCTCTGAGAGTGTTTCGCTAACGGTCGGTTTCCTAATACCGTTTTCCTTAACAATTCTTAACAATTGTCTGCTATTACCTATTGCCGCTGCCTTTTCCATCTCTCTTTCTTTCGCTACCCACCACTGTTCGCGATCATTGCGCAGGCTTCTTGTCAGCTTGCGCTTAAGCTGACTCCGCTCTTCGTTATGTTCAGATCCAGATGGGATGAGTTTTTGAGCATCTATCAGTGCAGTAGATGCTGCTGAGATCCAGTGTTGCTCCCTAACCTTGTGGTTTACAGTACTAGCATATATCACTACTGTTTCCACAGCCTTTCGGATATCATTCCACGCTCCCTTGGGATGGGCATCACTTACATGGCTGCCTAACTGTTTTTCTAATTGTTCCTGAAATATATTCTTAGCTTGGCTATCATTAAATAGGACCCTAAGGGGTTTCCTGGCAGCGTCTTCCTCACGTCCAGCAAGGCGCAGACAAGTACGCGCTCGTACTAGAGCATGATATGAATCTAAGCATGTGCTCCAGTATGAGCGATAGTCTTCTATCATCCCATCAGGCTCTGAACACGATGAAGAGCGACAACAAATCAGATTTAGGTTAAGCAAAAGTCTAAGGAACGACCGTGAGCAGTGGTGGGCAACGAAAGCAAAAGAGATGGAAAAGGCGGCGGCTATAGGGAACACAAGACAGCTATACAAACTAATAAAAGAAATTGGAACTAATAAGTCAAGTGTAACTGAGATTATTTCGGAAAAAGACGATACTCTCATCTACTCCCAGTCCAGACGTTTAGAACGATGGGCGGAACATTCCAGAGAACAGTTCAGCTGGCCTTCAGCGACTCTACAACTACCCTCCATTCCCAGACAGTGTGAATGGAACATTGAAGTAGGTCCCCCAACTCTAGCAGAAGTTCAAAAGGCTATAGTTAATCTGAAACGAGAAAGGGCAGCTGGTCCAGATGGATTGGCTCCAGAAGTCTTTAAGGATGGTGGTCCAATTTTAGCGGTTAGGTTGACTAATATTTTAGCTAAGATCTGGGAGTTAGACGTTATTCCATCTGACTGGTCGCAATCACTTATCGTCCCAATATATAAGAAAGGATCAAAATCATCTTGTGACAACCACAGAGGGATTAGTTTAACTAATATAGTATCTAAAATACTAGCCTCAATAATAATCAGACGCCTAACTAAGACTCGTGAACTGCAAACACGAGAAAACCAAGCTGGCTTCAGACCTGGTCGTGGCTGCATCGACTACATATTCACCATTCGTCAGGTTCTAGAACACAGGCATACTTGTCGACGTCCGACAATGGTGGTCTTTCTTGACTTAAAAGCAGCATTTGACTCGGTAGACCGCGAGATTCTGTGGCAGTGTCTGGCATTGAAAGGCGTACCCCAGAAGTACATAAACCTTGTGAAGGCTCTTTACTCGAACACTACTAGTCGAGTCAGAGCTTATGGCGAACTGTCATCGGAATCGATTACTTCAAGTGGCCCGTCAAGGCTGTCCACTTTCTCCATTTTTGTTTAACTTCATCATAGAACTATTGATGGAAATAACATTCTCGTCGACTGAATTCTCGGGTATTGATCTCCTTCCAGGAGGTCCACTTATCGACTTAGGATAGGCGGATGACATAGTCCTGTTTGGTGAAGACGCTGATAGAATGCAGAGTCTTTTGGTAGCACTGAGCAACAATGCCAAAATGTTTGGAATGCGCTTCTCCCCTTCTAAATGCAAGTTATTGCTTCAGGATTGGTTTGCCTCAATACCTAAACTAAGGATAGGGAGTGAAGTGGTCGAACGCGTCGACAACTTCACTTATTTTGGAAGTCTGATCAGCCCTAATGGGCTGGTATCGGACGAAATCTCAGCACGGATTCGAAAGGCTCGTTTCGCTTTTGCCAACTTACGTCACCTTTGGCGAAGGCGAGAAATCCGTCTATCAATAAAAGGACGAGTCCGTTCTGTTTTAATTTACGGCAGCGAAGCATGGCCATTAAGGGTAGAAGACACTCGTAAGCTACTAGTATTTGACCACAGATGCCTTAGAAATATTGCTGGCGTCTGCAGGGATCACCGGGTAAGTAATGGTGAGGTTAGACACAGGGTATTAAGGAATGATGGTAAATCAGTTAATGAGGTTGTGAATCTTCATCGACGGAGATGGTTGGGCCACGTGTTACGTATGCTCGAACACCGATTACCACGACGTGCAATGCTAACCGGCGTTCGGGATGGTTGGAAGAAAGTTAGGGGTCAAAATCTGAAGAACGTGTAACAGTAGACTTAAATCTCTATGGTCGTGTGTTCGATTTTGTTTTCTATGGAATATTTTATTAGTCAACCAATTTATAACTGTACATGTTATGGGCTGCCAAACCAAAACGTGGCATCAGTGCTTGAAGTCACTAACTTCTAGTCTGAGCCATGTTGGTAGATGCAGACTACTTGGTTGGGGTCCGCGTGACTATCGTAACCAATGGTTGGAGACTCTTGGTGACATGGCTCAGAATCGATTACAATGGCGTCGGTGTATACACTCTCTCTCTTCCCTTAAACTAAAAGATTAAAATTGCTTCATATCTTTCTTTCTACGAACTAATTCTTTCTTCCTGTACTATATCCTTATTGCAATCTTACTTTTATATATTACCACCTCTGAATCAACTACTTTTATGAATCCGGTGTCCATCTTGTTGTGTTAATGAGGTATGGCAACTTGGATCGATGCATAAATGTGCCTAGTCCTACGTTGTAGCTGACTGACTTCTATCGAGCCCCTCCATCGGCAGCTGATAGCGATGTGATTTATTTGGGTCCAGCGTTGGGAGGAATTCGGGGGTCTCCATGTTAAAAGGTGTTTTTGTTTATGCTTAAAGTTAGTATTTGCGAGAAACAGGCGGTTATCTGAGCATAGCCTCAGCGAACAGTCGCCATTATTTGTTCTTTGAGCCACGACAACATAAGATCCACCCAGGTGTCTTTCCTTTTTGCGTAGTTTAACTACTTGAGCATTAAAGTCACCAGCCACTTTTACTACATCAGAGCGCCTAGCTTTTCGGAGAAGGTCGGAAAGCTTTCTGTAAAACTCATCTTTCACATCATCTGAGCTGCATTCAGTGGGAGGGTAGGCAGAGACGACGAAGAGGCAATGACGAGTGTCCTTATCTTTCCGAGTCCTTACTGTTCCGTTTAGTCGGACAGCGCACAAACAGCTGTCTACTGGGATTCAGTCTAAGAGAGCTAGTCCTTCACTAGGACTCAACGCTGTACTTACGCCGGCGAGGCCACGAGAAGCAGCATCAGGGCTTCCAGATACACGAAGTGTGAATCGAGCTGGTTCTTTATTTTGACATGGTGAGGTCAGATGAATGACGCTACTCGTACCCTGTATGCGCGTTTCGGAGACGCAGCACACATCGATGGCGCGAGATTCCTATTTGGCACAGTGTTCGAACGTTAAAAGCTCCTACATGTAGTTTAGAGCGTGGTTTCAGGAGGCCAGGAATAGCGTTCCGCGTACTCTAATCGTTTGCCCTAGCGGTGCAAGGTGATAAAGAAACGTGAGGAGGGTTAGTCATGGAAATAAGAGGGGTATTAGGTGTAGGAAGGATTTGAATGCGACCATTTTGGTTTCGTGCGCTGTTACGGGTATGAGGGCTGATATCACTTCCCGGCTGCCCACACCGTGGAAGGGTATTTATTGAGGAACCTGAAAAGGAAGTCGGATTAATGTTGGTCGTAACGACCTGGGGGTGTTGATCACAGAGCCCAAGGAACAACTGCTTGAGGCCGGTCACGCACGGCTTTTTTGTGGGAGGTTTTTAACGTGTTAGCTCCGTTCTTCAAAGGGCCTTACCGCCGGAGACGAAAATCCGTGAGGTAAGGTGAGGCGTTACATTTTTAGTTGTAGTACAGTCTTTTAGACGAGTGAGAACTGATGGGAATTGTTATGCTGTTGGAAATTTTAGTGACAACAAGTGATTTCAAGTGAAGTAAGATATTAGTATGAAAACACATTGTTGCTATCCTTGTTTCATTATAGTATCGATTTCTGATCACGAGGCGAAGGGTGCTAACCTTTCTAGGAAAGTTGGCTCTTGAGTTAACACAGTTACCATGTGAGGTTTTTCTAATGAACTGTACTTAATCGACGGATGCACTTCCAACTACATGATAGATCATGTGAAGCTGTCGTCCGAATTCGATACATAGGTATATAGAGACAATAGCGACACTCAACAATGTTTACATACAGATGAGTAGCAAGACTGTTGATACATTTACGAAATTTCAAATAAAACACTAACTTTGTCGCAAGAACATTGCTTTTTTGACTTGTTTGACGAGTATTATGGTAATGGCATTAATAGCCTCTATAAAATATAGCTTAAATATTTCTTTGATGATGATTTATGAACAGACATGACTTAAGAAAATGCGCAACATTAAAAGCATGCCGACTAGTCAAAAACCATATTTGAGAGTGGTAAGTCATTATTTGGAAGTTTAGAATCACGAAATGATCTCAATACCATAATGTTGATCTAATTTGATATGGTCCTCCGTAGCCTTGGTGATGGCTATGTATTCCAGTATATTGGAAAAACGCCCATTTCAAAACTTAGTAAGAAGAACAAATATAGCGAAAAATTTCTCTTCGTTTAATTTTCTATCATGTCTCTTTCGATATATATGTAGGTTTTTGCAGCTTTATTATCGTAATCATATATGTAGTTCCTGGAATTTTTTTTCTTTTTTTCATAACTATTTTAGGACGTCGCTGGTCTTCATGCATGTAAACAAGAAGTTATGGAGTTTGTTTCTTATCTAAAAAATCCTCAAAAGTATCAAGCGTTAGGTGCTAAGTTACCAAAGGGGGCACTTCTACTTGGTCCACCGGGAACTGGAAAAACTTTGCTTGTATGTGTTATATTCCATTTTTTTATAAATTCGATAAAATTTTCTTTCAACATACTTCAGTTGTTCCATTAAGTTTAAAATATATGTGAGATAATTTGATTTTTAAAAATTCATTTATAGGTGTATAAATGTAATATTGTTATATGGTGAATGTAATATCTCTGAGGATTTCATAACCATGTTATAAGATTTATGGCATTCATCATAAGGGCGCCCTGCTTGAGCATTTGGGCTACCTGTTCCTGCCATCTAGATATTTCAACAAGTTATCTATTTTTGTTTGTTTTAATGTATCGTTATGTCTATTAATCGCATAACCTATTCTGCTGCGTTTCTGAAAAGTGCACAACCTTTCGTTGTCAAAGTTACAAAAAACTCAATAAGAGACAATGTGGTTGCTGGCAATATACAACGAAAAGAATGTACATTATTCAGATGTTCATTTATTGGACTGTTAACATCTAACTGGCGATCACTCAATATTTATCGCCAGGACCGACCAAGAAGAAAGAAACGGAAACTTGTTAAAATACTTTACGCTGAAAATTCTATATTGTACCGAAAATGTAATATTGATTAAAGCTAATAATAATAATAATAATTTTTGAATTAAAGAACATAAAATAAAAATTTAGCACATATCTTCCATTCTATGTATTTCTGCTCACAAATTTTCAGTGGGAAACTTCAGTTTCTGTCAGCGGTATAATCTTCAGATTACTCTTAAATTAGTAATTATTTAAAGGATGTCTCTTTTTTGTTATCTGTGAATGTTGTATGGTGTAAATTACCAGTGCAAATATGATCAATTCATTCAATCGATTTTTTTCTACCAATCCTCTTTTTGACTCAATGCATTATTATCTTATCCCAAGACTTAGCAATATATTGTGAAAAAATTAAAAATGAATTTTATTGTTAATGATAATTAGCTATAAACTGAAATACTTTACCATTTAGGTTAAAGCATTGGCCAATGAAGCAGAAGTACCTTTCTTTTCAATGGCTGGACCAGAATTTGTAGAGGTTGTCGGTGGACTTGGTGCTCTTCGATTACGACAGCTTTTCAAAGTAGCTCGTTCTCATTCACCAGCTATAATATTCATAGATGAGCTTGATTCCCTTGGTCGACGTCGTAATTCTGGTGATCAGAGGTAATCTGTGATGATACTAATAATAATAGTAATTTTACGTTGTATGGGTACGTATTTGGTTTTCTCGATGATGTGTAAGAAAATTTCTCCATAAATTTATTTTACTTGCTCACTACTGGGACACTTGTTGGAATATCTATGATATTGAATACACAAATAACTATCGTGTTCTTGATTGGGATCATGGATCGATTGATGTTAGACCACCGTTGGAAACCTGGAAGCACTGGGCGGCCGTTTTGTCCTATTGTGGGACTCCTCAGCAGTGCTCGTTCATGATCCCGCTCGCGGGATTCAAACCCATGGCCTTCGATCTCGCGCACGAACGCTTAACCTACTCTACCACTGAGCTGGTATCCAATGGTGTTAGTGTCTAACATCAACCAATCCACGAAACTGCGCGACCATCTTCCATTGTACTAAGGTAGATACCTGTCTCTACCCGACATGGATTAGCTCCACTGATCACGGCTTCTCACCAGAACTCCGAGAATTCCCTCACGAAGTTAGTCACTAGTGAGCACATTTTAATTGCCAGTATAGGGGTTGTGGAGATTATTTAGTTCTTGATCGAGATCATGAACCGATTGATGTTAGACCACTTTTGGAAACCTGGAAACTTAATAATCTCCACAACCCCCTATACTGGTAACCATTGTGTTACTAGTTTTAAGTACCTTTTTAAACTTTTCATGGACAAACATTTGATAGACATTTTTATATGTTGTAACCCAGTTTGATATTCAATTTGAAATATTCTGAGTTTGCAGGTACATCAAGCTTACAAGTCTCAAATAAAACGAAACACCCATCCCGAATTCCACTACCAGCCATATTTCATCTATTCTATATATCAGCATATGCTCATAATGGGGTTTCCAACTCTTTAGGGTAATGGTAAGAAAGTCCTCTGTGAATACTTTAAGGAAGTTGTGAACTAGCTATAAACTCATGTCCAGCGCAGTTTATTTTTTACCTTTTTTGTCCTTTCATGATGAAGATTATTTAGAACTTCTCCATTTAGCGATAGGGTGATAGTGAGAAACAATCATGTATAACAGTGAATGAAGTGGTGTTCTCTCTTTCTCTCTAAACTTTGAATAGATCATGAAGTCGTTGAATTATGAATTCAGTCTATGACTTTTACGGTAGTAAATTATCTGGAGGTATTTTTTATGACAACTAGGATAATACGGTGAAGTTACTGTCCTTTGGTTTGGGTTATATAGTTAGGTTTAGACTATTTATGTAAGCGTGTTGAGATAATATAATCAAACAGTAAAAGAATCTAATCTACACAACTTATGTCCATTGAGAGTATGATACTAATCTATTTGACACGTGCTTTGCTTATAATACTGAACATATTATTCATCGTTCTTTACTTTCCTTTTGTTATTCATATCTTAATTGTTTATGTTAATACACCTTTTCTGTTCATACAATCCTTACAAATGACTCATTACTTTTATTTCTTAATATGTGATCACCAACACTTAGTTCATGGGACTTTTATATGCCTCAAACTGCAAACTTTTATTCGATTCATTAACTGTTTTCGTATCTTTCTCTGTTCTAAGATCACTGTAAATTAATTATAAGCCATTTGTTCCAACTTTGTATCCTAAATGCCCTAGTTTAGAACAGATTTTTAATTTTTAGTCTTGTGGACGAGGGAATCTGCATAATCAATTAGGGTTTGGATACCAAATCTTTTAGTTATGGTATTAATACTGCTGGTCCAATTGTAGCAGACCTAGTTCACTGTAGTAAATTTCTTCTCATCGCTTGCATGTGATGTATAAACTTTGTTTTTATTTCTTGTAGAGAGGGTGGTGGTGGTGTATCTGAGATGGAACAGACACTGAATCAACTACTTGTAGAAATGGATGGAATGGATACAACTGAAGGTGTTATTGTATTTGGAGCGACAAATCGAGCTGACTTGTTAGATAGAGCTCTGTTACGTGCAGGACGGTTTGACAGACATATTTTTATTAATTTACCAAATCTATCTGAACGTAAAGAAATATTTGCTGTATACCTTGGTATGCAAGAGATTTGTCCATTAAATTTCATTTTATTGTATTTTTAGATCAATAGCTATATGTAATTTTGTGGTACAAAAAGTGCTTTATAAATTCCCATATTGAAGTGTGTGAATGAGTCTCAATTGATGATTTTATTTATGTTTTAGGTTATGCATTTCGATTAGTTAGTAATCACATTTCTGCAATCACACAACTATTCATTAGTTAGAAAATAGAAATAAATTCTGCACTGTTCCATATATTTTTATAGAGTGATTATTCAGTTCATGCACTAAGAAAAACCCGCTTATTAGCTTTTCCAGAGGAAGTCTGTAGCAGACTGTATAGTGACGAATAATACTTATATCAACTTGCCTTCGGATAAAAAGAGTAAATGTTTTTCTTTTTAAATAGTTCCAACATCTTAGCAAAAATAACAAATACAACACTTAAAAAAAAAACAAAGACCTCTTATGAAAAGTATTTTGTTCATGTGGTCATTGTAGTTAAATATTTGATCATGGACGTTTTACTTATTCATTTTGTGACTTTATGTATATTCGCTTCTTTATAAAGACATAATAAAGTTGTTTCGTCGTAATATCTTTTACATGTAATTATGATGTGCCGGTCCCTCTTTTTATAAAGCTTGTAAATGTTTCTGTGTTTCTCATGGACATTTTCTTTAGTATTGGTTACTGAAATTCAGGTAGGGATTCATTCTTTTGTTGAATGTTTCTTCTTGACAGTAGTTAATTTTAGTATGAGGATTAATAAACTATTAACATTAGTTTAAAGTCACCCGGATAGTCCCTATAATATCACCATAAAGTCATGAAATATATATTGTCAAACATTTCATTCTGTCAATTAAACTGAGAACTAGGTTCTGTTAGCCCCCAAAATGTTCAGTATTGTTGTTGTGAGTTGAAAATGCAAACGATCGGGAGATTGTTTTAGTATGGCATGAAATCTAAGTGGATAAACCGCACAAGTAATATACAACACTTCGACAGTAATCCCCTTGGAAGTCGTTGAGAAAGAGGTTCTGTTGGGAATGTGTTTGGTGAAAGCCCTAGATGAATGAAGAATAAAATTGCAATTAATTTACTTCCTTACGCCCGTTATTCCTCGTGGAGAAGCATAAACCGCCCAGCAGCATTCTCCATCCAACGATGTTCGTGATGTAGTCTGATGATTTCCTCGATGTATGTCCTATCCATCTCCTGACTCCTTTCCTAATTTCCTCTTCAGCTAAAAGTTGGTTTGTTCTCTCCCACAGTAGGCTGTTGCTGATGCTAAACGTCTAACGGATATCGAGTATCTTGCGTAGATAATTGTTTACAAATATTTGTACTGTTCTGATGATGGATGTAGCAGTTGTTCAAGTTTCAGATGCATACAGTAGAACTGTCTTGACGTTGGTATTGGAGATTCTGACTTTGATGTTGGTTAAAAGTTGTTTTAAGTCTCAGACATTTTCCAATAGTAGGAATGCTGCTCTTGCTTTGCCAATCCTTCCCTTCATATCTGCGTCAGATCATCCTTGTTTATCGGTGATGTTGCCCAGGTACGTAAGACTTTCCACCTCCTCCAGAGTTTCTCCATCAAGTGTGGTTGGGTTGGTGCTCTCTGTGTTGCATTTCAGGATCGTTCTTTTTCCTCGTGTATTTTGAGGCCTACTGCTGCCAAGATTGCTGCTACACTGACTGTCTTCACCTGAATTTGTTGGTGTATGGGATAAAAGAGCTAAATTATCTGCAAAGTCCAAATCGTCTAGCCGCATCTGTACTGTCCATTTTATCCCGTGCTTCTCTTCATATGTGGAGGGCTTTATAATCCAAGAGAACACCAGAAGAAAGAGAAAAGGCAGGAGTAAGCAGCCTTGTCTGACTGCGGTCTTCACTTGGAATGTGTCTGTCATCTGTCTCCCATGCACGAATTTGCGATGTAGCCCTTCGTATGAATTCCAGATGATGCTGACGGTCTTCTCAGGTACACCATAGTGTCAAAGAAGGTTTTCCTATCCAATCTGTCAAACACCTTCTCATAGTCAGGGAGGTTGATGCATATTGACGAGTTCTATTCAATAGATTGTTCAGCGATGATCTGTAGTGCTGCGATTTGATCTGTGCACGACCAGTGCATTCGGAGTCCGTCCTGTTGATCTCGAGGTTGGGCGTCTACTGAGTCTTTCATCCGGTTCAGCAACACTCTGTTGAAAACTTTTCCTCGTACTGATAGTAGTGTGATGTCTCTGTAGTTCTGCCACTTGCTCAGATCTCCTTTCTTTCGTATCTTGATGAGGTGTCTTTCTTTGCAGTCCGTTGGCACTTGTTCTTTCTCCCAAATCTTCCTGAATAGAACGTGGAACATCTTTGCAGTTACTTCTATGCCTGACTTAAGTGTTTCAGCTGGTATATTGTCAGGTCCTGCTGCTTTCCCACTCTTGATTTGTCTGATGACCATACAGATTCTTTCGATCGTTGATGGAGTTACATCTATAGGATGGTCTGTTTGTGCTGCTTCAATGGGTGGTGGATTGAATGGAGCTGTTCCATTCAAGAGTTCCTCAAAGTGTTCTACTCATCTGTTCTTGAATCTCGGTGATTAGCTTGCCTTCTTTGTCCTTGACCGGGCTCTCTGGTTCACTATATTTCCATTCCAGTTTCCTGATTGTGTCATATTGCTGTCTCATATTTCCTTCTTTTGCATCCTTTTCCTCTCTGGTTGCTAGGCATCCCACGTATTTCTGCTTGTCGGATCTAATGCACTTCTTTACTTGCTTGTTTGCTTCTATGTATTCAGCTTGTTCCTTGACTTTCTCTGTTCCTGTTCAAATTTTATTAACTGCTCTTCTTTCTTGAATCTTATCCAGGGTTTTGACATAGAGTCATTCCTTATGATGATGCTTCTTTCGGCCCAGCACCTCTTGGTATGTTGAAGTTACTTCTTCTTTGATCACTTTCCAGTTGTTTTACATTGTAGTTTTATCTTCCTTGAGTAGATGTTGTAAGGCTTGGGACCTGTTGTTGAGAGTTATCTTGAATTGGTTGAGTTTGTTAGTATTTGGAAGGAAGGCTGTATTAAACCTTTGTACTGCCGTTTCTCCAGTTGTCCTGTGTTTGTTTAGCTTCAGCTTCATCTTGACTACAACTAGGTGGTGATCTGAAATTGAATCAGCTCCTCTCCTGTTCCTCACGTCTTTCATTGTCCTTCTGAATTTTTTATTGATACAAATATGATCTATCTGATTCTCCGTGGAGCGATCCGGTGAGACCCATGTAGCTTTGTGTATGCGTCTGTGGCGTAATACTGTGTCGTCTATAACCAATTTGTTGAATATACACAGGTTTGCGAATCTCTCCCCGTTTTCGTTTCCGTCTCCCAGTCCATCTCGTCTCATGATATCTTCATATCTGGTGTTGTCCATCTCGACTTTAGCGTTTAGATCTCCTATCAGGATGGTCAGATCCTTTCGTGAACACGTCGCTATAATGGACTGCCACCTCACATAAAACTAATTTTTATCGTCGTCGTTGCAATCATTGGAGGGTGCATAACACTGGAGGATAACATTCATTGTGATTCCCTCCTTTGTTTTGATCGATGCTTTGATGATCCTGGGTCCAAGAGATTCTCATTCTACAAGTGCTTTCTGTGCTTCTTTGGATAGCATCAGAACAACTCCCTGATTGTATGAAGCACTTTCTTCTTTGTGTCAAGAGTACGACAACATCTCACTCATGTCTATCCTTTTCTATCCAGCTTGTATCCGATACATTTCACTTATTCCGAGCACGTTCAAGTTGTATTTCATTTCCGAAGCTATTTTACTGGTTCTCTCGGCGTCCCACATTGTTGGAACACTCCATGTACCTATAAACATTGTTGCTCTATTTGTTAGAAGGGGAATCGGTTTCGTGACTTCCGAAGAATATCACCTTCCACTATGAGACGTTATAATTCTTCTGAATGAATATATCTCAACTCTCAGGAAAGAATTTAAATGATTTAAACTGTTTACTCTGGTTAAAGTATTTTTAGCAATTTTGTTTCTGTGGGATGGGGTTGGTGACCCCATAACCAACCCTCCTCCTTAACTCGGTCTTGGAACTGATGGTAACCCTAGAGAAGCTACAGGCGGAGTTGCACTTAAGTTAGTCAGTTATAAGTTGATTATAGTGATTTTTGACTCATGTTTATTGGTTGTTTGAATCTTCCCTTTAGATGTTTAGTACTTCAATTGACTAGTCTCTTTTGGGACTTCTGCATCCTGTGCAGATTGCTTCAACACTGCCATTAAGTCACAAGTATTATTAGCAGAAATGGATGGTGGCTAGCGGTGGAATCCAGGACTCATGTTTTGTCTTGTTCGTTTCAAACGTCACCGTGTTATCTACCTAGCTACTGAGTTAAACAACCAACACAACTGGATTTAAAAAATCTACCCCATTTCACAAGCCAGTGGATATCCGGACTCATTAGCTAGGTGGATAACATGATGTCGTTTGAAGCGAACGGTACTGGGCTCGAGTCCCGGAATAAATATCGATTCCGAATAAGACGAAACACGCGTTCTGGATTCTACTGCTAGTCACCATCCATCTCTGTTTATAATGAATTAAATTATTATAATTTTTGATCTGAGTACTTTTCACTGAACTCAAATCACAGTAAAAAGTGCATCGTCGGTTCATAGGGTAATGTAATAAAAATGTATTGAAAGTTTGACTTTAAATTCACCTTAATTCGTTATTGATTTTATTCCTCATTGGTTGTATGTAAGATAGATACCACATCCTCAACACTTGTAGATATTTTGACGAGAATGATCAATTATACATTAACAGCCGAATTTTCTTCGTGTTGGATAAGGTTACTGAAATAAGTATAAAGTCAATGAATGTTTAGTTAAGGGGAAAACCTTTTAGTGTCTGTTTTTGAATAAGATTTATGCAGCTTTTTTGTCAGGATAAAACTCAAAACCAGTGTCAGTGACTTTGTTACATTCATTTCTTATCTTCCGCTCAGTTTTTAGGTTATTATTCCCTTCATAATTTTTACTATCCAGTTTCATTTGTTCCTTATTAGATATATTCTTGATCATTAGTTCACTACGACAATTGATGTTGGTGTCAATTTATTTTCTCGTTGTACTGATGTGAATTACAAGAACTTTAACTAATGTACATTTATACCAGGTGCCACATTTTATATGACTTATTGGGCAAAATAAATCCATTCTAATCAGTGCTTCAAAAACAGAAAATAACATAAATATATGAAAAACAACAATAGCGGTTAACTTGAATAATAAAAATTTATTGTCCATTCAGTGGATAGTTTCAAAAAGAGAATAGAAATAAATAGATGGAAATCATATTTTGACATTATTTCTGTTTAACTGGTTCAAATTAAAATAATACAAAGAATTCAGATATATATATATATATCATTTATAAGATCAGAATATAAATAACTTGGATTATTATAGGCTAACTAAGTATACTATTTTACCATTGCCTAAAAATTCACTGTTTTATGAATTAAATGAAGAATTAAAATAGTCTTAGTAAATTTTACTTAATCTAATGCTGTCGTATTATACTTGAACTATATAGCTTTCACACTTTACATATATACTTAAAGCATTTTGTCCACAAAACTATGCTATAAAATATATATCAACACTCCGTGAAATAGTTAAACTTGATCTTTCTTTGCCTTCAAATTGATCATTTATAGTTGAGTAATAATTCAAATAACTTTTAGAATGTTTTTTTCTACATTTTTATTCAATCATAATTTAATTCGTATTCTATCTTATTATCTTCAATTTAAGCTAAATATCGACTTGCTCCTGATGTTGTACAAAATGAACTTGTTGAACGTTTATCAGCCTGGTGTCCCGGAATGTCTGGAGCCGATATTGCACGTCTATGCAATGAAGCTGCTTTGTCTGCTGCTCGAAGAGATGATAAAGTTGTTGGTGTTACTAAAGCTGATTTTGAAGCGGCACTTGAAAGAATAGTAGCAGGTTGTTTTTTTTGCCTGTAGATATTTAATTATAGTTAGTTGTTTTAAACTTTTTTTCCGCGGATTTCCTAACGGTTTCTTTTTTACACTTTGTATGAAAAATGTCTAAATTCTTGCTAATAAGTTGGCTAGTTTTGTTTTTACATTTTTGAGTAATCAGTTTACCTTTTAGTGCTTATCATCGGCAGATTACTATACTGTTTCAGATTTTAATAAAAACAATCTTTAATAGAAATAAGTTTATTTAGTCTAAAGAATATTACGTATAAAATAATTTTTTCATGAATAATGACTTTATTCTCATTGTTTAGGCGCTGCAAAACATTCAAACCCACTTACGGTTGCTGAACGCCACATGTCTGCTGTCCATGAATCTGGTAGGGCTCTTGTAGCATGGCTTCTTTCAGATAGTGGAGTACTACCTATAAAAGTCTCAATTATACCGCGTACGGTTTCTGGTCCAGATACTGTTGGTGATCTGGGTTTTACTCAGTTAATATCAGAAGAAAAATATTTACTTAATACTGATGATCTAGCTGATCGTATGTCTGTATTACTGGGTGGTAGAGCAGCTGAGCATGTTGTATACAATGCAATTTCAGATGGTTAGTTCATCTTGTGTGTTTCCCGTTAGGATACTTTTTTTTCAATGTATATCTGTTCATTGTCTGGATATTAGACACTAGTTTTTATCTTGCTAAAGCTTCAGTGTAACTTTATCACGCACGTACTATTACTAGTTAAATTCGTACATCACAATGTTTATGGTTAAAATAACAATCTAATAATAGAATACTTTATTTGATCTTATTATGTAGGTGTTCAATAATTGCTAAGTCGAAATCAAAGTCAATGAATAAAATACTAATCGATAAATGAACGGAATGATATGATTTGGCCAAGTGATTTGAGTCCGTGAATGGTTAAAGATCTAAAAGAGGACCACTAAGCAAATGCATTTCTTAAAAGTAATAAAAAAACGTGATTATATACAAAATACTGACGCAAAGTAAACATGATAGGATGTCGTTAATAATTGGAAGAAATTTACTTGTAGGTCACTCATTCTCTGATTAATTAAGACATAACTGTTAGGCTTAGTCTTTAGGCATCGTATCAAGTCACTTAGTTATCAAGCACGAATTTATACACTTGACATTTAGACTATTAGTTTTATGTGATTGCTAGTAATACTGTACAACTACAAAATCTAATGCAAGTCGAGCGACATACGAACTTTGAACCTGATGGTTGGAAGTCGATTGCTTTAATGCCTACCTACGTTACCGATCTACATTCTGTTTAACCACAAACAATGTTATAGATGTTCTAGTGATTTTGACTGGGTTGATACTTTTTCGCCTCACATTTACTGGGATTCGAAAATCTGGGTGTGAAATAGGATACAATTCAGACATATTTTTACAAATATAGACACGAACAAATTAAGAAAGCGCTTTTAGGTTCCTCAAACGTAGATCATCTGCAGAGTAGCCAAGATACCCATCTAACAACTAAGAAACGAGTAAACTGCTCAATAATTTGCCGTTTTATTTTATGGTACTGAATTGTGGCATTTAAAAGTATAGGAAGTCCACCGCTTACTAGTATTTCGTTTTATGTATCTTCAAATCGTCACTCGTGTATGTCGAAGCCACTCAATAACTAATGTTGAAATCAGACGGATACTAGACAAGAATGACGTATCTGTTGATGATGTTGTGAATTTTCATTGACTGACGTGGTTGGAATGTGTATTACGCAGATTAACCACCTCCTATCTCGACGGACGATGTCGGCTGGTTTCGTCGACTGTTGAACTATTGTGTGTTAGTAGGTATAGACTATCTGGTCGGGGTCCTTTTCAAATGAATTCAATCATCCACATTTTATCGCAATTTGTTGTAGAAGATGGATGTATGAAATACCTCATTAATAGAGACAACCAACAGAAAAACTGCTTGGTACCGGGGAACGATATTTATCTGTTTTTGAGTCTGGCTGTACCGTTTCTAACCTATTTAGGAAAAAAATCACAAATACAAAACATCCATAGTTCAAAGTACACACGTATATCGGATGTTTAGTAAATTTGGATGCTTATTAGTTTTCATGCCCTAAGTTTGTTTTCGAAATTTCCCTCACATCTGTATGTACGATGAAATGTCATTTTCATATTCTATTCAATTAATATTTAGTTTCGCGAAAATATCTTCAGGAAGCTAATAAATTAGCAATGAAGCAAGTACGTAAGTTTGGAATGTCTAAGAATATTGGAAACCTCAGCTTTGACGTGAGTGTACTAACTTTGATAAAACACTTTTTCTATTTGGTTTATAACTTACTCTAGTTTGTACTATGATATCTGTTCATCATTTCTAACTAATAATAACCACGCCAATCAGTTTGTCACTAATTGAGTACAGACTTCAAGATATAAAATGTAAACATCTGTTCCTCTCACCGTGTTCACGTAAAACGTACATTGAATTCTGTGTTTAATTTTCTCCCAAGTCGCTAGTTTTGAGAGATTTTCGGTTATATTTATCGTTTAGATTTAATAAATAGTTGTTTTGTCAAAGCTTTCATACAGTAGAAAAACTTGGTCGATCTACTGTAATAGCGCACCTGAAGTTATAGCTTCTCTCCTTAAAATTTCACAGCTTGATGCGGATCGAAGAACAAATAGATCTGGGCAACACTATTAAATCCTATGTTACATAAAAAATGTTGAAATTCCCAATGATTTAATGGTAATACATTCTTCATGTGTCTGTTTAAAAATAGATTTTTGGGTTTACGTGAGATGCCTGTTGTACTGACCTATGACCTCACTAGTGTCAACGTTGCAATAAATTTGTCCCTGTGCTGTTCATATACATAATGTTGGGTTAGGATACGCAAAAGTAGTCACGAAAGGAAAAGGTATCATGTTATCATTTCAACCGTATGGGTTACAGCTTCTATGCAACCATGTACAAGTTTTATAATTAATTAATTAGTTTCAAGCATTTCCAAATACTGTAAATCGTATTCTCTGATTAAGATAATTAGGAGTATTCGATTTAATGTACTAACTAGAAATTCAGAAAATAGTACAATTTAAAGCAGATAGAACTATATGAGTACAAATGAACGTATTATATTTGTAGTTCGTAATCAAGTATAAATGAATCATTAATTCGTACAAATACTACGTCCGCCGTGGCATGAGTGATAATCTAAATTTCTATAATCGATTGTACTTCTCCTTAAGTTCATCGTATATCTGTCAGACTGTATTAGATAAAGACTCTTTATGATCTAAAATGTACTCATTAGTATCAAAATTAACAGCGCAAATTGGAATAGACTCACCTGGTTCCTGGAACGGTATTTGATGCAGATGTCAGTTGTGTATACTTAAATCGTTGATATCTCGAATTCGACTCAGATTTCCCAACACTGTTCACCACGATTCCAGTGGCTAGTCGAAAATTATTTCCACGATAACATGTAACTTCTGCAGACTCTAGACACTTCATATTCGAACGAAGAATTCTTCCTTTTCTTAGCTTTGATGGAGTCTCTTTCGTCACAGAATGTTTAGCGTTTCTATATTGCAGTAGAAAAGTATCTACTACCCTCTCCAGTTCATTAAATGTTGAGGCGGTAAAAGAGTCAATAGCGGTTTTCAATATCCTGGCAAAATTTTCCGCATGACCATTAGAACAAGGGTGCCTGGGAGCGGTAAACAGGTGCTTGTACCCTATACCATTCAACCAGGTAGTGACTGAGTATAAAGCAAAATGAGAGCCATTATCAGCCAATAATACCATAGGAACCACTTTCCGACTAAACACTTTTATTAATGCTCGGATTGTGAAGTCAGAATTTGGTGAAGTTGTGAAAAAAAATTTCAGGTCACTTTGAAAAAGAATCAATGACTACTAGTGCATAGTATTTGCCAAGAAATGAGCTACAATTGTCTGCATGAATTCTCTGCCAGGCCTCAGACAATACTGACAATGGAGTCCGCTTCGAAGACTGACTTTTAGACTTAGGACATTTTCTACAATTGTTTGCTGTACGACATACAACTGCATTTATCTCTGGTCACCAACGTGTGAGCCTTGCCAAGGACTTAATTTTCTCAACACCTAAATGTCTACTCATAAAGATTTTCACGGGCAGATTTACGTAATGAAGGAGGGATAACAACACGATCATTTAAATACAAAGTAGACAGAAAATCTACGTTTCAGATTAGCATTACAACCTTTCCGCATAGCACTGAGTATATATCCAAAGCTTCTACGAGTTTCACTAATGAGATCTGGACGTCTCATCAATAAAGGTTGCACTAACAAACAGTCTGAAATATTAAGAAGTCTATCTTGTTGAACCATAGGAGCTGAGGAACGTGCTAAAGATTTTTCAGGATGATAAATGAACTTTAAAGCTTTATGATCGGTGACAATAGTGAATTTCTTCCCAAATAAATATTTATGAAGTCTTTTAACAGCCCAAAACACAGCTAATACTTTGCGGTAAGTTTGTGAATAACCTTGTTCATCAATAGTAAGTTTGCGTGAAACACAGATAACTGGTCTACCTTCCTGCTCCAAAACTGCACCAATACCCACAGGTGATGCGTCAGTAATAAGTATAGAATGTACACTAGAGGAGAAAGTTCGAAGAACAGCATCACTTTAAAGAAACTTTAGTAGACTTCGTGAACATAACTCCTGTTCCTTACCCCCATTCGAATGAATTGGATGTCAAAATATTAAATAAAAAAATTGCACGACAATAAAAATTAGAAATAAAACGGGAATAGTATTGAAGAGCACCCACTAGTGAACGTAGTTCTGTAAGATTCTTTTGGAGACGGTGTATTTGTCAGTGGAGCTAGTCATTTCATATCTGGTGTAAAACCATTACCATCACCTAGGTATCCAAGACATCTGAGACTAGATACACAAAATGAACACTTATTTGGATTCACTATAATATTCTTCTCAATTAAACAATGCAATAAAGCAATAAGTCCCTGGTCATGAACCACCTCATCAGAATCATGAGCAATGACGTCATCATGATAAAATTCAACACCTTCAAGATCACTAACTTCATTATCCATCAATTCCCGAAATGTGGTTGGAGAACAACTCAGACCAAATGAAAGGAAGTTGTATTTGAACAGGCCAAAAAGAGTATTAGTTGTTGTCAAAGTAGATGAAGATTGATCTAAAGGGGTTTGAAAATAAGCATATTTTAAGTTAACTTTCAAGAATACCTTAAAACCATGAAGCCGATTAAGAATATTTTCAGCTTTCACCGTTGTGCATGTTTTTTCCAACAAACGGGAGTTCAATGTAAATCAATTGTTACCACATGTTATAGGGGTACGAATAATTCAATGTCTTAAGTATCACTTTTCAAAGACAATAAGGAATTATTCGTATTTCTAAGACAAACTGGATCACTCTATACTTGAAGTTCTATGTGCTGAATTCTCATCCCTCCACTGCACTTAACACACGCAGCTATTAAATCTTTAAGTAAAGCAATAGAATCTTCTTTAAAAGCTAATAAAGAACTTCATTTTAAGCCTTTTCAAACCCAGGAATAAGGGTCCTGTTTCACTAACTAAAAACTCACCAGGCATTATGAGGAATTATCATTCCTAACTAGCAATTCACACATCCTCGTATGGGTAGTTTTTGTCCAGTAAATCCCAATACTAAGACTTCAGTGGGTCATACTATAACGTTAGAATATAAAATTTTCAAGTTCTTGGATGAAATATTAGACTCATTACTGCCTGTGTCAGCACTAAAGTCATGAAATGAACCATGTGATGTACATAATAGTGTCTTCTGAATATGGACATCATCTTTCGAAATCGTGGATAAAGATAAATGATGATGAGAAACACTCAAATTAATAAAATCAGAATTATAGGGTTTATCATCACTAGTGGCAAAGTGAACAGTAGCTTTACAGACCGACATGATGTGTTCTGTTTTACCACACATAAAGCATTTGGCATGACGAAAGACACATGGATTACGTAGGTGAAATTTACAACAGGATAAACATTTACCAAACCTGTGCTCATCTGCTTTGTAATTGATTGTTAAATCACTTCATATTTCCATGAGAATGGGAACCATTATTAAGAAAATGCGAGTTTGAGTGTTGCTGAGCATGTAGTTCACTACGACGATTAAGCAAAGTACTAGAAATTTTCAATGACTACAAATCAATCTCATTCATTGCTTAGATTTCTTGGGATGAATGTTTACACTGCTGAATTAATTCCATTCCTTAATTTGGAATATTTATACCAGTAATCAACCAATCACGAAACTGAGTTTCCAATCGGTCTGCGAAAATGCGCTTCGTGACCTGTTTCTACAGTTCAAGTATAAGACCTTAACTTTCTGATCGTTTTATAAAACGTTGATCTCTCTCTACATTTATAGCTAGTACACTGCACATGACTATGTGATAATTCTCTGAGTAATTTATACGGCAATGAAATTAGTTTTTGTAGAGAAGTCAGATTCTTCAGCAGGTTATAATCTTCTTTGCCCAAGAACGTCAGGAATTAGGCTGTGAATTTATCATCTTTAATACGTTTTCTAGTCATGCACCAGATCTCGAAAGCCTATATGTGGTCCTCAAAGTCATCCTTACTTGAGTTAATACCCAATTGTCCAAAATCTAGACGCCAATATGATAATTAAGTGTTCGGATTAATGTACTAAGAATTCCATAAATAGTACACTTTAAGACAGACAGCATTATATGAGCACAATCAACGTATTTTATTTGTAATTCGTAATTAGTGGAAGATCAATTACATAGGAATCATCAGTTCGTATAAATAATACAGTGAACGAGCTTGTTTTTAGTCAGACCCACCTCTTTAAACCGATACTTGGAGTTAAATAGATCGTAATGAAGCCAGCCATTTATCATGTGTTAGGCTATCTGTTTAGATTGTAATTATGGCTTAGAGTAAATATGACTTATCTGACAATTTTTCTATTGACACCATCGCCGTCCTAGACAGTGGATTGAAATTAGTTATCAAAGTTATTTAAGTCAGGTTGTCTGAAACTACAGACAAGTTTTGTGCTCCTGTTCATTTATTGTGTAAAATTGCTCAGTAATCATTTTATTTACATTTTAGGACGAGTCATCCAGTGGACTGTCCTCTCTGAAACCGTTCTGTCGAAAAACGGAAGCCATCATGGAAATAGAAGCCAATCAACTCTTATCTTCAGCATTTTCGCGTTCTGTAAAAATGTTGGAAGAAAATAAGGACAACCTGTTAGCACTTATTGGTGCTCTTTTAAAAAACGAAGTTCTCAGTTACGATGACCTGACGAAAATTTTAGGTGATAACAAACGTTCAACAAAAATCAAACCTCGTTTATAATGTAATTTCGTTTAAATTCCTTCAACGTTTTGTGTATATAAACATAGTATTAACCCTATTCTTATGTAACTGTCATTCATTGATTCGGATAATTGGTTGTAAATAGTGGTTATCAAACTTCACATCTACTGAGGTAGTTCTTAAGATATTCCAATATCTTCACATTGCTTAATCAATTAGTCAGTAGTTATGGCGCTTAACTTTCAGCTAGTAAGTCGCAGGCTCGAACCACGTTCCAATAAGTTGGGTTTGGGTAACCGAGTAATTTCAATAATCCTCACACTGGAATTGTGACTCGAAGCCAACATGTACTCGCTAAATAAATTGAGTGAATGACTAGCGAATTGTTCTTGATATGTTTTAGTCTAGTGTCAAAGCTTTAGCGATACAAGTTGGTGTTCAAAACCATGCATGTACTCAGTCAACAGCTTTATGTTTATGAGATGATAGGAAAATAGCACATCCAAAGTCAGATGTTAGACGTGGTTTTTGTTTTGGAAATTTAAGATTACAAGCAGGGATATTACTGCACATTTGTTCATTGAATCGATTTGTGAGTTCATAAATCATGCGAGAATATTTTATTACCCGAATTCTTTTTACATTTAACATGAGACTATCCAACGTTCATTATTCAGGCTTTGGTGTTGATAAATAGCATTCAATAAGTTTGGAAGGTCATATTGATTTTTGAAGATTTACCTCAATACTGATGACAACCATAAAAATTGTGATGGTTTCTACGTGAAGTTCATGACTGATCTTTATGAAACTGAGATGCAGTATATGTATAGGAACCAAACTTAGCCCAAAATCTAACATCGTATTCTTCATTTGTTTTATCTGATTAATGTTAAGGCCAGATGATCACTCTTTCTTAGTGCAACCAATGATCTCAGCTAATCTGTCAATGTCTACACTGCTGTCCCCAATCGTCGGTGTTTTATCATTTAGGTAATCGACGGCTACTACTGCATAATATGCAACAGATTGACTTTCCGCGACAGTGATATTGGAAGAAACCAAGCTTTATCGGTTTATAAACAATAAACATAATAGATTGTCTGACTTACAATCCATGAATTTATTAGTAACAACAAAGCTTAGTTGCATCTATACCAAGCTACTTTCAGAATCTGCATCAACAAAACCCAGTCACGGAGACTACAATGAAGCATCCCATTATGCATTACATTGTAACGGACAGTCTATCAGTTGCTGTAATATCACGTCGATTGCATTTTAAAAAAACCGCAAATTGCAAAAGATGAATTTTGGTAAATTGCTGAAACTGGGCCATTTTGCAGTCTATGTCCTCTTTGTTGGATATGATTTGGCTCTGTACTGACTACCATGTACTAACAATCAAATGTTTGCGGACCGAAATCTTGTGCAGCAAACTACAACTTTTCAAAATTAATGTTGCAGAAGCATCTCGCTTTATTGAACAGGTAGTTCAGGATTCGCCCTTTTATGTATTTATTGACTATTTAGTCGTGAACAAAGCAACAGCTGATGGTCATTTACATCTGTGTACCACGATCATTAAGAACCATTTTCAAAAATCCATGTGGCCTTTCATATCCCGGTATTCGAGCGATTTACGTTCGTAAGAGGTATGTACGTGTAGCTACATATGAATCGTGACGTTCCACAGTAGGCGTAGACTTATTTGAAGTGTCAAAAATGAAATGATACAGTTACTCCTACAGGCAAGTTCATGGAACCAGATAATGTATTTGAACATATCCACAACTATTATCTACCATCTTTGAAGTAGTTTTTGCTAATTGCTGTGAGTAGAAGTGGACAAAACAAAAACCATCTCTTTTAACAGATGAAGGATGTATTTATTTTCGCATCGTTTGATTGAATCTTTCCGTTGATGTTTAGATCTTTAATTGAACAACCACTTATTGGCATACGTGCTTCCTGTGCGAATCGCCTCGATATTACCTTAGGTCACAAGCATTATAAGCAAGAATGAATGGTAGCTAGTGGTGGAATCCAGGACGTGCGTCTTTTCTTATCCGGGACTCTTCATTTGGATGTATCTGTATATCAGAGTCGATATTAACTCTGCGACTGGAACTCATTGCTACTGAGTCCAGATAGCCACTAGCTTGTGCTAAGTGAATAATGCGATAGGATTTTTGGCGAACGGTACTGGGTTGGAGTCCCGGAGCATGCAGGTACATCCAGTTGACGAATTCTAAACAAGAAGAAATGAGCGTCCTGGATCCCACTGCTAGCCACCATCCATCTTTGCCCATAGCCGAAGCATTTGTCAGGGCGTTATCACATTACCGATATGAATTGAAAGGAGTTGCCTTTCAAACTCCATCGGCTAGTATTCTAAAGTTAGTTGGTTAGTATAATTTTACATAAACGCATTGCTTTTACAAACTTTACAGGACAGGATTACAAGCAGAAAAGTAAAATAAATAGAATTATAGGGAATTTGGATAGTTGTAAAAGAGTATATGGTTGGTTGTTAGGATTTTATGGTTTACTGTTGGTTATTATCTCTATTTTGATATGTTCACGTGGTGTATGCTACCTATGTCGACATAAGTAGTATATAACACCAGTCAGAAGTAGAATACCTGGAGGCAGGTTGTAAAGATAGAATCGAAGAGAACGGGGACTGAGAGCAATAAAGTTTGAGATAATTGATAGGATATTTGCAGGTGAAGTATTTTATGTATGGTCCTTATATTTCACTAAGATACTCTGTAATTTTGTATTAAAATACAATTGGTTGTTCCTCAACTGTGTTTCCGTCCATTACGCTCATACTATAAACTATAAAAATGTTTAAATACCAGCCTGATATTTTGTGTTTATTTTCGTCAAATCAAATTGATTTACATTTTATGGTAATTTTATTGTGTACATGAGAAAGTAGGAGTTATTCAAGCGTCATCCAGTACGCTTAACTTTACAGGAATACTAGCTTAATTTAAATAAAATATTATAATGACTTCATTTTCTTTGCTGGTGGCTCAACATCTGAAGTTAGATCATATTTTGATAAATATTTTATGAATGAATCCGATAACTGGAAATCGGAAGTGTTTATTTGTTTTGTGGATTGTATTTCAGGAACACTAATATCTTTCTCGATAAGCGTCTTTAATTCAGTACGGAGATCATCAGATGACAGATGCGTTAGATGGTCTAAAGAAACTTGTCTCCCATCGATATGTAGCATGTACTGTTTTGTCGAAGTGGCTCCTATCCCCCCAACACAAACATCGTTTCCCCACTGCATAATTAAATTAGCTAGTTGATTTACCTATAAAAAAGTATTTTGAAAGACAGAATATGAAATAATACATGACATGTCATAAGTTTTAAGAATAAATAACAAACTTCTTGTTGGGATATTCAGAAAAATATCCCAAAAATTATTCTGTTAAGTCTAATGCTATCCTTAAACTTGAGATGGTATCATTTTCCTATTGGTCAATATTTATTTCACGTGTCATTTTCCTGTTGGCCAAATATTGTACAAATGTTATTTTCTATTTTATGGTACGATGTGGTTTGCTTGATTGGTATATAAACAGTGTATGTTTGAAATATAATGATTCATATCGTAGAGGCTGAGACTTGTGTTCTGGACTTATCTGGCTGGGCTAAGCGGAAAGCAGGGCTGCTCGCACGTGTTTATGCATCATTGATCCGATCGATAAGTCACTGCTCTCTAATCGGCGGTCACAAGTTATAACACTTCTCGAACACCATTCAAAATGTTTAGCGTTTGTTACTATCATTACTACTACGATGATCTTGACTCCTTTGCTACTCATTACGTTGATTTAATTTCGTCGTATTGATGTAGTGCAACAACTAGAGCTAAGGCACATTTGTACTAGAATCTACTTTGATTGTAATCGACTAATTGTTATGAAATGATAAGGAAATCCCAAAGACCATTCAAAATTAACAAAGTAAAATAACTACAGGTCATAATCTGTTAGTTTAGCGCTTTTACATATATATAGTACTTTGTTGGTAGATGCCAATCAAACAAATGATCGTGGGAATGCAGCGTGGTATTAGTCCGTAAGAAAATCGACTAAGTCGAAATAAAAGTTACGTATGAATTAGGGCTTTTAAATAGCCCCGTAGTACAAAGTACAATTTTTTAAAGGTAGACTGAGTTTCCAAATTCACTTATTATTTATACAGAACATTTGGAAATTTCGGTCACGCATGAATGAATGACAGTTGCCCACTAGAACCGAAATTAGGGTCAATGGTTTAAGTACTTTATCAAATGGTAGTGTGGTCGAATACTATTTAACAAACCTAAGTATAATTCAGTAAGTTTGGTGTATATACATGATATATATGCTAAATAAACAACACTACCATTTTAGATTGAAATTTACCGAACAATCTGACTCGATGGATTTTGTTATATCTGTTCCATAGGAAGCTATCGTGGCATAAAGACTACAATGTTTTTCCACGCCAAAGGGGATTTAAAATTTTATTTAGTCGTCATATTGAAATAATAACCGAGAGACTGACAATTCAGCTCTAGTAGATTTATTAATTACTGAACTGTGAATTCATTAGGGTAATATATGTAACAGCCAAATAATATGACTGAAAACACTGTTTAAACAAAACTTCTTACCACGGGATCAGAATGCTTTTTTAATAGAAGTAGGTCCCATAAACATGCGCTGGCAGGAAAGCATAATTCTGGATCATTTACATCTGGTTTATAGTTACTGCATATTTCTGGATCACAGTCGAACAGAATTTCACAACGCGGAAAAAGACGAAGAAGATGAAAAAGCTTGATAAGCAAGGAACTGGAGCAGTATGGATCTGACTGAAGTTGAAAAAGGTTTTTTTAATTGATTCGATTATTACTTGAAATTGTGCACTAATATTCAAATGATACAATTTTTTAATGGACTGAAGTATACATCAAAATGCAAACTTTTTGAAAGAAGCTACCAGAAAACACTGATCAAATTCACAGAATTTGAACCAGTATTTTAGCTACGAGTAGATCAGTGTTTTAGTAGTTATATCGTTTGACTAGTTACTGAACTGTAGACTTTAGTTTCGCTTCTGAAGGTATGAACCTTTATGTGATGTTTGTGTTACTTAATAGCTCATCTGTACATTATTCCACACCTGATTTAAATTACAAAATATAAAACCTTCGGATGTGCACACTATTTTCTTTGGCTTGCTGGTTCATACATAACTGCGAGAATACAAGTTAAAAAGTCCTGGGAATTACCAGTTAGCATATCGATTCGACTACTAATTATCATACTTTACCTGATTATGAGTGGAGCTAGAATATGACGTTTCGGTTTTACATTCCCGAGAACCTATTGTTATGTCATGTTGTTAAAATTCCTCTTAGTTTCCAAAAATGTTGATTTTCTAATTGTTTATTAAATTGTAAGTAGCTAAGGAGTGTACAATGAGTTAAAAGCACACTGTATATTTGTTTTGCTTTACTTGGTTAATTACTGTTTGTGAATAGTGACTAACTTTCATTAAATCGGGAAAGTACCAATTTACTCATTCTATGCATGGTATTATTATTAATGGGTTCATTCAATATTATGTTTGGTGCAACGTGGAAATCTCAAAACAAAGTACTTCAACAGGTTTCCTTTACAAAACAAAATAAACATACATGCATACATAACTGGTCACTGCTTCTCACCAGAACTCCAGAATATACATCTTGCAGCCAGTCACTAGTGAGCATATGTTAATTATTATCAGAATGGGGTTTTGTGGAGATTTTAGTAATTCCAATAGTTCGGATCCCGCGAGGCGGAATCGTGAATGCGCACTGCTGAGGAGTCGCACAGTAGGACGAAACGGCCGTCCAGTGCTTCCAAGTTTTTCATGATGGTCTAGCTTGAGTATCTGGAGTACCTGTTTCTGCCATCTAGATTTTCAACAAGTTATCTTTTTTTTTGTTTTAATATATCATTATGTCTAATAATCGCATAACATATCCTGGTGCATTTCTGAAAACTGTACAACTTTTCGTTGTCAAAGTTACAAAAAGCCCAATAAGAGATAATGTGGTCGCTGGCAATATGCAGCGAAAAGAGTATACATTATTCAGATGTTCATTTGTTGGACTGCTAACATCTAACTGGCGATCACTCAATATTTATCGTCAGGATCGACCAAGAAGTAAGAAACGGAAACTTGTTGAAATACTTTGTGCTGAGAATTCTATATTGCACTAAAAATATAATATTAAATAAAGCTTATAGTAATAATAATAATAATTAATAATTGACTCATGATCTCAACCAATGTATACATAAGTTAATAAGCTAACTTGAATTAAATGAAATGTTTTTTAAGAAGATTAGAATCTGTGCAAATTTTTAATTAGAAACATGTTTGAGAATACAAGTTGTCGACTGGATCAGCTCTAACAACCTGTCCGTAACAAAGTATATTTGCTAGATAAAATATTGTAGAGCTTTTATATTTTTGCTTGCGTGCATGGATTCTAATGTATTGGTGCCTCGTTTTATCAGAGAATATACATGAAAAAAGATATAAGTGAAGTGGATGATTAACATCTAACAACGCCCGTCAGGAATTTACAAGATGTTGAATGTTTATCCACAACCAGATTAATAATGACCTCAAAAGATTCACTACACACCTTACTGACTGCTAAGATGATGATAGTATTTAGAATATTTGCTGAAAATCTATTCTTGTCGCTACTGTTAGTGATAGGATCTCAGTGATTTTCAGGACGAAATTTCCGATTTCTAAAACAAACAAAAAGAATACTGATTGATGTTTGAGATGCAGTGATACGATGTAGCTGAATGATTGCTATTCACGATACCGTATTATTGATCCAAACCTCCGAGTGATTTAAAACGAGGTAAGACCACTAGCTCGAAGAATACATCGATTATGCAGTAAAATAACATGCTTATGTACAAAAGATTACCACAAAATAAGCCTGGTAAATTGTCGTAGATGACCAGAGAAAATCGACTTATAGCCCAGTCAGTCTCTAATCAGCCAAGACCTGATCAATAGGTATAATTGTTGAGGATCATAACAAACAAGGAATAAAGTGAATATTATGCAAAATTCGAAAACAAATACACACTTGTGTTCAAGACTCCGAGTCGCACTTAGTGTAATTGTTAAATATGCTATCTGGTTGCTGTGAGCGAAGTAGTATATCAGTACCTTAATAAAAAAGTTCACAGGTTGGATAACAGGTTTTATTTTAGCATTAAATTCCCAATAATGTCGTTTAATTTCGTTAGCATACATTTTTCGGTAAATATTTGCTATTAGACCCAGGCTTATTCTCTTTATATAGATAACAACGCTATAAATTTTGCTCTAAATAGATACGTTATATAAATATCAAGACATTGTGAATATATAAATAATTCCAGACTTACTACTGCCAAAGCTGCGCTAGCTAAACGCTTCGAGAATGCGAGGATTCGGTTGGTTGAAACCTCGTGTTTTCTTCTCACAAGAAGTATATTTAAACAAGATATAAGGGTATCTGAGATATGTTCCATTTCGTATGCACTGATCCTATTGCTTATACTGGCAGTAACAGAAGTGATTTCATCTGAACATGTAGTTTTATTTGAACTTTCGGTGATTTTAGATCGTTGCACAAGATTAGCAACAGCTTGTGCAGCTGGGGTATTCGAGCGATCATAGGCTTTGATTACGGAAGATAAGTGAGAAACTGCACTGTCACTATCTGTTATATTACTCACACCGACACCCGCGATGCGTCCCAGGATAGTGTATAAATGATTACAAAATGCAGTAGGATCTGTAGTGAGAACATCAGACGCATCAGATGACGATATGATAGACAAAGCTGTATGTACACAATGTAGACCATCCACAATGCTGGTTGACTGTAAAAGGAAGTGATAATACACGTACATAGTAGAAAATCGGAATAAAAAAGCAGTTATCTGAATATGTTGTGGATGAACGAAGAAGATAACTATAACTTGGTTTAGTAGCATATGAGCGTATTTGGATGCTATAGACATTAAACCAACGGCTTTGTGAGCAATTGAAAGAGATGGGTTTTCGTCATAGAGATTTTTATCCTATATATTGCATTTTTGCATATTTATCTTTAGTAAGTTTATTCTACATTTAGAGGACTTAACTAAAATGTGGTTTCGAAAATCACGCTCCTTTAGATACTTGTTTGCCGAAATAGAAGATAAAACCTGTTAGACAAGTTAACCATCTTTTCGTTAGATTAAATTTGGTTATTAAGGTGTTTGTCGCTTTACAGAAATGCTGACTGGCTTTTGTCGACTTGTGACACCTATAGTGAAAGCGATATATGTTTATATCTATCAAAAATTAGTTTGATATAAAAGTAGTCCTAAAGTATGGCTTAAACGTAATGAAACAATTTGATGAGTAAAATGTTGAAGTTTTATGTGTAGATTTGATGATATTTTGTTTTTGTGAACAGAAAAGATTGCTTACGCTATATATAGACTGTTTCTTGGTTTTACCAAGTCTTCCAATTTGAAACTACTAATGTCGTTATTAGTACTATCCCAGTTGGGAGCCATACATTGTCATATCGTAAATTATATGACCTTGCGCGTCGTTAGAGGTATGAGGATGGTTGTCCATTGTCAGTTGCCCACATCATGGAAAGGTAGTTATTCTCTAGAGACTTAAAAAGGATGATGTTGTCTTACTGTGCGATAATACCCAAGTCATGCAACCAGTACTTAATCAGTTGGCCATTAGTGTCCGTAGATATGGTATGTGCACCTTCGAAGTGCAAAGTACTTCTACAAGACTGATAGCACTCTGATCCTGCACTCACTCTGGGTGGTGAGCAGATAGAAGTAGTCGGGAAGTTCGTGTACCTAGGTAGCTGCATAAATGCTGATAGTGGCGTGAGTGATGAGATCAATTAACGTACAGGCAGAGAGCCTTATGCCAACCTAAGCCATCTTTGGCACCTTCGTGACATCAGTCTGTCTGTAAAAGATCGGATCTACAGCGCGTCAGTGAGAGCAGTTCTGCTCTATGCTTGTGAAACCTGGCCTCTCCGAGTTGAGGATGTTAGATGACTATCTGTATTTGATCATCATTGTCTCCGGAGGATTGCTGACATCCAGTAGCAACACCATGTTAGTATGCAGAGGTTCGGCATCGTGTGTTCGAGCACAGCAGCGATAAGTGAAATGGAAATGTCCTACGAATGTCATCCCGGAGAATTCAACGTGGTGCATTATTTATGGATACCGGGACTGGTTGGAAAAAGCGGAGACGTGGTAAGTGTATGACATGGTATCGTGGTATGGAAGAAAGTTATACAGGACTGGCTTTTTTGGTCCTTCACGACTCCCTGGTTAGGGTCCTAGGGATGGTGCAACACAGTAGCTAGAGACAATGTCAGATATGGTTCAAAGTAGAAGCCAATGGCGACCCTGTGTAACTTTATTTTACTTTCTTCATAAAAAATGGAAGTAATTGGAAGAATTCTTTCTAGTTGTACCTTTACTAACTGAACTGCTTCTCCCATTATTATTTCACTCTCATACACCAATTTCTGTTCGTTGTTGCTCTTTTTATTATGCTCACGTTACATTCACTATCTCTTCACTTCATTTTTATTGCGTGGCGAATATGTATTTATATATAATGAAGCTGTTATTTTTCAAGGCGGCCTCATTGAGTTGATACTTTAGTTTAACGAACAAGTCAGAAATGGTTTGCCGTTGTCTGTTGACTTACGAAGCATGATCAGTGGACAAACAAACATGTTACCACACTAAGTTAACCAAGGCTGTTTCATTACATACATGTTTCACAAAATTTGAAGTTAATTTCTAGTAACAAAAAGACAGTACTTACTTTTTTTGCTACCATTCCATTTAGAACAGACATAAGATTGTCTACATACTGTGTGTTGATTAACTTGGCGTATCTGAAAAATGGTGGACATATTATGTAAAGTTAAAAAGAAATTACTTAGATAATCCTTTAAAAATGGCAGACAAAAGTTCAGAGTCAGAAGTTGTTTTCAAAATTTTGAAGAAAACAAACAGTATTTCATTCATGACCAAGGTGTTCTAACATTTGAAAATAATATCATAAAGGAAATCACATTTACCATTTTCAGACGTTTTTCTCTTGTTTGAAGGGACTGGGTTTCAGCCATTTCCTTCTGAAGTTTGCGCTCCATTTTGGACTCCTAAGAAATGGAAATGACCAGTGAAATAGTATTTTTAGAAGACTATTTACAAAGCAAGTTACCAGTTTTGGTTGCAACAAATTTGTTTGCAGTATCAATAAGTAGACGCAGAAGAAAGCGACCGAACACCAATTATTGTTGTAGCGTATAAAAATTTCTTGTATATCTCTACATTCGGTAATAATTAATCGAGAAGGAATCAAACACCTACGTCACCTATGGTGTAGGCGAGATATTCGTATATGAATTAAGGGACGAGTATACTGCCCAGCAATTCGTTCTACTTTACGGCTGTGAAACGTGGCCACTAAGAGTAGAGGATACTCGTAGGCTACTAGTATTTGATTACAAGTGTCCTAGAAATATTGCTCGCATCTGTTGGGATCACCGGGCAAGTAATAGTGAGGTTACACGCAGGGCATTACGGAATGATGGTAAATCAGCTGATTAGGTTGTAAATTTTCATCGACTGAGATGGTTGGGCCATGTGTTACGTATGCCTGAACACCGATTACCATGACGCGCAATGCTGACTAGTGTTGGGGATGGTTGGAATGAAGTGAGAGGTGGCCATACCAAAACGTGGTATCAGTCACTGAAGTCACGAACTTCTGGTTTGAGCCATGTTGGTAGATGCAGACTACTTGGTTGAGGCCCGTGTAACTATCGTAACCAATTATTAGAGGCTCTGAGTGACATGGCTCAGAATCGATCACAATGGTGTAGATGTATACACTCCTTGTCTCTTCTTAAACCATGGGATTAAAATTGCTTTGTGTCTTTCTTTCTACGAACTGATTCTTGCTTCCTGTATTATATCCTTATACACAATATTTCTTTTGTATATTACTACTATTGAAGTAACTACTTCTATGAATTCGGTGTTCATCTTGTTGTGCTATTGAGGTATGGCAACTTGGACCGGTGCATATACGTGCCTGGTCCTACGTTGTAGCTGACTGACTGACATTGCGTAAGGACATTAAGAGAACTTTAAGGCAAGTAATAATGTAACACCAATTGTTGGGAATTAATATAAACCAATAGGCAGGCACATAAAGGGAAATACAAATAGGTGTTGTTATTGATATACATCTTTACTCATTTGTCCAGACCAGTTAGTCATCAAAAACGTAAGAGCAAGCACAACAGGAATAGAGTAACATGAAAATCATAGATGCTAAAATAATTGTATTGATGATAGCAAGGGGGCTTTATGCAATATAATATAAAAACGATGTTTGTAATCGATGACTAGAAAATTAATTATTATGAATCAAGATCTCAAAGAAAATAAGGAGTGAATGGATTTAGGCCACTGACAACGACTCAAAGATATCATCCAAGTTTTCAGACCCTAGTCAGAATCATTTTGAGTTGCTTCACTTGATGAGACTTAATTCAGTTGGGCTTTAGAAATCGGTTAGTGACACTAGTTCTCTGTGTGGATGAAAACCGAACACATAAATATGTGTGATAAGTAACTCACCATGTTTTTGCTAAGAATATAGTGCCTACTGTGTACTTAATTTAAGAGTTACGCTGGACTACTGAGGCTATTAATGACAAAGTTTAATGTATTTTGACACAATGAAAAACGTTAAGCACTAACCTTTCTTTCACGCCGTGAGCGTAGACGCCTATCGAGCTTAGGCTTTCCTTCCTCTTCATGACGTTCGACCTCTGTAATAGAGACACAGGACAAAGCCTTGATGACTGAGACTCCAACTTTATAAGACTTTGACCGACAAAAGCGATGAATGGTACGACAGATCTTTTAAAGTCAACTGAAAAAAATTAAATAGTACCGTTAGAGTAACGTCCCGATCAGTATCGTTTTCAAACATGTTATTTAGAGTCTTTATTATTAGTGAAGAAACCTGTAAATAATTAAATAACGTTTCGATTATCACCTGTGTCCGTGTGATGTTGAGGTAAGGAGGTAAAACTTCTATTAACTCTTTGCTGTAGTTGAAGTCTGGATGACTTTCTAAGAGCTGGCAGACGCACCTCATGGCAGTTAGCTTTTCGTTCTGCTAAACGTCACTAAAAAATTACAAGACTACTTCATTCCAATCCAATTTTGAGTATATTTTCAAACGAGGAGACTTCATGTCCAAACACTTGTCTGGAAATAATTGTATTAAATGCAATTACCTCTTAGGATAACTCTGAGCAATTCAATATACTTCCGGTAGTTTAAAAGTAAGTGTTCCTCATAATACCATATTTTCCTAGTTTCTTTTTTAGTCTGCAGAAAAACATAATCTTTGTGCGTTTAGTTACCGGTTGAGACTTTTCTTTCTCAGTAGCAGGTCGTATGCGGTAAGCAGGTAGCACGTCCTTGAAAACGACACACAAAGAGGCAATAACCAAAGCCCTAATTTGTTTGAATTTTCGGAAATGTTCAGACTCAAAAGTCTTTATAATGTCTCTAAGTAAGTGAATCTTGAGGGATAAATGAGAATATACATGTTACATTTTCCTCCGGAGATTTCAGGATGTTTTCACATTTGATAGCGATCGAGTGTTTAATATCTGATATCACGCTTCTCGTCGATAACAGCTGCTGCACACCTGACAACTTATCGCCTGCAGTCATGCTTAGGACGACCTTCAACTTTAATTGTGCCTCTAAAGGTACAGACGGTTGAAATTGTTGTGCACAATATATACATCTAAAATAAAATAGAGTATGGACAAAGTAAGAAAACAGAAGACATCAAGAGACATGATGAATAAATGATGCGTATCTTTGCAGATATACACATTCAACTCTTTAATTTAGTCCTATGACTAATAAACTTCGGAGAATTACCTTGTAGTGACCGAATTGTATCAAGAGAACGCGATTGGTTTAATGGAAACAGTTACTGTTATAACCAATTGTGCCAGTGATTGTTTTGCAGTACTCGTTTGTTTAACTGTACCAAAAAACATATATTCTACTTTTGATTGTGACCTTGCACGAATTCGGTTACGCTCAGTAACCCCACTGGCACATTATGCGCGTTAAGTCACGGGTTTTCGCGCACATATAACATATTGTTGTGGGTTTTGTGTGTCGTTATTTATAAGCTATTAACAGCCTTTTTCCATCACACGTGAATTTTCGTAATGTTTGTGCTTGCAACATAGTTTTTATTCCAATTTATAAGCAGTTTGACGTGCTTCTTGCTCACCACCTAAGTAAATCTGTAGTTAGCGTGAAATGAATATTTTTAACAATGCAAAGTCAAACAAGTCAAACTCAACATTTTTCTAGTCAAAAATAGATTGCAGATTGAGTTTTCATGAAAATAAGCCCCAAAACCCATTATATATGTTCCACCTCCTTGATTATAGTGACGGCGAACATAGATGTTCGTAGTTGTTTATAAAATGTAATTAGAAACAATTAAATGTTAACCCAACTATGAATATTATATAACTTATTTGTATTTAGCCATAAAAAGTTATATTCATTATAAGTAGCATTGTTTTGTACTGAAGTGACATATTGTTACGTAACGTATCGGAGAAAAATTATGTGAGTAACAACTGACGTTGATAGTCTTTTCTAGCGGCCTTGTGAACGTATACAGAAATAGTGTATAATACCACATTAAGTAGGCACAAAATCTTCATAAGTAAAACGATAGGTGTCTCTTCTGAGCACGGTGACAAAACCATGTCGTACTTATCACTGATTTATGATGTGTCTGTTATAGGGTTGACGAATAAGTTTCTGTAAATGGAATGCGCAATGGCAGACCAAAATGTGAATAAAGTTATAATGCATATTGTCGAGTAATATCCGAATGGTGCTTACCAATTTTTCTTGCTAACACCAAATGTCTAAACGAAAAACTGCAAGGGTTAGACACTGAAGAGCGCTGTTTAAATGAAGTTCCCCGTGCTTGTAGCGACACAGACTTGAATCAAATAACAACTATTAATGAGTTAATTCATGAATTCCTACTGCATTACAGACTGACTCGTCCGAAGTAATTCATGCAGACAACGTGAAAAAAAGTGAATGAGCAATGGAAGCAGAATCACAAGTTTATAGTATTCATATCTCCTTCATGTCATATTAATTAATTACATTTCCTTCATAAGTCAGACGACGCTTATATGTTGTGATGATACTAACTACAGCAATTCGTAAATAACACTGATTTGGTGCCGTAAAGATTACCTATGAATTTTTATTAACGGAAATCGAAATCTCTAATGCCTAGCGCTGTTTGCAAATAAGAGACTTATAGGTACATTCTGTGACCTGCTATTCGATTAACTTATTGAATGTGATACTGATAACTAAGTCCAAATCTTTATTGCACTACTAATTTGTTGTTTTTCAGAGTTGTATGAATCCATTAAAGTCCTCTTAGGTTTGTGATGACGTTTACACGGGTCTAGAACTTATGGAATTTGTGATTATGGGAGATCATATGAGAAACCGGTTTACAAGTTTACGATAACTGTGTTCCATATTGACTAGTTACATTTTAATTCCACTAATGAATTATTGAAATATAAGTATAGCAACTATACTCAGTGTTTTACATTATAAACCGTGTCCGTATTTATAAATAGTCGTTATGATGTTAGAACAAATATAGATAGAGAATAATATGAATTCATTATGATCCGTGGAATGAACAAGTAATAAGACGGATTACGTAATAATCCATTTCATTTTTAAAATATAGTTACCGATTTATTACAGCACCCTGTCACTTACATCTGATCATTTAATCCTCTGTAATTATGTGAACTCTTCAAATTGTAATCACTTATTACGTAACCCAAGTTTTCAGTTCTTAAATCCACGGATCATTTAAAACCCATAAGATTTTAACACCACTTATCTGTTTGTGAAATCCAGTCCACTATTACACCACGCATTCTTAATGTTTTATTGATTGTTAAAAGCAAATTAACTTTGACCTTAAACTGCACATATATATACTTATGTATATAGTCATTATTGTTAACCTACGTCATTTCAATTGTTCATATTCAGGTTTGTCAACTGTTTCACAAATCGCTGTTAAATCCCAATGAATATTTAGTTGTAAGCAGCTGACGAGAAACTACGAAATATAATGAATGCGTAACACTGTTAATCAAAATTTCTCCAGATTTCATTTAAATTCATAAGCAGAACTGTAGCGGTAAATAAATCCCTAAACTAAATAGCTCTGTAAGTTTTCGACATTGGATGCTGACCATATGTTTTAGTGGACTCATCTAACTGAAGGCGCTAGGTCATGGATCCGCACCATATCACGTGTGGTAACGCTGTGCTCAACATCTGCCGCAATCGCTAGTCAGATTAGATCAGAGATCTTCCGATATATTGGTTATCGCAAAATACACTCTTTCGATCTCCTCGACTCTGACTTTTGATTTCTCTCGGTGGGAACAAAGTATATTAGAAGGTGTTACTGGTAGAAGCGTTGTCGAACACTGAATACCTGTATCATTCTCATTGGTGAGACCAACGCGATATGGTACACCTATTTGCAACTGTGAGTCTGTTTCTTTTTGGGATTTTATATATCATTGCCTTATTTTTTTGAACATTGTGAATTTTTCCGTGTTTTTTCTTGGATATGTATATTTTTTCATATTTCATCATGACTGAACAGACACCCAAAGTACTCAAGCTTAAGACTTTGTCCCCGCCTTCGTTTCAACTGATGCCTTTCTGGCCCGACAATATCGAAGCCCGGTTCTGCTACGCAGAAGCTGACTTCCACGAGCACGGCGTGATCGACACACGTGCACAATTCCTCGCAGTAGTCAAGGCACTACCGCGCGAATTCAATAGGTACGTAACACCTAGTATGTTTACTAGTGATGTTTCCGAACCTTACGAAATCCTAAGACGTTCGATTCTTAAACGATGAGACCTAACCGCAAAGGTTAGATCAACTCTTCAATAACATCGACCTGCAACACGGTTCTGCGACGGACATGTTGCAACGAATGAGAGAAGTGATAGGCCTAAGAACTTTCGACGAAGGCCTATTTAAACAACTTTTCTTGTCTAAACTTCCTCAACAGGTGCAAACTGTTCTTGTCTCGTTTCAAAACAACGCCATAGACGAGCTGGCTGCATCTGCCGATCGTATTTTAGAAATAACGAAATCGTCTACCACATAGGTATTTTCAGTCAAAGAAAAGCCTCAAACGACTCAGAATGACATAACCGAGTTATGTCATACACTCACGCGTTATCTTAATCTTCGCAACGACCGTAATCGCCCACACAGCCCACGTAGAAGCATTTCACGTAAACGATCTGTCTCTAGACCACGAGAGACGGATAACCCCGACTGGTGCTGGTATCATAACCAGTATGGAAAGTCTTCCAGAAATTGCAGAAAACCCTGCAATTTTCCCAACACGAAACCGACTGATTTGAAAAACAACTCGGGAAGCTTCCAAGCCGGCACGCGTTAACGGCAACCGTAGCCGGCGAACATAGCCGTCTGTTGTACGTCACAGATGTGACAACGAGAGTTCGCTACCTCGTCGACACTGGCGCAGAAGTTAGCGTTCTCCCAGCAAATCCTAACGACCGGCCTCACGAATCGGCTCTAAACCTACAGGCGGCAAACGGAAAACCGATCGCTACGTATGGCAAAAGGTACGTTTACCTTAACGTGGGTTTACGCAAACCCATTCATTGGATTTTCGTTGTTGCAGATGTTTCTATGCCAATCATTGGTATGGATCTTCTACAACACCATAATCTGATCATCGACACGCGCAAACGGAGGCTAGTAGACGGAAACACTAATTTATCCGTTTGCGTAACTTCTTTTTCTGGTTGTAGATTATCCCCAGTCACAGTTAAGCATATGATAGACCCACTCTATCAACCACTACTCGACAAGTACCCTGGGATACAACAAACTCAACCGAAACTACCGTGTGTAACCAGCAACGTTACACATCACATCACGATTACAGGACCACCTGTATTCTCTAAAGCACGACGACTAGCTCCTGAAAAGCTAAGGTTAGCGAAAAACAAATTCGATTACATGATAGACTTAGTAATCATACGACCGTCAAACAGCCCTTATGCATCTCCGTTGCACATGGTCCCTTAAACAGACAGCAACGATTGGCGTCCAACTGGTGACTAACGGCGATAAATATTGATTTAAAAAAAACGATTTTAATATGCTCATATATTTATATTTTTATTTATAAAAAAAGTTTTCAACGCTATTACGTGTGCTTGAGTTTATTTTCCTTTTTTCGCCGATACTGTGTTTTTACGTACATACAAGTGTATTTCGACATGCACTTACATTTTCTTTTTTCTTTTCCAGGACGGCTGGAAATTACGATGCAGTTTACGAAGAGCCGAAATTTTCATTGTACCTTTTCTTTTTTTTTACTATGTTGTACCTCGGTCCCATATAGTAAGGAAAGACGACCAGACGCTGCTAAATTTAGTAAGCTATCACAAGAGTGTTTAACAACGACACACTCGTTGGGTTTAAACTTCTGGCTGGACACGTCTTAGGGTCATCACTGCCCCACTAGGGGGGAGTGATCTGTAGCGGTAAATAAATCCCTAAACTAAATAGCTCTGTAAGTTTTCGACATTGGATGCTGACCATATGTTTTAGTGGACTCATCTAGCTGAAGGCGCTCGGTCATGCATCCGCACCAGATCACGTGTGGTAACGCTGTGCTCAACATCTACCGCAATCGCTAGTCAGATTAGATCAGAGATCTTCCGATATATTGGTTATCGCCAAATACACTCTTCCGATCTCCTCGACTCTGTCTTTTGATTTCTCTCGGTGGGAACATAGTATATTAGAAGGTGTTACTGGTAGAAGCGTTGTCGAACACTGAATAACTGTATCATCCTCAGAACTATTCACATGAAATTATAGTATACTTAGGTACTAATACTAATTTGATAATAAACGTAATTCGACGACGGTAAATATGTTATGTGTGTGCCTAATCTTTAAGACCCTACCTGGAAGTAGCGTCATTCATTCCTTATTAATTCTTACAGACACTAACTCGTGAACATTATTGGTACCCATCTCCATGAAAGTAAGAATAGTAGGAAAATAAAAATTATGCAAAATGTTATTGAATAATCATAACTGCTGAAGCAGAAAATCAAGTTTACAAGTTGGTATTAAGAACTCTTAATTAATAATTGTTCACTTTCTTCTCCACTTCCGTTGCGAAACTTTCGCCATACTTATCAATGATGCGATGCTTATTGATTCTTTTGCTTCGTTGAATGCTTATGTACAATTCATTCCGTCTTGGTAATGCAGTTGTTGTATTATTTTGGAAGTTCTGCGTAATATGTAACTTCCATCTGCTACAATACCTAAGAAGTTGATGAGCTATGCAGTTTATATTTCATAATTGATATAGCTTACCTGTAAGAGTTCGTCTTTTAACGTATGAACGTAGCATATGACGGCACGGATATTGACACATAGTAAACGTGCTACAATTGCATTGACAAATGCTTACATCCACTTCATAATATTGTCTGCGGTCAATCATAAACAACCAGTCGCCGCTTTCATATTACACGTAAACGAAACGCATTTTTTTGCGTTCATATAACACTTTGGATCTTGCGAACTGGGTCATTATGTTCAGCAAGGGTATAAGACGCTGTGAAGCATTATATTTATAAGATCTCTCGGCTATTACTTGATCTTTGATACTTTTCCTAGTTGACGTCATTTCACTCCATTTTAAAGTCTTGAACATACATTTGCACAGACTACCACTTTTCCGTACATATCGTTTTATCTGCCTATTTAGCGACTCAACACGATTATTCGTGCTGTTACACAATGTTGAAACATTGCCGTAAAACTCACACGCCCACATTGTCTTACGTGGCATCCCAAAACGCGATAGGTACTGGTCTATTAATTTGTCTCGTCGATTTATTATTCTGTAATATTGATTAAATCTAGTGAATAAATACATTACAAAAATTACCTTCCAACCGTTTCCGCAGTTACTAATTGAGTCAAGTACGTTTTCAGTATTTTGTCGTTTTTCTAAGGGCAATTTTATATAAGCAATCATTGGTGTACCTTTTTCTGGGAAGCGTGAATTACATGAAAGGCGTGCAGACTGATGCTTGCATGTCCGTGTGTTATACATACAGCCGCGGTTTGAGATCGTGCGCAATCCATTACAAATGTTTCTGTCAACGTAGTGTTTCCCATTATCTCTTTGAATTTATCTAAAATCCATGTCACATCAGCACGCTTTTCTTTTCGTGTCCACGCAAACATAACAGTTCGTCCTCGACCCCAATTATCTGTCACCAATAGCTGGAATAACGAATATCAACAGAATAAAATACAACGAAAAACATATTCACTTTTTATTATTAGTAGTACACGTAGAATCAATGCACAGAACTTCTGGATATTTCCTGTACAACTGGATTTGGTCATAACTACTGAAAAATATTCTCGTTGCATATCAAATATCCACAATGTTCTCTCGCTTCATCTTGTTGTCGCAGCAAATCCATTACCTGCTTCCGAGCACAACAACCTGAAATATATTTGCATACACCTACCAGTGGACAGTTCACCTTTCATACCTTTGACATCGGCAGCGGTTACTTGCTTACCAGTTCTCTCCTTAATACTTGCGATAACTTCATCTGTTGACTCACAGTGCAGTATTACTGGCTTTAAGTCCTCTTTTTCATCTGATGATAAACTTCTTGTCCATGGATCACATACCATCCATGAACTACTGCATGTATGATTGTGTAGCATCTTGTTGGATTTGATGACAAATCCTTGCTCCTCTAGTCTTACACGGAACTTTGATTGACAGTTAAGGAATTTGGACCTTAAACATAGGATATTAGTCAAAGATCTCACAGTTTTTGATTCACTTCCAAACATTCCGATTTCCGTTTATGACCAAACGTACAATGAAACGTTACAAACAGGTATTTGACCCTGACATCCTTCAGCAACTTGCTTTCCGTGTGGATTTGATGAGTATGGGTAGTCTGAGAAGCGATAAAACTATTTATCCACACTTTTTTGAACTCTTTTAGCGCGCTATCAATGTCGTCCCAGCACGCGAAACGCTTGTTCACTATCATACTTTGAAAAGCATCGCTAAGGCCCACTGAAATGTCACTTGATCACGAAGCACTACGAACATAAATCATTAATTATAAAAAAGAAAGTACTACAAATATTTAAGATCTACTGGTGACTTGACATTTCGTTAAGGTTTACTGCAGCAGTTGGGATCACAGATCAAGTTACGAAGTAACAACAGAGCCAACATGTACACTACAAAACAGAGGACGCTCGACTAATGCTTTTGGCAGTTATTTTGTGCTTTCTAATGCAGCGAAAGATGACTTAAATATGAAAAAGCTTGATACACATGCAACCAAAAAAACCCACGGTAATTGAAATACGGAATGACCGTGTATTGTCAGACCGTTCAAGGTCGTTGGAGCGAAAGGGCGGGCAGCCTCGAAAGACCCTAACGTTTTTCCCACGTCCCACACTTATAACCTGGCACGATTTCGGTATTCTTTCGATACCACGGGACTGCCAACGAACACATTTCGACTACAGCAATCAACTGCCTCCTGATACTTGGTTTACGGGGGATCTTATCAGTTAACTGGCACATAGTCTTCCTGTAGTGGTGATCATAGTCAACCGTGACTCGACGCCACACTACAACTGGTGAGCTAAATCTAGGGATAGGTCGCAACCCCTGGTCAAAACCGCGACTCTATACCACGTTATAACCTCGTGCGTTGGAATGAAAAACGTCAAGCGCGAATACTTTATTGTGGTTTCCTGAGTTGTATAGGACGATCAAGCCACCTCTTGTTCTTCTGCAACCCAAAAAATACAGTTTATATCAGCGATGTTGATCGCCGTACGGATTTATGTTAGCCTAGAATCCATGTTCAATGCACCCCGTTCATTTGAATGAAAAGATTCATATTCCGTTTACCGAGGAGTTTAAGGCAGCAATGTTGACCTGAATATGTATACGAAAATAAACCTTAAATGACCCTAGATCGACTGCATATAAACTTTATCGAAAAGGGTCGAGATATGGTTCAGAAGATTTATGGCGCCTAAAAGTGGAGAAAAATATTCTTGAAAAAGAACAGTGTAGTGTGATGTCAATTCGTGGTTGATCACCACTACAGGAAGGTTGCGTACCAGATATCAGAAGGTGATTGAAGGTTGTAGCGAGATATATTTGTTGGCGATCTCGTGGTATTGTGCCAAAAGAGTACAAGCGGAATCACTGAGCAAAAGTAAGCGCGTGTTAGGTCACAACCAACGGAAGAAAGAATGTCTTTTGTACAGTCAAACAAAAAAGTACAGTAAAACAACCACTGTCACAATTTGTTATAATAATAACTGTTTCCATTAAATCAACCACGTTCTCTTGATAAAAGTAGGTCACTACAGGAGCCCTCTGCTAGAAGGAATTTACATACTAGATACGTAGCGATTTCGTCCATGGGACTGACCGGCAAACGTGCGATTGTAGGACGAAAGGGTTGGAGGAACAAGAAGCGATCATTGATCCTCGACTTGCCGTATTTGTTGCTCGAGTTAGCGTACTACACTAGAGTGATAGTCTCGTTCGTACTTCGTGAGCCTGAAATCAGATCCGAAGTCATGGGCGGCGTGGTCTGCCCATCTGGACGTGAGACTATCATCTCGTCCATAGGTGGAGCAGATAACGCGTGCTGTTGACTGGGACGTTAGAATGAGGTCTCTTATGTATCTAGCGTGGGACCTGAAGAACGTTTAAGGATCCAGCTAGTAGGTTTGATAAGTCTAGCAGTAGGTCTCAAGTTATCTGGTAGGGCACTGTTATCGACGTGTGATGGTTCGAGACCATCAATGCTGACGGTCTCGACCAGTGAACTATTGTGGGGCAGGTCTGTTTAAAAAGTCACTCTTTCCATCTTAGAAAGGACTTGCGACTCACCCCCCTGTTTCTTTTGTAATGGACGATTTGTTCTCCGATACCAGTCTATTCTCTTTGAGCTTTGGCAGTTTGCAAGCTTCTTTTATTCTTTCCACAGCCATATAAAATCGAATAGTAAATTCTTTCCTAGGTCTATTCTGTTGACTAACATTGAATATTTTCGTCTTCGCTTATCTTCTTATATTGGAGGATCATTTACTACTTTATAGATTTGAATCTCAGTCGAGATGATCTTAGCTAAATCAACTCCGCAAAAATTGTAGATTGATCGCGCAGATTGATTAGGCGGAAATATAACACTATGGTACAAAAGCCTATTTTCTTTGAACAAGTTAAGTCATGCATCCTAAGCTTTCATAATGCTAATGACAAGAGTGTCACAGACGAAACGCATTTTTTACAAAGTTTATGTGAAGCTGTAGAATCTGTCCTACGCATGGGACTAAAGTGTAGTCATCGCCTAATAAAGCGAAAGGATTATTGGAACTGGATGAAAAGCATTCCACGCATGTGCGAAAAATGGGAAATATTTGTTCACCCAAGTTACTTGCAGGCAATTAATCACGTAAGTGGTATTTAGTTAGCAATCCATCGATTGCTAATGTATGTTATAACAACCGTTATAACGGTTACAATCGTTAATATGGGTATATATATATATATATATATATATATATATATATATATATATATATACCCATATTAACATATATGTTTGTATACAGTGGTGTTTACCCATATGCGTAGTAATCGCTTCAAAAATTTCGGGTGTAATATATAGATAAGCAGTAATAGCAGCCAAGTTGTTGATGATCCTAAGTAGTTTCATAAGCGATTAGATAACTGTATTGCATGCGTCAGTTTTTTCACAGAATGCTCTTAACATATATTTGATATGGCACTTTCTATATCTCCATACAAGTCCACAACCCTACTTTCGATTTCGTGTATCACTTCTAAGACTGACAAGAATCAGCCAATAATTATTCAATTGCTCATCTAAATATGCTGTTTAAACAGCACTAAACATGTATAATTTTACGTTTTTTAAAAGACTATATCGAGGAGAAAACTACCAAAATCCTTCAGAGTGGTTTGGTAAAGAGCATGCATTCACCAGAGTCGCCTGATTTCCCCAGTTTCAAGGGTCTTATGCACGAAAGAAGCTTATTTTTGTATTTATTCTAGACATCAGGGGAAAAAATTCTCCAGTCTTGTTTCGTCATCCTAGTCTGTTAGGTGGCTCTGTGTATAGTTCATTCCACTCTACAACTGAATAATGGGAAATAAACCCAATCCACCAACTGAATTTATGGGGTTCATATTTATTTGGGAACAGGTAAGTCTAAGATATTTGTGACATGGTTCGAGGAACTATTCTCTCTACTCTCCGTCATATTTCGGAAACTTCAGCCGCATCACTTTTGTTTATCAATCATATTATTTAGTCTAAACATTTCATCCTAGCAGTCACGATATTTTATAGTCTGCTTTTATGACGGAAGTATTTTATAAAAATGTCCATATGCATTTTATGCTAGATCATTCCGTCATACCATGTAATTATGATCTGGTAACCGAAATAGCTAACAAATTGAGACTACCGGTACCTAATTAACTGAGTCTTTGGCTTACATGTAGAAAGTACAAATAAACTTATTCCCTGTTGATATAGATCAATTTACTATTCTGCTTATCATTGTCCACTAATTTCACTAGTTAAGTTCATTTTTTCCTTTAATTTTACTTTATTGTAGCAACTTGATTTATGTTTGATGCAAATATTCTGTCGATTTATTGGTTGAATATTTTGAATATTGTGATCGGTCTGCCGACATCTAATATACTTTATATGCTGATACAAATCATAGATATTCGGATAAGATTGTTTTCTTAGCCTTGCTATTTTCGTTTTGTGTGAGGTCATAGTTACGTGCCTGTTTATATCCAACTTATTTGATCAAATGTTAGCTATTTACAGCGGTTTGAACTAGCATGCTCATAATGGTGTTCAAAATTGACGATCAAATCTTAGTCTTATACTGTTAAACAAACGTATGGTTAGTGATTGAGTATTGGAAGCCCTGCTACCATGTTATTTTAAAATTTAAGCTTTGTACAAGAAGGGTATAGTGATCCATGGTAAGTTTGACTTACTGCTAGACATAAACGTTTCAAACAGCTAAGCAAGCCATCACAGTTTACTTTTATTGTGTTAATTAGTTTTATCAGTCAGATAACTCATCATACCAGAAGTGGGGAACGACAGAATTTTAGGAACAGGTAGATTTAATGTGCTTAAAAACTGGGCGTGTTCATAGGTGGTATAAACGGGAGTTGTACTGTGAAACACCGTAATTTGTCGTTTGTTTCCTATTGATGAGTAAATTGGTACGGTTTTATTATTTTTGAATTACGCAACTTTTTGTCATATTTCATTGAACAGTTTTGTTCAGCATACGTTGATTTTTGTCAAATTGATTTTATAGGTTCACAAGTGCCGTAGTGTCACCACTGCTCAAGGACGTGGGCGTCTCCTTATTCGTATGTTATTGAGTTCCGGAACTTTGGATTTCCCATTTAAGTTACTGCTAAATAACATGCATTTATCAGCTCCATTCTATGAGGAGTCTGAATCAGTTATGGGGAACGATATTCTTATTCAAATATTTTCTTCTCTTGTCAGTGAGGTTTGTCGGATTCCTTTTAATTTGAATGTGGATAATACGGAATTCCTTGATGAAACATGGTGTCTTCCAACATTTAAGACGTTTACATTCGTTCCATGCAAGTATGACACATTACACTATAAATTATACCACAAATGTCTCGTATTTAATTTTAGATTTTTATGTAATTCACTATATTTATCAGCTTTATGGTCCAAGCTTTAGTATCAAACGAATATTTACACACTTAGTGTCTATACAAATCTACCGAAAACTGCATTAGTTATATTTATTTATTTTAACACAGATATTGGTACAAGGAGGCACCAAATACATATGCGCCAAACAAATCTCGCTTGATTTGTGTGAGGGCTGTGATACTGCCCGGATGCCCAAACCGAAACAGGTGGTTTTCTTAGAGGGCCACACCCAGAGCCTTCGACATGAAGGTCTGATCCACAAGGCAGTGGAGTATCGTAAGGAGATGCAGTCCCATGGTAGCCGGTGACCAACAATTGGTTCATACGCCATTTGTTCCTTCAGATAAACTTATACCAGATGTTGAATCCAAAATTAAAACTTAGTTACAATCATTTTAAGTAGATCGTTTTATCCAATATGACATCAAGACTATTAAAAAAAGCTAACTTGATAAGATGTCAATATTTTAACACAGTAACTAATAATCAATGAGTTGCATTGACTCAAACATTTGTATTTTTATATCTGAAGTACATCACTCGTATCTAGTCGACAAGTAAAGTTAGTGCAATAACTGTAGTAGCAGGGAAATTAAACAGTAATATAATACAAAATAGTCTTGTTATTACTTAAGGTGTAGTTCATTAAAATGTCGTTCAGATAAATCTCATTTTATTTTTTATATTAATGATAATACCTTTCCAACAGCTTCAAGATCCTAACCTTGCTCGATAGGTTCTCAGAGTTATTCAGTAATTCATTAAGACATTGAATTTTAGTACTAAGTAAATTCATATATAGCCAAATTATAAACTGTGATGATATTTCCGAATGCTCTTTTAATTATTATCGTGATATGTATTGTCTACGATTTCGAATTTCATTGGATTATATGGTGTAATAATTATCTGAAATACTCATATCAACATGCTAAAAAACTGTTTTTGGCTATAAAGCAGCGTATTATTTTTAGGTGGGATTCATTATAGATTGATTGGAGTTGCAGTACCATTAAAAACCAGAGAGCACCGGGTAGCTTTCTCATCCTAGCATAGGACTTAGTAATGCGCGCTCAAAACTCCACGAGAGATCAAACTTAGGACCTTCAGATCCTGCGGCAGGTGTTTAGCCATTATAATCATTGCGCTGATCTCTATTGATTTGCGCTTCCAACTTCGAACAGTTCGCATCCAACTCATCATCCAGTGGGGCTGGTAACAACTTCGCCACTCCCTACATGGATGATTTCCATGTCACAAATTCCCACTTAAACTCCGGGAATTTGTCTCGAAATAGGTCATAATATTACCTTATATCTCTTTTTTGGCTTATTTTCACGTGGTTTATGATCTCTCACTTTGAGTTTAAACTCTATATCATTCAATAAATCGTATTATTCGGATATTTTATCTTCTAGAAATAGTCATTGTTACTAGTTTTATAGTTTCTACAATCCTAAAAGACTCACTGAGAAAATTAACGGACAAGGATAACTGTATTTTTTAAATGATTCTTGGCTATCATCTGATGAGCTAAAAGCTGAATACTTCGTTTGTGAACTTTTTTGGTCGGTATTCTTTAATATTTTTATTTTCACTATTTCTACATACATGCTTTATGACTACAAGTGGAGAGAATACTTTCGCTATAGTTTGCATTCTCGCCAACCGTGTTTACAATTGTTTGGTTACATACAGCTTTGTTTTACATCGCATCACTTACTTATTTCTCTTTGGTCCCATTTTGTGTATTATTTTATTTCTCAACTCACATAGTGGTCCGTATGTGATGGAAACCCTGTAATGTTTAGACGATTTCAAGCCACTGGCTGATAAAAGTTTCGAGTAATTTAATGAGATACTATTGTTGATACAGCTTTTACAAAACTGCGTATGCCACTAAAACTGGTCTTCTTCAACGTTCACATACTGATGCAGATCTCACGACAGATAGGCTTGGCTGTCTTTGGAAAGTCATGAAATCGATGTTCGCTGTATATCCGAGACCCGTATTGAAGACTCCAGCAAAGTACTACAGCTTCGTTCTTCATTTATTGGATCGAAAAGCTTGTCTCAAGTATACTTATCCGGGAACCGTATGGGTTCTTCTTCCGGCTGGGTTGTCGTCAATGTCACGCTAAACGCCATGATATCTGTCAGCTACAACGTAGGACCAGGCACGTATATGCACCGGTCCAAGTTGCCATACCTCAATAGCACAACAAGATGAACACCGAATTCATAGAAGTAGTTACTTCAATAGTAGTAATATACAAAAGAAATATTGTGTATAAGGATATAATACAGGAAGCAAGAATCAGTTCGTAGAAAGAAAGACACAAAGCAATTTTAATCCCATGGTTTAAGAAGAGACAAGGAGTGTATACATCTACACCATTGTGATCGATTCTGAGCCATGTCACTCAGAGCCTCTAATAATTGGTTACGATAGTTACACGGGCCTCAACCAAGTAGTCTGCATCTACCAACATGGCTCAAACCAGAAGTTCGTGACTTCAGTGACTGATACCACGTTTTGGTATGGCCACCTCTCACTTCATTCCAACCATCCCCAACACTAGTCAGCATTGCGCGTCATGGTAATCGGTGTTCAGGCATACGTAACACATGGCCCAACCATCTCAGTCGATGAAAATTTACAACCTTATCAGCTGATTTACCATCATTCCGTAATGCCCTGCGTGTAACCTCACTATTACTTGCCCGGTGATCCCAACAGATGCGAGCAATATTTCTAGGACACTTGTAATCAAATACTAGTAGCCTACGAGTATCCTCTACTCTTAGTGGCCACGTTTCACAGCCGTAAAGTAGAACGAATTGCTGGGCAGTATACTCGTCCCTTAATTCATATACGAATATCTCGCCTTCGCCATAGGTAACATAATTTGGCAAAAGCCAAACGAGCTTTTCGAATCCGTGCTGAGATTTCGTCAGACACCAACCCATTAATTCTGATTAGACTTCAAGAGAAGTGAAGTTGTTGTCGCGTTCGACTACTTCACTCTCTATCCTTGGTTCAGGTGTTGACGCAGGCCAGTCCTGAAACAACTACTTACATTTAGAGGAGGAGAAGCGCATCTCAAATATTCTGACATTGTTGCTCAGAGCTACCAAAAGACTGCATTTTATCAGCGTCTTCACTAAACAGGACTATATCATCTGCGTATTCTAAGTCTATAAGTGAACCTCCTGTTAGGAGATCGATGCCCGAAAATTCAGTCGACGAGAGTGTTATTTCCATCAATAGGTCTATGATGAAGTTGAATAAAAATAAAGATGGTGGACAGCCTTGACGGACACCACTTGAGGTTGCAAAAGCAGACGACAGTTCGCCATATGCTCTGACTCAATTAGTAGTGTTTAAGTAAAGAGCGTTGGGAAGATTTGTATGCTTCTGAGGTACGCCTTCCAACGACAGACACTGCCACAGAACCTCTCGGTCTATAGAGTCAAATGTTGCTTTTAAGTCGAGAAAGACCACAATTGTCAGACGCTGATAAGTATATCTGTGTTCTAGAACCTGACGAATGGTGAATATGTGGTTGATACAGCCGCGTCCAGGTCTGAAGCCAGCCTGATTTTCTCGTGTTTCATTTACACTTGACTTCTTAATTCCAAATTATTTCAGTAGTCTGTAAAGCTTTCTAGTGTTACCTACAGCCGCTGCTTTTTCAATCTCTTCCTTTCGTTGCCCACCACTGCTCACAATCGTTCTTTAGACTTTTCGTTAGCCTAGATCTGATTTGTTTTCCCTCTTTATCGTGTTCAGAAACTGATGGGATGAGTTTACAAGAATCTATCAGTGCAATAGAGTTAGTAGTAATCCACTGATTTTTCGTGACCCTTTAGTTCAAATTACTAATAGATGTCGTCGTTGTTTCCACAGCTGTTCGTATATCTTTCCAAGAAACATCTGAGTCAGCCTCGTTTTCAGAACTGCCTAAGTGTGACCTCAATTGTTCCTGGAACCTACTTTTGGTTTTCTCGCTACTCAATTCAGTTCTAATGGGTCTTTTTAGTGTGGCTTTTTTGCGTCCAGTGAGGCGCAAGCAGATGCGTGCCCGTATTAGGGCATGGTCGGAGTCCAAGCAGGTACACCAGAATGAGCGACACTCTTCTACCGACCCTCTCCAACGATGACTGACGGCAATATGGTCTATTTGAGTTCATCGTTGATTTGGCTCAGGGGGTCGCCATGTTAGGCAATGTCTCTCCTTATGTTTAAAGTTAGTGTTTGCTAAAAATAAACGATTGTCTGAGCACAGTTGCAGCAGACGATTACCATTATCTGCTCGCTGTGACGGAATACTAAAATACCCACCTAAATGCCTTTCTGTTTGGTTTAAACTATCTATCTGGGCATTAAAGTCACCTGCTACGAATACTATGTCTGAACGTTTAGCTTTCTGAAGAAGTTCAGAAACAACAAAAAGGCAACGACGTGTGTCTTTATCCTTCCTAGTTCGTACGGAGCCGTTTAGCCGAACAACACATAAGCGACTGTTAACGGGGATCCATTCTAATAGTGCTTGTTCAGCCCTCGTACTTAACGCTATGCCTGCACCTGTTAGTCCACGAGAATTAGCCATCAGGTCGCCAGAAACACGGAGGGTGTATCTCGTCAGCTCTTCGTTTTGGCGAGGTGAGGTCAAGTGAATGAGCACATTGAGGTCCTGTATGCGTGTTTTGAAGAGACAGCTTACATCAATGGTACAAAATTCTAGTGTTTTGGCCAAGGAAGACTGCTGGTTGATTCGACATAGGGTACGTACGTTGAAGGCTACAATGTGTAGTTTGGAGCGAGGTTTCAGTAGACCTGTGACAGCTTTTTACTCACTAGAATCGTTGGCCATTGTGACACTTGAGGAGGAAGTTGAAAGAGGAGTTTTAGAGTTGAAAGTCGAGGTAGGAGGAATAATAGGAATTGATAGATTATGAATAGATAGATTATGAATACAGTGATCTTGAGTGCTATTAGAGGTATGAGGGCGGTTATCACTTCCCGGTTACCCACACCGTGGAAAGGTTCTTCTGGAGGTACGTGAAGAGGAAATTGGGTTAGGAGTGGTCTTAGTGACCCGAGAGCATAGCCGCAGTGCCCAAGAGACAACTGCTTGAGGTCGATCGCACATGACCTTACTGCCGGAGACGGATATCCGTGGGATGAGGTGAGGTGCGCATTTCTAGGGTCGACCTTTTCTAGCCTCGCCCCTACTTGTGGGAAGGCAGCATCGCTGTTATGCTGGTTGTCTGACGGAAACACCTTACTTCCGTCACACCTTTGTACAATCAGCAGTACGACTTTGCCCTCAGACATTGGATTTACTGCTTTTAGTCTTACCGCTCTTCAACCGACCTGTCTAGTATGGTAGGACCATGAGGGATGACTGTTTCAGCCAGTATAGCTCGACTGGTTCATTAGGATAGGGAAGCCCGATCACCACGTCAAGGTAGCAGCAACGGCCGGGACGCCATGATATAGGCAATACTGATCGATTAGTTCCTCAGTAAAAGTCGATTTTGTGGATCAAATGTTTGATGATAAACCCTCAATTCTTTATAAGAATGATGGTGACCTTCTGGTCAGGGAACTGACTGGGTTGTTTGGTTGGGTTTGGAAAACAGAATGTTTCGACATCTTGTACGACTTGGTGTCATGGTATGGAAAATGATGTGCAAGACCGATATCTGTTGGCCATTTACAACTCCCAGTTGGGGTTCTTGAAACAGTGCAACACAATAGCTTGGGATGTTATCGGTAATGGCGCAGAATAGAAGCCATTAGCTGTCCTGGTGTGATCTACTACTTCCTTCATGTAAATGTGAGAAAATCTCTCGAATGAATTGAATTTCTGGTTGTATTTTTCTAACTAAACTGGTTATTCTATTATATACTACTTTGTACACTTAGTTCTACCAATTCTTTTTTTCGATGGTAATTACTTCCTCTTCTTTATCTCTCCACAATTTCATTTTCTTACTTTTTGATATACATTTATTTTAGTGTCTTCCAATTGAAACATTAAAAATATGAACTGGGTAAAGAAGTAATTCTTTTCAATTGATAAAGTCAAAATAAAAACTAAAGTGAAATTATTATCAAGTTACAATCACACATCTCTAAAAAAATATTTTCGAATTACTCAACTTTTCCAGTTTTGTTACATTTTAATTTCTAATTTTAATATTACCTTACTCTGTTGAATGATCTGATTATCTAATTTTCATTCTACTCATTCTATTAATTACTTATTTTCGATCTTATGAGTAACATGAAACGTTTATAATTGTATTAAACTTTAATTTTTATTCGTCATCTTATGTAACTAGTGTTAGTAATTAACCAATTATGAAATTTCACCTTAGTTTTGATTTTATGGAAGTTTTGTTAACTGATTACTAACTATATCGTTAAATTAATTCACCACCATTTATTTAATATTGATTTTATACTTAATTCTAAAGCATATATATTAGTGTAAGACTTCAACGAGGACCTAATTGAAAAGAATTACGTCGTTACTCAACTTATATTTCTGGTGTCTTTTAATTGCTAAAATATAAAGCCCATGTATTTAGATGTAACTCAATAGCTGACTAGTAGCTGATTAATTGAAGTGGTTTTACTGACTGGTTACCAAAACTTAATGAGTGAAGTGAGTGTAAATTTATGAGTTATTGGGTGAGAACCGGTCACCTACAAGACGAAGCAAAAACTCTACGCATCTTAATTACATTACGGTGTCTGACTCAAAAGCGTTCACTATTGTTGAATTTAACTCCTTTTCAGATATCTTGTTTCCTTCTGCTGTTATAGTTTACTTAAGTTACCCACTTATATTCACAGTTTTATGAATTGTAAGATTTCTATATTTTTTCCCTGATTCTTTGCATAATAGACTTATTAATAATTAAATAACCAATCGTGTTTCATCCCCGATAGAATGCTTGGTGCTCGTGTCGAAACGGTAGATGGCCATTATTTAGTTACAGAAGTAGATCCTACTGGAGTTGTTGCAGAAGATCATCAGATAACTGTTGGTGATATTCTATCTACCATGTATGGTTGTACATTACACAATTCTGGGCTCTTTTTAAATAATCTTCGATCTCTTTATGATGGCCAACCCATTCCAGTTGGTGTTACGAAAGCTTTGATGCCTGACGGGCGTATATATCCCCGTTTGAGATCTCTTTTAGAACAATATGGTTATTTCAATTTGATTGCAGATCTCGAAAGATCAGGACCAGGTACTTTACTTGTTAATACTGAATTTTAGGTCAACTGTAATATTTCGTTAACCTTTTGTTGTTTAGTGACTAGTTATAATTGTCATGAAGATTAATTTTTACGTTGTTACCCCTAGATGGTTATGGCTGTGTGAATGTTCTTCAAGCCATATATTATTCTTCATATCTTACTAGATAGAACCAGAAATCTTCAGGGAAGTCAATTATGAAAGCTAAGAGATTGAATTCACTAGAAGTAGTTTTAATTATGTTCTATATATGTCACCTTTATGTTCATACTGTCTTGTTTTTAGATTATGTAATAAGGTTATTGTGATTCGGGCACAGTTTTCCGATTTGCTGGATCGGGGAAAATTTTAAGAGTTAGTGCAAGGAAAATACTAATGTCCATAATCTGTGTATCAATAGGTAATAATAGTGTAGTTAAAATAATTATGATAAATAGCTTATGTAATATATTCATTCATTGGACTTATATCAAGTCCAAAATTCAGCAAATTTTATTCTCTGTTGTTACTTCTGTTTAAGGCCTTTCAAGTTGACAAACAGTTATGAGGGTATCACAGCCATCTAATTATCAGCTAATTAGAAACATTATCGTTTGTGTAAAACACCAATAATATTATCGGTATAGGGTTGTGGAAGTTGTTGAGTTTTAATTAAATTCATGAACTGATCAATGTTAGACCACCATTGAAAACCTAGAAATACTGAACGGCCGTTTTGCCCTAGTATGGAACTCTTTAGCAGTGGGACATGGGCCCAAGACCCTTGACCCGACCTTTGTCGCTACCTTGACGTGGTGATCGGGCTTCTCTATCGTAATGAACCAGTCGAGCTATACTGGCTGAAACAGTCATCCCTCATGGTCCTACCATACTAGACAGGTCGGTTGAAGAGCGGTAAGACTAAAAGCAGTAAATCCAATGTCTGAGGGCAAAGTCGTACTGCTGACTGTACAAAGGTGTGACGGAAGTAAGGTGTTTCCGTCAGACAACCAGCATAACAGCGATGCTGCCTTCCCACAAGTAGGGGTGAGGCTAGAAAAGGTCGACCCTAGAAATGCGCACCTCACCTCATCCCAGGGATATCCGTCTCCGGCAGTAAGGTCTCAACAGGTACGGAGCTAACACGGAAATTACTCACAAAAAGGTCGTGTGCAATCGACCTCAAGCAGTTGTCTCTTGGACACTGCGGTTATGCTCTCGGGTCACTAAGACCACTCCTAACCCAATTTCCTCTTCACGTGCCTCCAGAAGAACCTTTCCACGGTGTGGGTAACCGGGAAGTGATAACCGCCCTCATACCTCTAATAGCACTCAAGATCACTGTATTCATAATCTATCTCCCAAGACCCTTGGTGTCGAGCGCGAACGCTTAACCTCTATACCACTGAGCCGGTATCTAACGGTGTTAATATCTAATTTTTACCAATCGGCGATACTGCGCAACATTGTTTAACGTTGGCCAAAAAAGTAATATTGGTGAGAACAAAGAACCATTTATGAAGCACAGTATATTTTTGGCAGAACTTAGTTCCGAGAAACGCATTTGTGCCTAGAACTGCGCAACCCACAAACAGATTGTTTATGATAAGTGGCAAGAGACAATTTAATGAGGGAAACTGTCGTAGTAATTATTTACTAATTAGCTTGAAAATTAGTGATCATGTTTGATAGTTTTTTTTTAATTTGATGAGGAACAAAAAGATTTTGCACTAGTATATGTATTTTTCATCGTTCTTTTTTGTTATCATGGTTGATAAAAAAATCAATGTGACTTGTAACTACTATTTGCTTATCAATTTTTGAAATACATTATGTATCTGCCCAGTTTATCAAACTTGTTTTGTCCTATTGAATTTAATTGCTAAATATGTCGATTTTAACATGTCTCATATTTACAAATACGAAATCACTACTTATAAAGCATGGACGGTAAGCTTTGTCATGCACATTGAATTTTGTTGTATTGACTTGGAATGTTAGTTTGTAAATTTTTATAGTTGGTTTCCTGAACTGAAGCATCTATCAAAGGACGAGAAACATTGGTTTAAGATCAAACTAGTAAATCTGGGGAACCACTGTTTTATCCCACTAGAAGTTCTCATAAGTGCATTGCTGAGAAAATATAGAAAATCCCTCCCCCACATCTTAAAAAAATCAAATACCACAATTGTTGTTCCCCTGTGCTTTAGAAAGTTTCAAGAAACAACTAATCGTATAGAAATGGTTGTTTGTTTTTGTAGCATGTCAGTTTTAATAACTCAATCATTGGTTAAGTAGACATTAATCTTTGTGTACTTTGCTTTTTGGTTTTTCCCACTAGTTCATATTATTGACAATTCGAAGTTTCTTGATCAGGAACCTTGGTATCATTTTCGATATATTGGACAATGTGAAGTGGGTTCAAGTGGTGGAGTTAATTTGATAAATCAGTCTATTGTTTCTGTTTTAAGTAATTTTAAAAAATCAGATGAGCAATGTCCTGTGCACATTGAATTGGGTAAATCAATGATTGTTTCTTTTTTTGTTATATATATACTAGCCAGATTGGTGGTTCATCTAAGCTTTTTACTGTTAACCTTAGAGTAATCATTTACTCAGTTTCCTTGAATTCTTTATTAGCTTCTCCTTATGTAATTTAGTCACATAGTTCTATTGTTAAGGTAGATACCTTTCTTGTTATGGTTTCTGGAAGTATACTAGCTTCGGTTTTTTCAGTCTTTACTAAACACTTGTCCACATAAACAGTATGATCGAACTGATAAATATGTTCTTCTTATAATCAATATGTACCTTGATTTTATTCATTTGATCTTTTGTCTCAGTTATATATGCAGCTCAGTTGATGTAACATTCTTTCGCTCTAAAGATTAAGAAATCCCGGATCCTGTATATGTTAGCGGTATACAGATTGGATTAAAGCACGTTCCGTGCAGGATTATGTTAGGACATGCTTATTAGCTACTTCTTAACGAATTAGCGCCGGTGGATACTTGGAGAAGACTCTAGAATCTTCTTATGTAAAAACCGTAAATGTACTAACGTTTTTTTATTGTGCTTCCTACTTCCATCTACCCTTGTTATTTGGAATATAATTTCGTTCCTGTTCAAACGTGTTCTGATATGGGGACTTGCCCAGTAAATTGGTGTCCAAGAATAGGAATAGCTGGGTCGTAATAGGAAAAAATTATAACAGCATATTGATAACGTTAAGATCTCTCGATTATCTAATTGAGCTTACGTCTGTGATTTTATAAATTGTGGATTCTGCATTTTTCCACTGAACACTCTCACATTGTCTTCTATTTCTGCTGTTTTTAACGTCGCTGAACTTTAAATGGTAAGATACAGTAACTTAGTTGGAAAATGTTTTTTTTTCATTTAAGGTGAACTGGGAGTGATTGTATGGCAGTTACAGCGGAAAGATAATAAAGTTTGTCGTAGTGAAGAACCTCTTCTACGTCATTCCTATCCACAAATATCTTCATGCGGTCGAAGAACCGATGGAACCAATTATTTTGCATATATAGCCGGTGAGGAATCATGCACTACAGCTAGTCATTTTACGTGTTATGTATTTGAATCAACGGATAAAGAAGAAGCTAGAAGAATTATATCCGGTTTATCAATGGGCTTTGATAGAACACATTGGACTTTATAATTATTAAAGACAACATAATGTAAGAGCATTTTTAAATAATGAATCTATTTTCTAGCGAAAATTCATTCAATACTTGTGATCATTTTTTTCTTATAAACATTCCAAACAATGTGGCATAATTTTCATATTCTGGTTTAATGGATTTCATTTTGGGTGATTTATTTCATTTCTGTTAATTATGTGATACATTTTTGTGTTTCTGTTTAGTTAGTTGGTTTTTTTTCTCTCGAAAATTTACTTCATTTAACTCTGTTTTACATTCAAGTAAATATCAATGGATATATTAGAAGATTATTAAGCGATATCTTTCATTGTTTTTTCTTCCATTCTCCTACTTATTTCCCATGTATTTTCGAAGTAAACTCCAAATGCTCATTCGATTTATACTTTTTTTGTGGTCTCTTTGTTTATAGTGAATTATTTTTTGCTATGTATGTTTGTCTTTATGTGCGGTTTTGTTTCTTAAATTAATTACCACCGACTATATTGATTTTATGACGTAGAACATGTATTGTTCATTGCATTGTCAAGTTATCTGTGCATTTTGTAATATACACTTTTTTGAGTTATATATATGTGTACCCATGGTGGTAGTATTGTTGTGTTTTCATGTCTGTTTGTTGTCCTTGAAATCACCTTTGACCTGAATATTGAACTTAATTTCTTTATGGGGAAGTTCAATAGTTACCCAATACGTAAATTCTTATCTAGATTTTATTTGAAACAAAATTAAAGTTTTTGTTTTAATATAGTTGGAAGTGCTTAAGTACATATCGATTTTAGGTATGGTGACCGTGGAGGTTGTTGAATTTTATTGAGCACATGAACTGCTTCAAGTTAGACAAATATTCTAGAAGTGAAAGCACTGGACAACTGTTTCGTTCTAGCATGGGACTCTCCAGGAGTGCGCATCCACTACTTCACTATCGGGGACTAGACCCATGGTCTTAGGTCTCACACTTGAACGCTCAACATTTAGATTACTGAGTCTTCACCTGACGATGTACAAGTTTAGCTTCAGTCAATCCTCAATACTGTTCCTCACAACACCTGACACGATTCCCTCTCGAAGATGGTTACTATTAATCATCATATGATCACTAGTGACTAGCTTCGATAGGAAATTTTCAGAGTGCCAGTGAGAAACTGTGAACATTGGAGCTAAATCGTCTCAGGTGTTGTGAAGAATATATCCACTGAAGATAATGGGAAATGGTCGGACAGTATTAAGGATTGACTGAAGCTAAACTTGTATACTGTGAGGCGAAGACTCAGTGATCTAGTTGTTGAGCGTTCGATCACGAGACCGAAAACCATGGGTTCGATCCCTAGTGGTGGTGTCGTGGATAGATATTGCTGAGATATTGATTTATCGAGTGAATCGGTGTTATTGTCTAATAATTGTATTCTATTTCATTAGTCGTTCGAATAATAACTATTTTAGACCTACTTGCTATTGTTTGTTCACGTATAATATCATATATGAATGCACACTTATTGAGAGAACAATTAGATATTTTTTGACATAGGCTTAATTATTTCGAATAAGTCAACTTGATATACGGGTAGAATGACTTAATCATCTACCTACAGAATTTCATTTGCATTATCATTTATCATTTTCATTGTAATCAGTATACTTTAAATAATATGTAACATCTTTGACTTCACAATGTTATTCTTTTTAAGGTTATTATATTTTCTCTACCTTTGGGTTTGTCAATGTTGTAATATACCAATTCCGTTGTATGACAGAAAGTTCAGTTAAAATTCGTGTTCATTCGTATTACTTTAATTTATTATATATCTTCAGTAATTGCAAATATAGGTCTCTTGGGCCAAATTAGAGTAAATTTATTTTTTATAGGTCGAATTTATGAATAAAAAACTAATTTTTACACATGAGACAGTTAATATATGGTAGAGTTGAGTGCAATTTACTACTTGAAATTCACTAGTGTCGAAACATGGCAAAGAATGTTCTCGATTAAATCATGAATTTTTAAGAACCTACTCAGGAATTCTGAAGCTGTTAATGAAATCTACTCGTCTACATTTTCCCATAGAGTATTCTAAGAATTACTAGCTTCACAGACCAGGATTGTTGTGCCTGGTTCTATACAAGTTTTATGCTTCCAGGAATTCATACTTAATTTGTTATATTTCTAAAATAGGAATGATTTCCGAAGGATTAAATGCCTGCTCCCATTTCGTTTTGATGAGTCCTTGTGTGATTTCCATATTCATAATTAATATGGTTAATTGTATTGTAGGAAGTTGGACTATCATTCATGTTATTATTTTGGCTTACCTGTGGAACTTGCATCCTCCATTTTCAGCAGTTTCTAATTTGGAAAATTTACAGGTAAATTAATTCATATAGAGAGATTATTTAGAATGGGTTTGCTTCACTAATGACAAAGAGTTACGGATTTCGTAATTAGAAGTTTCTGCATATTTAATTATGTGACTGGATGTAAAGGATAGTTTATTGCGCATTTTGGAGAAAAAGATTAAATTAAATTTGAGTTTCCTCTTCCATAAAGAGTCGAGCTCAAGTTTATTACATCTAGAATTATAATTCAAGGTACATTCATTTCCAAGAACCTGAAGTGTAAACTGTCGCTATACTGACAATTGATTGATCACTGGGGGGATGATCAATGTCATGCTTATCTAGTCCTTATTAGTGCAGATCGAATGCTATCGATCATGTTGCAATGTGGCCACCAGTCTAGGTGACTCGCTGTACTGATTCCAACCTTAATTTATTATTTATGCGCAAACTACTAAGAATAAACGTGCAGTATTCTAGGAGTAGTCGAATACATACTTTGTACATCAAAATATATGACTCGTTGTTATGAAGGTTTCGAATTATACAACCTATAAGATATCAATACTTGTACTGTAAATGATAAATCGTAAGAGTACTCAAGTTTCCTCTGTTTTCTTCATGTTTAGTTAATACAATAAACTTTTCGAGTATATGAAACTTACAAAAAGTTTTATTTATAAACTTTATTCATTTTACTTAATCGTCTGAATGTCTCACAGCATGTATACAAGAACAACAAGAACAAGAACTGCTACTACTACCTGTTCAAAAACAAGAACATTACAATTTTTCAATATCAATATAAAAACAACATACTTGTCTTAACTTATTTTATACTATAACCGTTCGATAATTTTAGATTTGTTTATTTCTTTTATTTAGTTGATAAATATATTACTGATTGTTAGAGAATAAATGTGCTCATAATAATTTAATCATTAGTTAAGACATTAATTGAATAACAATAATGTACATATTTATCAATATTAGTCTGCCATGGGTAATTTTGAATTCTTTTCTTGTCCATATTAAGTAACATGATATCACTGATATACAATTAAATGCTTATGTAGTGAACAAGAACACGGGTGGAGACAAACAGATGTATTTAGCACAACAATTACAGTCTATCTCAACAAAATCTGAATACCATATAGTCAATCGTCAATTTGCAAAATATTCATGCATCAAACCAAACTGGACTGTTTCTGTTGCAAACACCAATTCATTGTCTCCCATTCCATTGTTCACGCATTTTCTAACAAATTCCAATGTGTTCTCGCTCTTCCTTTTTTGATCTTCCCTATCTTCTGCTGCCAGACATTACGTTCTTTTAACGCACGTTATATACTACTTATATCAATATAAGTAGCTCACACTACACTTATACTACTTAATTGTAAATAAATGTTTTTATAACTTTGTATAAGAATCAACTTAGAATATAGTCAAACATTGAAACTGTAGTTATTAATTGATATCAGTTACATGTTAATTGTATACCAGTTGTATACATTCCTTCAATAAAAAGTACATTTGTTGGTGCACTTTCTGAGTAAATAAAGTGAATAATATTACACATCATTAGTTACTATGTGTAAATTAACCTTGGTTATCGTAATATGATTTTAAAGCTTTCTAAAATAAACTTTGAGTGTTTATAGGTATCATTACCAAGGTTTGATTTGATGATTTCGAACAAATTAAGCATTGGGTAGATTGTTATAAATAAATAGTATACTTGTAATTCTCTGAAGAAGTGACTTACACTAAGCCACGAAACGTCAGAAAATCTAATTCTTCTACTTATTGGGATATTACAAATATACTATTTATTTGAGTGTTTATGTTAACCAATATAGTCTTCCTATATCCAATTAATATTAACAGTATAAATGGTTGAGTGGATATCCACCTTCACTTATAGGTTAAAGTTAATCGTGTATACAAACGAGTATACGATACGATTTGAATGGATGTTTTGTAATTCAATGAATCAATAACTAGTGAGATTTAGAAATGATGTACAAGAAGAAAAAAGTTTACAAAACTTAAAATAGCTCGAGTTAAAAAAAACGTTATTGAGGCAAAACGAATACTAATCCTTTCAATAATAAATGATGCATAAATGAAAACCTGGAATTTGGCCACACGATATAATTATGTTTACAAGTTGAAGAGGTGGTCGATTTCCAGGGAAACGTAAACAACATTTTCTTACATTTTTTCTCATTTTTTGTGGCGTCACAACACGAACTAGTTGGTTATTTCAATCGAAAATGTTTGCATGGTCATGTAATAGAAGTAATTTTTGTCAAAAAGCCCTTTATAATGACTCTAACCACATTGCTATTTGTAGGTCGATTTTAAAATATTATTAACATATTTGTCTAAAAGCTACGTAATAGTTTACGTTGGGCGTAAAAGTGAATTCAGGCTACTGGAAAATGCACAAAGAATAGATTTTACTTGATCAATACTGTTCACTTATAAGAGACAATATTAAGTATATTTAGTGACAGTAAACGTCGTGTTATGTTGTGCTAACTGTCATAAAAATGTTTCCTCTATTAAATTCACATATGAAAAAAATGTTCCACACGAAAACGTTGTTACTGAAATATGATTTAAGTAGTACTGTGATTTTACACTATTGGAAGGCTACATTTTTGTAGTGTAAATTAATTTACTGTAAACAAAAGAAAATTCACCCAATAAAATCAAATGGATTCCTTCTAGTATTGAAATCTTGTTGTTATAACTTTGTTCTAAATTATCAACAGGATGGGAATCCCCATTATCACTTAAACACAAAAATATACTTTCGAATATGGAAAGTCAAATGTTAGGTGACATGAGCCCGACCGAAGCTGCTACCTTGACGGGCTTGCCTATCGTGATGACCCAACCGAGCTATATTGGCTGGAACATATGTTCCTGTAGGTTCTACCATGCCAGGCAGGTCGATTGGTGAACGGTAAGACTAAAAGCAGCAACTCAAGGTCTGAGGGCGAAATCGTACTGCTAACTGTAGAGAGGTGTGACGGCAGTAAGGTGTTTCCCTCAAAAACCCAGCATGACAGCGATGCTGCCTTCCCACAAGGAGGAATGGGGTTAGAAAAGGTCGACCCTAAAAATGTCACACCTCACCTTACCTCACGGATTTCAGTCCTCTTGTGACAATCACAGAGGAATCAGTTTGACTAATATGGTGTCTAAAATATTAGCCTCAATAATACTTCGACGCCTAACCAAAGCTTGTGAAGAGCAGATTAGAGAAAACCAGGCTGGTTTTCGACCTGGACGTGGTTGTATAGATCAGATATTCACAATACGTCAGGTTCTAGAACACAGACACACATTCAGACGCCCCACAATGGTAGTATTTCTCGACCTTAAGGCGGCATTCGACTCTGTTGATCGTAAGGTTCTATGGCAGTGTTTGTCACTGAAAGGAGTACCAAAGAAATACATTAACCTTGTAATGGCTCTCTCTCTACTCGAACACAACTGGTAGAGTGGGAGCTTATGGCGAACTGTCATCAGAATTGATTACCTCAAATGGTGTTCGTCAGGGCTGCCCATTATCTCCATTCTTGTTTAACTTTGTCGTTGACGTGCGTTTAGAGATGACACTTTCCTCATCTAAATTTCCAGGGGTTGAACTTCTACCGGGAGATTCATTTGATGACTGAGAATATGCTGATGACATAGTTTTATTTGGTGAAGACGCTGACAAAATGCAGAGTCTTCTGACCACTCTAAGCAACAATGCAAGCATGTTCGGGATGCGATTCTCTCCTTCGAAATGCAAAATGTTGCTTCAGGATTGAGTTACATTGACACCCGAACTGGTGATAGGGAGTCATTTATGGCATAGGCGAGATATTCGTCTATCAATCGAAGGATGTGTTTACTGCGGAGCAGTTCGTCCCGTCCTACTTTATGGCAGTGAAACATGGCTGGTAAGAGTAGAGGATATTCGTAGGTTACTAGTATTCGATCATAGGTGTCTTCGAAACATTGCTCATATATCATGGGACCATCGAGTAAGTAACACAGTTGTTAGGAAACGGGTACTAGGTAAGGATGGCAAATCAATTGATGAAGTAGTGAAACTTCATCAGTTGAGATGGCTGGGACACGTGTTACGTATGCCCAACCACCGACTGCCTCGACGTACGATGTTTCATAGTGTAAGATTAGGTTGGAAGAAATCTAGAGGCGGCCAGACCAAAATATGGCACAAGTCCATGAAGTCATTGACAAGTGGTCTGAGTCATGTTGGTAGGTGTAGACTACCTGGTTGAGGACCGCGAGATGATAGCAACCGATGGTTAGAGACCCTGAATGACATGGCTCAAAATCGTTTGCAATGGCGCATAACATCTCCAAACACTAATCTTCCCGATCACTGCTTACACTCTTGCTACCTCTACCACTATGGGATTTGGATCGACAACTGCATCTCTGTGTTAAGGTGGTGTGGCAACTCGAACTGATGTACGTACGTACGTACGAAGTTCTACGTTGTTACTGACTGACTGAGGTGACATGAGGTATCTACTACACTCCAAAACTTTGTTTTTCTGGAAATAAGTTTTAATAAACAAAATAAATGGAATTCACTATACGAAAGAAACCTTAATCTAGCAAGCTATTATATCTACAAATCATATAAAAGCCAACAATGCTCTCTTATATGAACGTTTGAAATTCGATTTAAACTTAAGATCGGGTGATTGAGAAATAATTTCCTAGATCTTTGAGTTATGAAATTGTTTCTTTCAGATTGGTTTAAATCATTTAAGTTCGTTGTTTTAATAAGACAACTGTTCAAAAGAGACTCAGGATTATTCACTATCCACATTTATTTTTAATAATTTTCCTCAACGATGTGTAATAAAATCACATAAAGCACTTAAGTCAACATCTACTCATTAAAAAATATCGGACATTTTGATTCATCAACAATCATTCCCATCCAGAAACTAAATGAATCACAATGTAAACTGTTGAATTTCTTAAAAAATGTTTATTAAATGTGTGTAAAGGTATAAAAGGAAAAAAAAAGTAGAATCTTATTTATTAACGCTGAAAAAAAATTGTGCAATCATATATGAAAATATGTAATGTATGAAACTGTGCACATATGTATACGTGTGTGCCTCTTTGTGTGTATTTGTTTAAAAGAAAACATATTTTTTTTTCGTTTAACAAATTTCTGATTTTGTAAAACCAAAAGAAAAAAATACGAAGTTAACCAAACCACAGTGACCAAGATGCACAGAAAGAAACAGCGAAAAAAAACACCGAAACCTATGGAAAAAAAAATCAATAAGGTATTCATTCATTTGTAATTGAAATTATAATTCATCGTAAATGGAACAACTAATTTCTCCTTCTCATACAAATGTAAAGCGAGATAGCAATAGAGCGTTTGATAAAGGTGATCCAAAGGAATGAATAAAATGAAGAAGTGATTCATTGTCGTCTAATCTCTTCTGTTAATTACAAGTTAACTAAAAGAATAATCAGTTAACTGAAATTTTAGACAAAAGATATCTAAAATTATTTTTAAAAAAAAGTTGATACTTGGGAGAAAAAAATGCATATCACTCTATCACCAACTTTGTATACCTACAGACTTTTGCTTTAGACATAACCAAGCTAAGGAACAACAGACAATAAGAATATCAATCAATAATCTGTTGTCAATATGATGGCAACACAATAGACATGATTAACTAATAAATGGATTATAAGATTTGTTAATTACAAAGATATGTAATAATATTCAAGGTATCAATAGTTTATAAGGAAAAGTAAATATAAATCAATATCACATAGTAGATTATACAGAATTGAAATATAATTAAATTAATTCAATTCAATAGATTGTCTAAGAATGCATTATTTTTTATCACCGAAATTGTGGTAAAAGAAAAAGTTGAAAAAACTATTTTGTTCATTGGAACAATAGAATAGAAAGAACAAATCTATTAAAATGATTGGACAGGAATGCGATATTCATTTACCAAATAAACGCAACATTAACTGAATATATATATATATATATATATATATATATATATATATATATATATATATATATATATATATATATATATATATATATATGATAAAAGTTGGAAACAAACAAAGAAACCATTTGTCTTCTGACCAAATAATTAAAACTAAAGATTAATATACAGTATTAACAAGTAGTTATAGACAATTGAATATTTTAAGTGAGAGTTAATATCAATGATGAAATTTTCAAATGTTAATGTGTAGAAAATGTCGCATTTCATTGTTTGAATTATTTTTTATTTTCTACAAATAATTTATCAAGATTGACTTGTTATAGCAGTGGAATCCTTGAGCAAATTTTCAGCATGGTTGCCTATAATAGGTGGATGAAAACAAAAGAGAAAAAATTTAATTGAATTCTTTCGGAAATCCATAGAGAATAATTTTATACTGGAATGTTTGAAGCGATTACAGGTTCATTTAGTCTGCGAACGGAACAAAAACTCTGTGACCAAATATCAATAAGCTAGTTATTCTGATGCGTCCCAGCCCCGCTAACTAGAGAGAAAAGTCGAAGTTCGAATGGGGAAATATATTCTGTAAGCAGCCAGAAGTACGAGCGATCCCGACCAGTCTAGTTGGAAATACACTCACTTATATATTGGTTTATACACACATTTTTGATTAATAGTCAGAATAAATAACATATATGAATAATATTTCATACAAGAATATCATATGTTATACAGAATAAAATGTCATAGGGGAAGACAAAACAAATACAATACAGAGTGATCATCAAATTGAATTAAACGGGATTAATGTTGAATAAAGATCATAATGAATAAATCAATCAAATTTTGACCTTTCATCCCGTTATAACAATAATTCCTTTAAAATATACGTTCGCTTTTATGTGACCATGTTTGGTGGAGATCAGCAAGGAAAGATAAGTATATATATGTACTCTACAATAAGGGTGTGTACCAACGGACATGTGCTAAAAGGGATACATATCAACAGCTAGTATTAAAATGGTACATTTTATTTGTGCACTTAATAATCTTGTTTACGCTGACTCTGTTCTGGACTGAACGGGTTGGGCTAGGCGAGGAGTTGGTATATAGAGGACCAATAAAGACTCAGGATTGAATTTAGGCTGCTCGTGCTGGTTAATGCATTATTGGTTTGGCACAGGGACAAGACCAAATGAGTCAGTCTTCTGATTAGCGATTTTATCACTTGATATTCGACAGGCCATAGGACATAACAAGCAGTCTACACAAACCCGAGGTACCAATAAAAAAATCACCCAAACGGTTGTTTATCTCAAGGTTAACCATATGAATATTATAGAAGCAATAAATACGAAATTATGATGAAAGTCATGTGAAAAAAGATTACATATTAATCTCTGAAAACTGAGGTCACCATGATGAAACAAGATTGATAACTGTTTTTTTGAATACATGAGTTTGATTAAAATCTTCTAAAAATGGCTTCAGAAAAGTTCAATAAAGTGTTAATCTTTTGTATTTCCGGTTACTCTGAGGGATTTTTGACGCGTTAATATCACTTCCACTGTCAAACAATTGACATAAAATGTTCATAAAAAAATTAGAAGAAATCAAATTAACTTGTGAATAATTTTGACGGAGTTTTGTTCTCTGAGCTGGATGGTTTGATCATGGAGCTCTCAGCATTCTTCTGAACGACATCATCAGCACAAACTTTAGGTAGAAGTGAAGTGTTCGAATTTATCCACATATGGCTCACAGCTTATCCTGTAGACCTCGATGTTGATAGGTTATTGTTGACCTCAAATCTGCCGTTTACTTTTTTATTTTGGTTGTATCTCCCAGTAGTTAGATTAATAATTAATATAAGAACTAGTAATGTTCTGTTAATATCAAATGAATCACATTTAAGGTAACTCTGACTTATTCACAAATCAATCTCGCATACAAAACTTACGATGAAAGACCTTGAGAATAGTTTCACATACAAATTGAAATTGACCCTAAATTCAAAAAAGAAATAAAGAAAGAAAATTATACAAGATTATCTGTATTGAGTTGATTTTAAGAGAAAAGTTCATTGAATCAATTGAAGTGATGTAGTCCAAATTTAAATTTCATAGATTGAAATCATGAGTCAATTGAAGCTAGACCACCATGGAAAACCTGGAAGCACTGGACGGCCGTTTCATCCTAGTATGGAAACTCCTCATCAGTGCGCATCCGCGATCCCGCACCCTGCGAGATTCGAACCCAGGACCTACCAGTCACGTGCCAGGCACTTAACCAACTAGACCACTGAGCCAGCATGCAATGGTGTTAATGTCTAACTTCAACCAAACCACGAAGTTGCGCCACCGCACACCATTGTCTTCAGTGAGCTGATAACTCACAACAGACCTGGTTGAACTCCACTGGTAACGGCTTTTCACTAGAACTCCAGGAGTATCTCTTGAAATCAGTCACTAGTCAGCAGATGATTATTATCAGAAGGGGTTTGTGGGGAATTTAGAAATTTCACAGATTTCTGAGGAGTTCCATACTAGGATGAGACGGCCGTCCAGTGCTTCCAGGTTTTCCATGATGGTCTAGCTTCAACTGACTCAGGATTTCAATCTGTGAAATTTCTAAAATCTCCACAAACCCCTTCTGACAAATTTAAATTGTTTAAAATGATCTTTATAGTTTTCTTTAAAATTGATAAATTAGGTTGATATGAATGTTCAATTATGTAATGTTGTTAAACTGTAAACATTTAATCTAAAAAATATTTCTGGTGTATATTTCAAAAGTAATTTTTTATCATGAATTGACATCAATAAATATAGGGGATAAAATGAAATTAGTTAGCATAGAACAATTGTTTGGTTCTAATGTGAGCACTTGACAACATCAAAACAAGATCAAGTTAAGACGTTTAATGTATTTATCTTTAGATTAATAAACTGGAGTTAAAACTACATTTAAACCGTTGATCAATACCCATAACATTTTACACTGACATGGGTTGATAAAGAAAGTTGACTTATAAAATTCTGAACAAGTATTTAAACAAATATCTTTTCAAGTTATATTTAGTTATGTTTTGTAATTTGACGATTTTTAACCTATTACTAATAGGAGATTTTATCGAAAGATCCACGGTATCAAACTTGAAAACATGAGTTGATGATTACATTCTATTGAAACAGGTCATTACATTCCTTAATCTGATTAGATTTCTAAACTAGAGTCTTGTAATGAAAGTTTTTGGCTTCCAGTAGACAACAAATACAACGTGAAGACGGAGTTTATCAGCAAAAATGTGATGTATTTGCACTATACATTTCGAATAATCTGATCACACACATTTACTTGTCAAGGCATTTTTATATGAAAATTAATTAAGGTCATGAAGAAAAACGACAAAACAGCAAAGGTCATAATAATAAACTGAATGATAATCAAGAAAACTTGTAAAAGGTAGTCTCTTTTTCTTATTCAATGACACTATGGGTTATTTTAATTATCTAATTAAGGTCAATTAAATGAATTTACCTTGATAATCCTTAAGTCATTCTATAGCCTAAGATAACGCGACAATTTCTTATTCTTTCTCTTCCCTTTGTTATTTTACTTGAACTTTCATTTAATTGACCTTAATTAATTTTCATATAAAAATGCCTTGACAAGTAAATGTGTGTGATCAGATTATTCGAAATGTATAGCGCAAATACATCACATTTTTGCTGATAAACTCCGTCTTCTCATTGTTCTATCGAAATTTATAAAAAGGGACTAATTGCTTTAAATAAATACACCATTGTTTGTTATTTAAAACTGGTAGTATTTTAATTTCATCACTTATACTGAATTTATGAGTGTAGGTTATTTTAGGGAAACTTATTTATTTACATTAAACATAACGATATCCGAGAGATTTTAGAAATTTTATGATTTTTAGTTCACTTTCACAAATTTAACAAAACTCTAAGAGAGTATAAAACTTCAAAAGTGTTGATTATTATCATTATAATTAATGACTTTATTTAATATTATATTTCGGTACAATATAGACTTCTCAGCAAAAAATATTTCAACAAATTTCCTTTTCTTATTTCTTGATCGATCCTGATGATCAATATTAAGTGATCACCAGTTAGATGTTAGCGGTTCAAGAGTCGACATCTAAATAATCTTTATTCTTTTCATTGCATATTGACAGCCACCAATATGTCTCTGATGATTGTACTTTTTTGTAAGTTATGCAGAGAAAAGTAATAAACGTTTCATAATAGCGCCTGAATAGGTTATGAAATGAATATACATAATAATATGTCAAAACAAACAAACGAAAACAGATAACTTGTTGAAATATCTTGATGGTAGGAATGGGTAGCCTAGAAATTAAAACAGCCAGCCAGTATTTTAAGTAATTAGTTTCATAAATTAAGTGGTTTGATTTAAGCGGTTATCAGGTTAGTTAATCAAATTTTATAGGTCAACCACTTTTCTAGCTGAAAATAAAATATTTTAATTCAATTTATAATAATAACAGTAAAAATGATATATTTTCTTACAGTGGTTTGAATAAGCATAGCTCTGTGTTCACGCATTCGTTGAACTAACTCTAAAGGTTTAACTGGATAATTACATTCCATTAAATTAATTGATGTTTCAATAGCAATTAGTACACCAGTTCGACCAATACCGGCAGAACAATGTACAACTATTGGTGTTTGATTTTTGCCACGAATTCGTTGAACTTGTTCTACAAATGATATAAGTTGATCAGTATCATTTGGTACACCATGATCTGGCCAACTAATATATTGAAGTTGTGAAATACGACGTGTTTCTGTTTGTTTCCTTATCATTGATTGCAAAGAGGCACGATGTGAAGGAATTTGACTAATATCAAATTCCCGATAAGCAATATCAGTAATGATCTAATTTGAAGTGAATAGAAAAAAATATATGGATGAGTACAGATTGCAACATGAGATGCTTAAATAAAATTAGATTGTAAAATAAATGATAAATAAAACTCATTGTTAAAGTAGAATTTTCATAGTTTTTGAATCACAAATTGATCTTAGCTAGACCACCATTGAAAACCAAGAAGCACTAGGCAGCTGTCACATTCACAACACGGCCCCAGCAAATCGAACCCATAATCTTTTGTCGATGTTCACAGGGGTTCAGACCCGTCAGAAAAGCCAGTGGTTACATGGACTGGGTAACTAAATGGATAACGCGTTGAATGACTGAAGCGAAAGGTACTGGATTCAAGTCCCGGTGCACATATCAACACAGTGACGCAGGCACATACAGAAAACGAGTCCCAAATAGAACGGAATACTGGTCTTAGATTCCAATGTTGGTCACAATCTATTCCTTTCATTAAGTCAGAATGTAATAGCGAGGTTTCTAATTAAAAATGGTGTTCAGTAAGATTGGTATCATCAGTACTAACAGAAAAAATCATTTTGATTATTTGGTTATCCAGTGTTTAACATTGAAGATGCATAGCCCTACGATGAGTAGAAGTTGTAATATCTTTCAAAATTATTAATATCGTTATTGCAGTGACACCTGAATATCTCCGACTTGATTCTATATATTGATCATGGGTAGACATTGTTCATAAGTTCCGAACCGGGTTAAAATAACCGCCTGATGCTTTTTAGTTTTCAAATGTTTTTCATCCGATACCGTTTTTTGATGAAAATTAACTTCGAATCATGTGTCTTAAAAATTACGGAATGACTACTAGCATTCTGAAACAATGAAGGGACGATTTCTGATCAACTACATTTGAACAAAAAAGTTTTCTGCGTTGGGGAATTTAGTTGTCAACTTTACAAGCAGTACATTTTATCAGGTATAATACACATAAGTAAATTTCTATTCGCATGACTAATGCTGCGAATAAGAAAATGTGTTTAACCTTTATGTAATATCCATGTTTCTTAACTACTTTATATTAATGAAATTGATTCGTAGAACGTTCAAAATCAAACGACTAATCTTCTGTAAAACTGGAATTCATACACTGACTTATAACTTAGTTGTGACAAATGTTGTATTGTCTGGTTTTTGGTAATGATTGAATCCTATCTAGTAATAATGAAGGTATTTCTTGTTGATAAGTATCGATTAATACAAAGTCGAAATTTAGGGTTTCATATCAATAACCTATAGCTATCTAATATAGAACAAAGTATATTGTATCATTTAGATTAGTGAATTCATTGTGACTTGAACGATAAATTTCGGTTATGATATTGGTTGCTGACAAGTGATCAATCAGTGTATCCAGATCTTTAGAATCAATTTAAATTTGATAATTATGTGTATTTTTTGTTACTTTATTTCAGGAGGTTGAATTCCTATTTGTTGAACAAGTCAAATCTCAGCTCATACACAATATTAAATGATTGAAAAAATACCGTTTAGGGTTCGATACAATTTGATTCTAAAGAAGAATATACGATGAAAAGAAAAGGCTGACTGATGACTTTAAAATCCAGAAAAATCACAAAGATTACCTCCTCTCGTACAGTTTTTAATTGTAGATCTGTTGAACTACGGGACTGTGAAATCCTGGGACTTGAAGAAACGGAAAAGTTTACTGTATGATTGAGATCTGGCCAATACTGATGACACTTTGCCTGTGAAATTGTAAGAAGAAGAAGCTGCACAAATATACATAGTGGAAATATACAAAATATAGTGAACGTGATCCATAGAATATCAATCAGAATGCGGAAATCAAGAGAGATGTATTCATACTAGAAGTTAGGGAAACATATGACAACGCAATATATCTGGACTAATGCCGCGAAATGCATAACGTTACGAAGCTTTAGTATGTAGTTTTGTGATATGTATCTTTGAGAAGCGACTTCTTCGGGCTAAGATTGGTTAGTAGCTTTAGCCCGATACAGCAAGTAGAAACTTCTCATTATACAATAGAAGTTTATAAATCGTTCATGTAATAATAATTGAATACAATCTTAACTATACATCAACATCCTTAATAAATTGCAATACCGTCATAACTATACAACAAGTAGAAGAAGACTGGATAGTAGGTACGTATCAAAATAACAACAATTTAAGAAAGATGTAACACATAACAACGGTTTATTGATTATGGAATAGCTTACAAATAGAAGACCAAAATGTAATACTTTAAGTAATTGGTAGGAAACAACAAAAAAGAACAAAAACTTTATGTAGGACCGGTTTTAAAGTTTAACTTAGTATTTATTCTATTATAGTTTCACCTGAAAATGATCAGTTTTTATAAGTGCGGATAACTGAAAACTTTAACTAACTATAATTTCTGATGAAGATAATTTTATACTTTATAAGTAACCTTCTATGTTCATGTTTTAAAATGACTGATAAATACTTGTTCTTTGTTTTCTGTTATAGTCTTTCACTCACTCACTCACTCACTCACTCACTCACTCACTCACTCACTCACTCACTCACTCACTCACTCACTCACTCACTCACTCACTCACTCACTCACTCACTCACTCACTCACTCACTCACTCACTCACTCACTCACTCACTCACTCACTCACTCACTCACTCACTCACTCACTCACTCACTCACTCACTCACTCACTCACTCACTCACTCACTCACTCACTCACTCACTCACTCACTCACTCACTCACTCACTCACTCACTCACTCACTCACTCACTCACTCACTCACTCACTCACTCACTCACTCACTCACTCACTCACTCACTCACTCACTCACTCACTCACTCACTCACTCACTCACTCACTCACTCACTCACTCACTCACTCACTCACACTCACTCACTCACTCACACTCACTCACATACAATATGTATATATATAATTGAAAATTTAGTGAAACAATGAGATAAAAATACATTTTCATAGTGATTCAGAATAATTTATGTTACTTGTATTTTTTATGATTATCACTACTAGAGAATTAATTTTATTTATCAGAATGTAATTTCATTCTACCGGTTTTGTATAAAAGGGTAGATACAATTTAAAAATGAAAAAACAAACAAACAAACAAATTCCATGTGTTTAAAATTCAATATGCTGGTATCAGAGAGAATTTTATTATTAAAACAAATTATAACTTTAACTGTGCGATAACCATTTTCTTTAAATTACTAAAGATTTAAATAGAGAAATTTTATTTGAATTTAGTCTCATAAAAAGGGAAAATAATGATTCATTAGAAGTGATGAAGTTTTGAATGTGTTTTTCTAAACCAAGAAAAATGATGCATCTTAGTACTATAGAAGGTCAGGAGCGATTGGGATAGCTTAGTGATATCGTGGAGCTATGAAGCTGGATGATACGGGATTGAATCCACCAGGGAGCATCGGCTCCAAGATAACAGGTGCAGCATGCTGACGAATGTCAAGTAGCACGAGATCTATGTTCAGGGTTTCCTGTAGACTATGTCCAATCATTACAGTACATCAAAAACTAATGCGGGAGATGTCGAGTCATCTAGACTAGTGGATACACTGCAGCTTGATAAATAGAATTCGATCAGTGCTAAGAGGGGCTTAGGTATACATGGTTAGTCGGTTGTAAACAGTAACACTACTGAATTCTAGGTCTTATAAAATTTGCTACCTTTTCTATTATATATCTTTTTAATTTGTAGGTAAGGAAGATACAGAAAATTACTGTTGTAATTTGCCAGTTTACAATCAATAGACCGTTTTGATGATATCAATTCTATGTCTACTGGATTCTGATGTGCATCAATTAGTATCTTAAAATGTCTCATACGTTTTGCTCTGACACAAATGTACCATTTTAAATAAATATATACAACTTCGTTTCAAGATCTTCATACCGCTGGTTTAAAATTCAGCGATTTAAACTTTCAAAGTTATTTGATCAATCATATATATATATATATATATATATATATATATATATATATATATGGAGGACTGCTGGTCGATTCGACATAGGGTACGTACGTTGAAGGCTACAATGTGTAGTTTGGAGCGAGGTTTCAGTAGACCTGGGACAGCTTTTTACTCACTAGAATCGTTGGCCATTGTGACACTTGAGGAGGAAGTTGAAATAGGAGTTTTAGAGTTGAAAGTCGAGGTAGGAATAATAGGAATTGAAGGAGGGAGATTGATTATGAATACAGTGATCTTGAGTGCTATTAGAGGTATGAGGGCGGTTATCACTTCCCGGTTACCCACACCGTGGAAAGGTTCTTCTGGAGGTACGTGAAGAGGAAATCGGGTTAGGAGTGGTCTTAGTGACCCGAGACCATAGCCGCAGTGCCCAAGAGACAACTGCTTGAGGTCGATCGCACATGACCTTACTGCCGGAGACGGATATCCGTGGGATGAGGTGAGGTGCGCATTTCCAGGGTCGACCTTTTCTAGCCCCGCCCCTACTTGTGGGAAGGCAGCATCGCTGTTATGCTGGTTGTCTGACAGAAACACCTTACTTCCGTCACACCTCTGTACAGTCAGCAGTACGACTTTGCACTCAGACATTGGATTTACTGCTTTTAGTCTTACCGCTCTTCAACCGACCTGTCTGGTATGGTAAGATCATGAGGGATGACTGTTCCAGCCAGTATAGCTCGACTGGTTCATCACAATACTATTATCATTGTATACTATAGTCTATATTACTTGTGACATAGACGGATTTATTAACTCACGGAATAAAAAATATACGACTTGTAATTATGATTATTAGAAAAATCTAAATCGATCCATTTGAAACCCTGTACATTTCAAAATAACTGACGTAAATTCATTCGAAAAAGAAAAGAAAATTAAGCCAATCACTTTAGAATAATGAAAATGAAATTGAATTTTGTTTAAAAAAAAAACAAACCTTAATTCATTTTGCTTTGCCAAAATTGCTAAATACTAATTTGAAAACTATGAGAAGAAATTTATGTAGTAAATTTTGTTAAAGTAAGAAAAAAAACAAACAACCGCTTGTTGTCTCAATATTGACGAAAATACCGAGAAAATCTTTTTTAGAAAAACTGTTATTATCGATACTCGTCAAAATGCTACATAAAAAAGTTATATTTTCTTCTTTTCAACCGAATTATGGAAACGATAGACATAAGATAGCCGTTTTTCGTTTGTCATAGACGTTATAGCAATTTAATTTATTAGAAAAAAAAACATCCAAGAAGTTAGCGATTATAAAAAATGCAGTCAATTATACTTTCCAAAAGGAATTTATATTATTTTAAAGATGGTTTCATATCGAGATGACATGTTAGAGCTGAGAAAAATATCAATAATGGCATATTATAACAAGATTGAACATATGGAACAATGAATTCCGATTCGAAGGGGTAAAAAGGTAGTATGGTTGCGGATAGGCCTTAAGGATTCTGATTTCTGTTTTCTCCGTAGGGTTTTGGATGAAAAATACTCAGAATTCGAGAACTCGAATCAATGGTTCTCTAGCTGATATTATTAGTTGAAGAAAACTATCCCTGAATTTACTTAATTGAGTTTTAATTACTTATTCGACTCAATCAAGGAATGAAACTAGAATCTTTGGATTTATTTATCAGTATGGTACCATTATAATTAATAATTTTGAGTTCTTTAGTTATCCGTACTTATTTTCATTTTACATTTATGGTACAGTGCATCTATCCCTCAATATCGATGAAGAGTATCTGTTATCGCTTATGTCTTGATTTGTGTAACTAACTTCAGTTGGAATATTATAAATCAGTTTTTAAAGTTGGTTGATAATGAGTTTGGTGTTGTTGTCAGCGACGTAAGTAGATGTTTAAATTAAACTCATCAATTTGAAAATAACCAACCTAATGAAGAATTCTCTGGGGACAACTAGCTCGTTTTGCTAAAAGAATACAGTGTAGTTTGAAATAGAAGACCGTAATTGGTGTAGAATATTAGTTTGACAATACTATTAAGTACTTTTTATAATTGTGAAATAAATTACAAACTATCATTCAATCAGTTTGCTGTTATAAATCGACTGGTTGGAAAATCAAACATTTCTTTAGTTTGACTGTTTAAAGAATCAAGGAACAGGAATGGTTCAGGAGTTATTATAAGCTATTATATACGTTAACATATAGGTATACTACCTTCAAAAAGTTGTTAAATGATCTAACTGATTAAAATTTAAAAAAATTGCTTAAATTCTTCAGTTTTTTCCTCTGAATATATTCCATGTTGATAAGCAGTGATTACAGGATGTGAATAATTGAATCTAGTTTTTAATTTATACACAGCACTATAGAATAGAAAGTGTTGTATGAACCTATTTTGTTTTCAATCATAATGAATAATTTATAAAAACCTATCTTCGAAAAATGTAAGTCCACACATTGGTAATGAATAAAACTTACTCGACCACGTTCACTTATAGCTGTCAACATAACAATTAAACAAACTTGTTGTTCCCAGCACATTTGCCAAAAATCACCATAAGTATTTGGTAATGGGCCTTGGGCTGCAATATACCGAAGATTTACTCCACATTTTGGAAATTCCATCTGTAATATAAGAAATAACTGAAAATAACTCTAGGGAATTCTTGAAACAATCTAATGCTTTTCGTTTCATACTTAAAATGATTAGTTCTGATTACAAATTTGCTGTCATTTTAAATGATTATTTCGTGTGATCAATCTATAACTTTAGAATTATTAATATGTAGCAAAAAGGTTTAACAAATATGATAGTCATTCGCCTCAAAAATTGAAGGATAAAATCCATATGTTGTTTATGGTCTTGAACCTCTCTAAACCTAGTCTTTTGGTTGTGTATTTATATGATAGGGTCACGCAAAAGTTCCAATTCAACAAAAATAATCTATTGAAGAATTTTAGAAGTCAGTGAAATACATACTCAGTTGTCTTTAATTTGTGGTGATTATTTTAGTATTAATACTAGTTATGATGTAATAGTGGGCATTAGAAGTAACATTTTTGACAACTTTGAAACATGAATTTAATCGGTTATAATTACTGGTTCAATGTTTTGAATAGAATAAATATTGTCTGGCGAATAAACTTAGAACTACAACTATTATTTCACAAAACCTAGAATTCCAAAAGTCACAGCAAAGTTCAAGGTCGTTCTAGGCTTTATAATTTGTATGTGATAATTCTATTAAAAGTAATCAATTGACTTTAAATGCTTAAAATTCTTAAATATTATGAAACAGATAAACAATATGTTTATTCAAAGATTCTATTTGGCACAAGTTAACATCAACAAGCATACTTTAAGGATGAATAAGCATTCATTACCTGTTCTATTCTAGTCTAGGACAGCTTAATAGTGCACAACCATTGAAGAAAAAGAGGTTTAAATTGTAGCTTTTTTAGTTATACAACCAAGTACAACAAGATGCATTTGGTGGGTTAGAATCTAATGATTTACATTTTCTGACTTCGGTCAATATATCGCACACTACAATGTCCGTCTTATGTTATTCGTAAGTTATTCCTATTCATTGTTAACTTAATCGATCTCAAACATGATTTAAAAAAAAATCTAAATGTTAGTTTACTGCTTCATACATTCGATCATAGTGACTGAAGTAAATTTGTCTAAGATTTCTCAGTTATTAAAAATACAATAACGCTTAAATGAATTCGGAAGTATAACCAAGACAAAAAGTTGGGGTTTATTTGTGTACTGTAAAAAAAAAGATTAAAATGCTTTACAGTCGGGAAATTGACCTCCTATACACAAAAGTAAAACTGACGAATTATGTTTCACAACTTTATATAAACTTCAATTATAGTAGATTTAAATATGATCATGTTTTCTTTTTCTAGAAAAATATAAAAAAAATCCAACATTTATCGGTATTTTTTGTTATAGGGACCACACAATTTAGTTTATATGAAACAGATAAACTTAAGGTTGATTAAGTTAAAGAATTTTTTGTACTCTTTATACAAGATTCTTGTAACTGGAATCAGTTATTAATTGAACAAGTAATGATAAACAGCTATATGTGTGTGAGCAGTTTTTTCTATGTATAACTTTAAACATTCTTTAAAGTTAAACTATTGTATTTTTCAGGATGAGATAGAAACATTTAGGTACTACAGTATGCTTTAGTTGATCAAGTGAAATAATGAAGTGTTAAAACAGGAAAACGTAAAAAAAGATTAATTTAGTAGAAGAATCTTTTTCAACAAGTTCATTTGGAAGTCTGCGTATATATATATATATATATATATATATATATATATATATATATATATATATATATATATATATATACTGTATGTCCTATAGTTTAGCTGTAAAGACAAACATTTTGACACCTATTAAGAATCAGAAACCACTCTGTAGCTATTTCGTTCTAGTATTGAACTCTTTACTGGTGCACATTACCAGGGATCGAGTGCATGAACTTCAGAATTCGTAGTAGAAATTCAACCTTCAAATCAACAAGTTTATGTCCAGGGGTTTACAATGCTAATTTCAATCGACAATGATCAATTGCGATTAGTAATATTTATCATACACCGGATATGATTGAACTCCTTAATTTTGATGGTTGTCTAACAGATACATAAAATTATGAAATCGAATAGCCTATACAACATAATATACTAAAACGACTGCGTTTGTGAGAATGTTGGAAATGTATAATCGTTTGAGTAAGTAGAGTATGTGCCTCATTAATCAAAAATTGAAGAGGAAGAAGTGCATTATGAATGATAGCCACAATCTCTGAATGGTAACATCGTTTATAATAAAAAAAGGCAAGAGAACCAAAGAATGTTTGCTGATGTAAGAGGGAAATATGTTAAGACTAGGATCATGATAGAGGTAAGGATCAATTACTCTATTTTTCTACCTCAAAATTTCCCATGGGTGTTTAAATGTTAACTTTTCGGGATCCTTATTTGGTGTTTGCAAATAATGTCAGAGTATGCGCTTCAAGATTAGTAACCTGAACCAACTACATGTTACGGAATAGATAACACCATTATGATATATTTCCTCTTGCTAAACCATCCAAAGTGATGTTCCGAGATGAAATAAAAAAGTGACCACAGCAAAACGAAAAAAAAAACAAGTAACAACTTATTTGTATGTTTTATTGAGATAATGATATTTGGATTTTAATGATTAATTTAAATAATACCATAACTATATTGGAGTCAGTTGAAATAAATAGTAGAAACCACATTTGACATTCAGTGAAATATTGATGACATTATTTACACATCAAGTCACTCTCACTCAAAAAGATCCTTATTATTAAACCTTTTTCATTTACTTTCAATGAATAAATTGATTTAACCGATGTAAATGGAATATAGGTTATCAACAAAGCGATAAAGAGGGGTTTTGTGGATATTATAGTAATTTAATAAATGAATTCATGAGTATAAATCATAACAACAGTCTACAATTCTCTATAGAAAAGAAGATCAAACTTTAAGTTTTAACATAATTCTTGTTTTCAAGCATTAGAAATGAGAAAAAAGTTTATAAAACTTTCTGTATCCTGTTGTTCAACATACTCATACAAAATGTGTCGTATGCAAGATTGACAACTGGTTGGCAAAAAAAGTTTTATTGAGTTTATAAATCTACAAACATAAATTTCATTTAAGTATCAGTCTTAATAACAGATTACACGCCTAGGTTAGAGCACTGTGGATTATGTGGACATGGATAGATCTATCTTTACAATAGGTGGATTTTCAATAAACCTCATGTTAGTTATAAAAGTATTAACTGATAAAATTTAATGATCATTATTACAACTCGATTATAGTCAAATTTAACTAATAGTTCGTTAATATGTTGTGCTGAGTTTTGACTCAAGTATTAAATTCTGTAGATAAAATTTTATGCGAATCTGCGAATAGCAATTTTTCAGTAGCAAACAATCTTTTTGTTGCAATTACAACAATCAGTTTGTGGGGACTAACTTAGATTGAATATGGTCATTCTTGGAAGAGTGATTTGTAATTTGATCATAAAACTTTTATTTTGTATTGGCTAAATAGTTATCTTTTTTAATATCTTATATAAGATTGACAAGTATGAGTAGTTAGTTGATGTAAATGTTGACAAGTGACTTTAGACAGGAGACTAGTAATGTTGTTTGGAATAGATTTCTAAAAGTTAATTCATAAAGTAATCATTTGCAAAAGGTTTTACAAAATCAACGTTCTGTTTGTTAAATAGGAAAATATTCAACTTCTTTAGCAAAAATAGTTACTAAATGTGATAATTGTTACCAAATGACAAAAATTGATGTACTAATGATAGTCTAGAGGTACTGGAAAACTATTTTGTTCCAGTTTGCAAAACCCTGATCCTTGTGTAACCATGGTCCTGTTCAAGGTGAAAACTATGGTCTTTAGGTTTACCAATACGCAAAATATATTTCGTGCACTATCGACTTCACTAAATGTGTAGTAAAATACTCATTCCATATTATCGGTGAGTTATTGTTTTACTTTTGAGTGGATTAACTTGACGGGTCACGTTGTTAGGCTATAGCAATTCAAACATAGACAGTCGCTAGTAGGCATTTAAGTTAAAGAAATTAAGTTTTGTCTTAATTAAAGTGTATCTGAGGCTTATAAAGATATAGATTGTGAAGAAAGCTATGAAAAAAAAGCTGATCGATCAATTCACTAAGTAAAAATTTTCCTCAGTATCATAAATAACAGATTAAAAGAAAATATCACTGTTTATAGGAAGGAAAACATTATCTTGATTAATTCTGTAACAGCTTATGTAGTTTGTAAGTATCCAAAGAAAGTTTGCTGTATAAAGACGTCATAGTAATTCTCATGAATGTTCTTCTGATAAAAAAAATAATCTGCTTAGTTCTTGAACTAAAAACTAATTTGGTTAGTTTTTTTGAAATTAAATTTTTTTAAATTCATTTCATGATCTTCCATTTTTAATTCTGTTTCATGATGTAGACATCGTAGAGTATATTTAACCAAAAACTTAGTGATATTCGAACTGAATTTAATAGACAACTAAAGACACATAAACAAATACAAAATGCGATACTAATTAAATATCTTTAGATTAGATAGTTTGGAATAAAAAGAACATGAAGTAATTCTGGAAACTGAAAAGAGAATGTCAATTACTGATGAAATAAGTATCGTCATAAAAACAATACAGCGATAGGAAAAAGGGACAGAGGTGGACGAATTTTTCAAGTTAGTAAGGGAATCTACAACAGTGCGATCCCACAATCTTGCGTTGAAAATTTCTTACCTTAATAAAAGTCATTTGCTTAACAGTGACTAGCTTCCTGAATATACTCGATATTCCAGCGACAGGTCATAGCTAGTATATTTAAACTATATTGGAAGTGAGATAGATATTAGTGATAGCATTAGATGTTGGTCATAAGTGCACACAAATAGGAAGTTTTAATATAATCTGTAACAACCGTTCAGTGCTGTGCTATTTACAATGGTTATTATATCAAAGTCACTTCATGATTTAAATTATTCTAACCTTGAACAATCTTTACATTTTCAAAAACGATTAAGTAGCTTGTATTATATTATTAAAGAAAAGCAATTTTCGACAGTGAGCGTACCAAAACAATCAATGATAATATGACAACTAGATCTGTCTTTAAAGTACGAAAAAGGAATCTATACTTTAGTAAGAATATTACGACAGCTTTATATAATATGATGAGTGAAAAAACTTTCTTATCTTTAAAGTTAAATGAATTATCACAATCATCTGATACAATACAATAGAATCCCGCGTGTGCGGTCATGATTGTGCATTGCTGAGGTGTTCCATACTAGGATGAAACGACCATCCAGTGCTTCCAGGTTTTCAATGGTGGTCTAATATTGATCGGTTCATGATTTCAATGTAGTACAATACCGTTTAATAGCTTAAGAAAACAATATTTACCGTGTTTATCATTGTCAAGTTAAGAATAGCCGCTAGAAAGTTTTAACAGAGATATTTACAATTTTTCAACGTTCGATTGTGAAAAACTGATATTCTTTCACTGACTTACGATACATCTCATCTGTAGGTACTAATCGCTAAATGATTTGTAGCAAACGTATAAAGTCTTAATTTTCAAATATTAGATAATGTGAAGAGAAATAAACTATAAATGATAGTAGAAAGTTGGCATGTATAATTGGATAAAATAAGAGATAAAGTTAGCTCAGTTATAGATAACAATGATTTGTTTAAACAGGAGAGCTTACATTTACAAAACTAGCATTGATATAATCTCCAGACCCTTGTTTTAATATGACACGAGTTTGATCATCTGTTTTAAAATAAATAAATAAACAAATAAATAAAGAAATCAAATCAAATCTATTGACAAACAAAAAGAGGATGATCAAATTTTATTGGATGATTATAGTTTATCATTTGGAGGTGTTTCTTCTAGAAGTTATTATCAATAAGTTTTCAGTTGTTTTTCGATCTTGCTAAGGAGTTTAATTAAACTGTTGATATGTCTACTTGGAAAAAAAATTGATAAAATCGTTATTAAATAGGAAAATTGCTATCCAATACTTTGATCCAAAGGAAACACGATAATGAGAGAATTTACTAGGTCATGAACAGATGGTCAGCTAAGAATCACTTTATGGAATTTTGAAGATTATTGAATCTTCATGCACACCATTAAATGCTGGCTTATCCACATAAATATTACGTGATCATCGCACGACCTGAAGGTGCTGGGTTTGATTCTTTATGTGGTCATAGGTTCAGAGTGCTTAGGAGTCCCATACTAGGTTGTTTAACCAAAATCGATCAGTGATGTAAGCCATAAAAAATCAATCAAGAAACTTGAACAGCTTCTAGTTCTTGTTAGAAAATTATTTTATTATTACGCATCAATACTTCCTTACCGTTGTAAAAAATGGTCAGAATCTTGAGTTGTAAAGAGGAAATTTCTGCTAAATTGATAAATTTGATTTTATTTGTTAATGTTTTCTCATTCTAATAAATCTATTGTTATTAGTTTACTTATTAATCCTTTATTTTATCAATAGTTATTAGTCCATATCCGCAAACTGATTGACCTTAAACAATCATGTAATATTGTTTCTTTGATTTAAATGACCAATAAGTATCGACTCGACAAGTGACGCTTATCGATTAATTCTATGAAGGTTGAAGACATAAAATTATTTAGAGTATTTACATATTTCAAAAAAATGAAGAATAACAAAACCGAAGTAGTCATTGGACTGAATATTCCCTGGCAAAAGTGTAAATAATAATGTAACATAACCTTATCGCTGTCTGAGAAATAAAAACTTGAAGTTGTACACGATGTATTATTTGTGGTATTTAGTAGCCTGAGATCTGACTCCAGGTAGGTCTTTCGCTGATTGTTATCGTAAGATACATGCCGCAAATCCTTGTATATAATCATCGACTTAAATCGCGTTAGTGAACGACAGAATTAAATAGGTCAAATAAGAGAATGGATTTTTGAATACTTACATTTCGTACAATCGTTGATCGGTACATACATTCAAAGAAAAGCAGAGAAGGAAGCAAAAAGGAAAGAGAGAGGCGAAACAAAAGGATGTACAGTGAGGAAGGCGAGTAAGCCAACTCGATTTAATCAAGTAATATCTATAGTCAGACAAAAATAAGTTACAGACATGTGATGAGTACAGAACTCATACACGAGAATTTGTTGATTAAATCTTTCTTTAAAAGACAGAGCAACGATCAAACTGAAAGCCTTTTCTCTCTTTTATATTTTTCAATGAAATGAAAATGCTCCTGCGTATAACTAGTAATTGTTTTACATTCTCCCTTTAGAAGCCAAGCTGGATAGTGTTCTGAGATGCGTTTGAACAGTGAAATAAAAATGATCTGAGTACTGTGTATCAATAAATGTTACAGAAAATAAACATACCCTAAAACCAAACAGCGTCTTCAGTTTAAACTGGATATTCTGTCACAACTTAAGGTCTGTGTTTTTCCATCGCTGTTACTTAAGAGCTGTAGTTGGTGAACCTCCGTTTGGGTAAGTGTATCTTAAGTGGAGTGTATCTATCTTTCTATGTTATCTTTTAGTTAAAAGATTTTTGTGCATTGTGAGTAGTAATGAGAAAATGAAAACCTTGGCAAATGACTACATACTCATTGAATAATTTAGTGACTTTTTCATTCAGTAGTTCTGAGGATAACTCGTTGTTTGGAGAGATAAGTACTTGGTTGAAGTCATGGCGTTCACATGAATACTCGAATGTAAATTAGTCTGACTAGCGGGTACCATATAAGACGAAACGAGCATACACAATGCTACAGTTATCCATTATCCAAATGTTAAGTGACGAGTTTTAAAATTAACTTTTAGTGTCAAATTTGTAGATTAAATCCAGATCACAGATTGTTAGTTGAAAATGATCAAAAAAAGGTTGAATATTTAATTACTGCACAAGGAGTTTAAATGTTTCAGAGATGACAGTAAAGCTGCAGAATGTATTACTCAACTTAATAAGGTTCTGTTTCATTTAAATCTCGCCACCACGGTTATATAAACATTGAATGCATCGAGTTATTAATAATTCCATATAGTGAGGTATCTGATATAGATCTGGTGTATTTTGTTATCGGTAGTTTACAATTTTATCAACCAACCACAATATATATATAAGATTGTTTTTCACTAACAACCATAGAAGTTATTTGATTAAGATAGATCAAGTTCCTCGTTTTAGTGGATAGAAACAGACAGTAATAGTAAATAATTAAAAATTCAGTAGTAATAAGTCGTGTAGGTTGAACGCTATATGCGATTCCTAAGCTATTCTTGAAACCCGCAGACTAGAACTACACAGCGACTTGAACTCCAGAGAGAAGACACAAGTATGAGAGAAAACACTTTATCCCAAGGTTCGTTTTGGTACAGAAAATCAAGGGTATTTATAGATGTTGGCGTCTGTTAAATCAACATCATATTTCAGCCAATCCGTTAACGTCATGTTATGCTACCGACCAATGGTAGCACGCCACGCTGGAATTCTCGAACGTTCCATCATACTCTGATTGGCTAGGGCCCTTCGGCTCCTTTTTGGGCCTCTGGAGGCTCCGTTGAAGTTCTCCGGAAGCCGACCCAACAAATATAATGCAAGTGTATGAAGTAACACGGACATTCAAAGATGCATAGTTGTCTGATGAAACACACTTTAGATATACAAACATATTTCCGTTTTTTTTTTGAAATTAACATTTAAGTTCATGTAATAATCTACTGAGTAAAAATAAGGTTATTTAAATAATTTGACGTTAAATTCTAAAGGTATTCATTTAGTTAAAGTGAGAGTTGTTTACTACAATTTGCCTGTCAATTCTAAGTGATTTAGTCATGGTTTCGATAATTCTAATCTAAAGAATGAGATAGGATAAAAGATAATCAAATATCCTTAAGGCTAAATAGAACCTGAGGTTAATATTGATTAGTTAATCATAGATTTCTTGAACATTTTACTTCTTAGTCTATTTAATGTAATGATATTTGATGACTGAAAAATTGTAGGTTTTAATAATTAGATTATTATTTTAATAAATTACAGTACTTACAATATAGAGATAACTTCATCTATTCATATATAAGTTAAACAAATAGATTTGGTCTAATGTGAAAATTTTAGTACGTTACAGTTGGTTGCCAAGAGAAATTTGTTTAGTCTTAGTAAATTCAAATCAAGTCTGTTTATTCAACCATAATAGAATCTCATCATAAAATCTTATAGATGTTAGAAAAAATACTGTTAATATTGATTATCATACAGAAAGTTTATGGTTATTATGTTACAAAATCTATATATAGCCGTTTTCAATGATTTAGTATATGATACAATATTGGGTATGGCATAGACTTGTAGGGAATATTTTCTATTTTAAAGCATAGAAAAGTTAATGAGAATTAGTTAGTTATATAAGCCATGAAGATTGTTATTATGTAATCTTGTGAACTATTTGAATAAATATATTGTAAGTGACCATTGGAACTCAGCAAATAATTTGTGGAAGGATTTATTTTGATTGTATGATGAAAAGTAATCAGTCAACGCAAGTGAATCACGTAAATCTGACTGATTGACAAGGTAAGCATATTAGAGATTTAGAAAGCTCTGTTGGTATCCATTAAATGATGTTATTTATAACATTGGAAAAGAATATGTTAATTTTGTCAAAATCAAGTTATTTTATACAGAAGCCAAGTTTTGCAACTAACTGACAGGTTAGATCATTTGATAGTACCAGCCATATCAACTCTATACTTTTTATTAATAATCTTTTAAGTAGCATTAATTAGGGATGTTCAATCAGCAGAATGGTCGAATTTACTGAAACTTACATCAGAAAAGATACTCTTATTGACTCTTGAACGAACGAAAAGTAGTTTCACTAGTGATCTTGAGATGTATGTAAAATAAATTATTAGAACTAAGGACGTAACGTTTGCATTCATGGATACAGAAAGTAAATAAATGAAGATAAAGAAACCTTTTTAAAAAATATATTTACATAATTGTTTCGTAAATACATAACTTCATTTTTCCGGATAAAATTACTACTTTTTCCTCCCTTTGTATTCTTATCAAGTACTTTCATTATACGTAGATAACGTTTTGTATTCCATTGAAATTTAAGTAAATAATAATAGAAAAAGAAAATCATATTCTTACATGGTGAAATATCACGATAACGATTTTTTATTGAATTCTCGCTTAAACGAGACACATTCATTGTGAGACCAGATTTTCTTCTAGGCAGATGCTAGATATTTTAAAGATAAACAATTATTGTAAATTTTCTAATACCATGGTAGAATAAAATAACACATAAAAAGTGTATATTTAATTGTTCAAATATAGAAATATCAAAATCTAAGGAGGATCAAAAAATTGTTTTGTATAAAAGACTATGAAGAATTGTTTAGTTTTATCAGAGAAGATGATGGTTAGAAGTAGTCGGCAGGAAACCTTGGACCTAGGTTTCATGCTATTTGGCACTTTTGAGCAAGGTTTACCTGCAATCTTGATGGAACTAATACTTCCTGACTAATTCGATCCCGTGTCACTGAGGTTCACGGTCAGGAAAGTTATCACAGAGCTGTTCGGGCCGCAACTGACGTCTTATTGTTTTATCATATAGTAAATTGAATCGACAAAACTTGTTGTCTTTCTGAAGTCGTTAAAATAAAATGTAATAACATTATCGTTATTATTACAATTATGATCATAATTGAGACAAGATACACAGTAAATTAAATCTAGACAATCATTTTTTGTCTTTCAGAATGTTCAATTACGTTCAATTTTCAGATCTGACACAATAATATCCGTTTAAATGACAACTGTAAGAGTAACTACTAAGATAAATTAACTGATTTAAATAAATGATAAACTATCACTATATTAAGGAATTACTTCTAAAGTAATAATTACATCTAAAATAATATACAATCAACAAATATCCGTAGACTTACTTCGAATTGATTTAACAATGATCCATCAGCTAAATGATTTTCTAATTCTATCATTGAATCTAATAATGTGGAACCAGAAAAAGAATATCTATGTACGGTACTATTGTTATGATCTCGATCCATTGCATTATTAGATGATGATGATTTAAGTGAAAAACGTGTTAAACGTTTTGAATTTCTTGCAAATTTCTCTAAAGAAAGTGTTGGTCGACGGATAGATGAGTTATAAGATCTAGGTGGAACTGGAGGAGCATCTCCAGAATCTGGGATAGGATTGTCATCATTTACATCATCTGTAACATAATCTGTATGGGTAAAAATTAACACAAACTGATATTACGTAGTCAAATATATGTACATATATGATATGAAATAAAGTATAGCTTTTATTTTTTCATTATGAAAAGTTACAACACGGTGAATTATTTTACTTATTATTTGGAATGTTTCACTGTTTGCTTATCACTTCAGCAGCCCCCAAATGCCCTGGTTCGGCCGAGAGTGAGGAGAGTCTGCTCTCCCTCTCGTAACGCTCTCACATGGCCACGTGTATATAGCATCTGCCAGAGAAGTCCTACTCACTGGCTTTTCGTGGTGGGGGTGTTGTTTACGAGATTGAGAGGACGAAAAGCGAATGTTCGATGCTTCAACCGCGTTGGTGGACACGGAGAGTCGGAAAACCCTGATTGCAAATCAATGGTGCACATGGGCTCCAGTATCCTGAAGGGACAAATGGCATATGAACCAATCGTTGGTCACAGGCTACCGTGGGAATGCATATCCTTACGTTGCTCCACTGCCTTGTGGATCAGACCCTCAGGTCGAAGGCTCCGGGTGTGGCTCTCTAAGAAAACCACCTGCTCCTGTTTGGGCACCCGGGCAGTATCACAGTCCTCACATATATCAAATGAAATATGTGTGACACATATGTATTCGGTACCTCCTTGTACCAATATGTATGTGTTAAAATAAGTAAATAAAATTAATATCACTTCGGCATGTATTTGTTCTATAGTAAATGTGTTTGCATATATAAATTGTTAGATGAACTGAATAGTGCACACTTGTCGATTGCAGAACATATCTTATTGTTTAAGTAAGTAAATACGTGCATTTATCAATAAAAAAAAAGAAACTTTTGTGTCATTCATTAAAAAAAGTTTATATCAGTAATTTAAAGTCGGAATAAAGTTAAACCAAAGATCGAATGAAAAACCACAGCCGACGCAGATAGATGTAAGATATTGAAATGAATGATTTCGAAAGAAATATCTATGTCAATTTATTGCTTCATCTAATTTCTTCTATTCAAATTAAATTTATAAAAGACAATCAGGTAATACAATCAAAGATGGATAGTGGCTAGCAGTAGAATTCAGGACGCGCGTTTCGTCCTGTTTGGGACTCAGCTGGATGTACCTGCATTTCAGAGTTGATGTTCACTCTGGGACTCGAACTCAGTACCGTTCGTCTCAAACGCCATCGCGTTATTCACTTAGCTATTGAGTCCTGATAGCCACTTGCTTGTGCAATGGGGTGAAGTTTAATTCACTTGATTTTGTTTTACTTGAATCTTCCCATTGATGTTTTGGGACTGAATTTCACTGCTAGCTACTATCCATCTTTGCTTATAATGCTTGTAAATTAAGGCAATATCGAGGCATACGCACAGTATGCACATATGCCAATATGAGACTGATCAATTTCAGTCCAAAAACATCAATGGGAAGATTGAAGTAAAACAATATCAAGTGAATTAATCAGGTAATACGTTAAAAAAATATGAGCAAATGCATGTGCATGTTCGCGTCGACGATATGTCATATTAAGTTTCAAACTAGCAGAATATAGCTAACAAAGATTCGCAGTTTCCAATAGTTCACCAACTAATGGATAAAAACCATTTTCATAAACGTAATACTTATTTCATATTCAGAAAAATGACATCTCATCGTAATATTACTTCAAAAATGTACAATATACATTGTAATCTTGGGATGTACATAATGATTAACACATTCAAAATTATATTTATCATAATGTTAATATCTCAAGTTGTAATATTCATTTATAAATCTTTGTATTGTCCTATTTTACAAACAAATAAACTTTATAAGATTCTTCTCTAATGAACTAAATACTAGACAGTTCTTTAAATGGATTTACTTGGAAAATTGTAAGTAAAATGTTTATGTGTTTAACTTGTATGTACATCATTTTAATAATTATGTTATCTTTGAAAGATTTTGTTTACATTTTATTTAATAATATTCATAATAATACTGTTATCATTTATGGTTTCATAAAAAAAACAACATGAATTTCAAATTCCCCAGCTTCGTCATGTGTAAGTGTTTATATGTTGTGTTGTTTATTGAGAGGAATAAAAGGGGAAAAAGTTACATCTTTATGTCGTTTTTTTTTTAAAATTCAAAACCACTGCTCAACTACTTAATATTTGTTATCATAATTATGTTAATAATAAGGATAACAAAAAAAATTAGGCAAAGAAGGAAGTGTGAAAGAAACAATGTTAAAACACAGTAAAAAAAATTATTTTATGGTTTGTTAAACAAGGTACACAATTTGAATAATGAGCTAACAACAGAGCTAACAATGAAAGTTGGAAAAAAAACAACGTTCGTGTGTTACAAAAGAATTTAAATAAAAGCGGTTTAAACATTTCCGGTTACTGATAAAATACAATTCATTTATGTCGACATTATCAAATAATAATAATGATTAATAGTTTGATAACCAAAACTATTTTAATTATATTATTTAAAGTTACTTATTGACCCGTTATGAACATGAAAACTTAAATGAATATACATTGTTGTGAGAAGACAATATATTTAAGTGCATACTAGACATGATAGAATAAAAAAAAATCAATAGACTGTAATCCGATGGAACCTATTTAAGTTACCCCACCATTGAAAACCTGGAAACATTAGACATCCGTTTCGCTTTAGTATGGGATTCCTCAGTAGTGCGCATCCATACCTCCACACGCGGGACTAGCAGTCAATTTCTTCGGTCTCGCACGAAAACGGTTACTCATTAGATCATAAAACCGAAATACAGACTAGGACGAAATGGTCGTCTAGTGCTTCCAGATTTTCAATGGTGGTCTAACTTATATCGCTTTATGATTTCAATGAAATTCCACAATCTCCACAAGTTCATAATTAGAAATGTTGTAACCAGTTTAGCTTCGTCATATATATATATATATATATATATATATATATATATATATATATATATATATATATATATGGTACAAAAAAACGCAAAAACACACTCACCACTTGGTTTAACTAAAAGCTCAAGTGTACCATAATTTTGTTCACTTGCAGCACGTATCATATTTACAACCTAAAATTTCAGTTAAATAAAACAAAACAAAGACAATAGTTATAATTTGAAGTTTAATGTGAATTTGGACAATAAACTCGTCAATACAAAAAGAAAACAAAGTTTATAATGTGATGTTTACTGGCAAAAATTTGTTTTCTTTAATTATCTCAATTAACTAGTTATAATAGGAAATGGAAATCTGGAAATCTGGATTAGATAAGCAAGAAGATTGTAAACATTTCTAATTACACAATCAAATTAATGTAGATAATACAGAAGAGCGATGAGACAAAGAGGCACTGTTTAGTTTCTTAATTATTGTAATAATAAAGACAAACCGTTAAAACACTCGGTTGATTTATATCACGGTATTTAAATATATTCAAGAAGTGTTTTGTAACAACATCTGACATCATTAGGTTAAAGTGGAAAAGCAGGAAAAACTTTCCTCAAATGTGATGATTTACATTACTAACAAACTTCAGGAGGATAACCACTAAAAAAACAAGAACCATTATGGAGTTGATTAGCTTTTCTGAGGCACTCTATAGCAGTGTATATCCAAGACCTCTCGAAGCGTCAATATTGATCAGATAATATTACGAAACTAATGATATTGAAAATATGAATCATTGGATGTTAGGTTAATGTAGCAATGGTAACGTGTTCGCTTTGAGAACTTAGAGACCTAAGCTCATTTCCTATTACTTTTATAGGAATGCACTGCTGAAGGATCCTAAACACAGCTGTTTGTTCAATGGTTGTCTAAATGAAGTCAGTTTGCTACGAATACTTTCTTCACACTGGATAATCATTTCAAAACTTCGATCCTAATTTCTTCAAATAACTTGATTACTACCATTATCATCTATAGACAGTTAGTTATGCTTTCCAAATAGTCTTGGAGAACTCTAGCGGTCTACAATTATTCTATTTTGCTGTTCATCTGACGAGATAATTCGTACATCAAAAGTGAATATTTAAAGTGTTATTAAATGAAATCAATAATTTCTGAAAAATACAAAAGAGCCAAAACAATGTGAGAAGAGTAAAAAGTGTTTGGAGATTACGTGAAAGTTAATGTTATAAACATTAGGTGCATTAAACGACAGTCATAACTCAATACTAAATGCATATTAAAGAGTATGCTATTTCATGTTATACAATCATTAGCATTACTGGTATTAATTGGTTAATCCGATTTATGATTCAGTCTCCGGTTTCGGAAAATTTAAACCATAAAAAGCAAACAGAACGTTGAATAGTTTAAAAGCGATTACCAAAAATTGGTTTAACGCATCTGAGGAATTTATAAACTTGATATTGACTGCGTAATGAGGAGCCACAATCATGGACGTTATGTTGATCTGTTTTTTGATCAGACTGATTTTTATGCAGGAACTAATTCAAGTAAAAACTAATGGTATGCTGCCTGATTTTCAGCACCTATATAATTTGTTTTACAACAATGTATCGTATTTGTTTCTATGCCCTTTCAGAGACTCCTTATTGTATATTCTCTTGAGCTACGATCATATTATTGATCGCTACATGGCAATACAAAGTCAAAGATTCTGCCTCAGTAGAACGCTTCTTTATATATTAAATGATTAAATTTCACAGTAATCACTATTAATTTCAGGAAGTGATAACATGTCGTATCAATCAAATTAGACAACACATCCAAACGAACTCCTTATTTTTGAATAAAAAAACTTATAATGTTACCTGTAAATGGGTCTGGTTTGAAACATCTTTATGATTGATGAATAAGATTTGATCACCCTCTGAAAGTCTAGGAATGCATAAGTCAGCAGGCATATTAGCACCGACACGACTAACTATAATCGGCATTCCATGATCAATCCCACCTTTTACGTTGAATCCAAATCGTCCATGACTGTCAGGTCTGATGGAAATACGGACTAGTCCTTCGGAATTTAATTCATTAATTTCATCAGGTGGGTGAAGTGAATTTTCAACGTCTGGGGCACCTGGATGAAATGGATCTCTATTTAAACCTTTATTACGCGTGTGTTGGGAGTTATCGATTTCAACACCATTATTGTTTGTTACATCTGAATGCTTTTTGAGAAAAAGAATAGATTACTTGAAATGATCATTATGAAACAAAATTAGTCGATAATAACCAAAAAAGATGCGATAATTATGGATGAAAATTTTATTGAGTAATCTCACTTAAACACATTAAGGATTATAAATGATTTTTATGTCTTTTTAGACAACGCACACAAAGCTAAGTGATAGACTAACACAAAACGTTAACTTAAATTGTATCATTTCAATCAATTGGAATTCTCAAGGGGAGATCAATCAACACCGGACAGTGTTAAAGCAAATGTGATTTTTAGCTGTGGTCAATCCTTAGTATGATACTAATTTCCTGTCATTTAAATAAATTATGATAAATATAGAATAATTGATTGCATTTGGAAATCCCTACTTTTCATTGTAAGATTCCAGTTAACAATTCTCTGGCTCGTATACGCGTAAATTTTAAGTTCATCCGTTTTGAATATATTCATACGAACATTTGAAATCTATTATTATTATTATTATTATTATTATTATTATTATTATTATTATTATTATTATTATTATTATTACCATTAGCATTGTTACTATCAGGTTTAGGTTCCTCCCAGTACCCAGTGATTAAATATTTTTGATTGTAATAAAAAAAACAGAAAAGATAAATTAAGTGATCGTAATCGTAATAAAAATCCTTTAGTTTTTATCCGAGGCAACATTTTTTTAAAGTTACTGTTTTCTTATATCTAAAATCCATTCTTAAAAATAAATGGGTCGATAAACACATGTACACGTAACTTATTGTTCATTCATTCATGGATACATCGACAAATATAATTACAATTAGATAACTTACATTCATCATCTAATAGTATAGGATTTATATGATAGGGATAAAAGTATCAAATTCGAAAGAAATGGGTCCACACAAAACTAAAGATAATATGTGTAGTAATAATAATTGCTATTATTACTACAAAACATAACTAATGGGATACAATTATAGAGTAAATAAGAACGTTAGGCAAAACTTCTGTTTAAACGACACTTTGAGATGAGAAAAGAAGAAACGATTAAAGACTTTGAGTGATCATCTATACATACTAACACCATACAATTAGCGATGCATCAATAAACGTTTAGATAGATAGATGGATAAATATGATCAACTTAGGGTCTGATGCGGGCATATATTAGTTCAAATTTTCATGTTTTACATCGACATACAGAGAGAGTGAATAAGGTAGTTTCTAGGGAGAAAAGTACATGAATCTGGATAATAATACTCGTGATAATGAAATGTTAAATGTACAAGATATTACAGAAAAGGGAAAAAAATGAAATTGGAAGGTAAAACGTATAGAATAATATCAAACTATCTAAATTAAGATTAGTGGTGAATAGAATTATGTCACTGCGGCTGGTTTTGAATCATAGGTTGAGTAACATGATTGAGATAGCGTTTACAGCAGTTTCAATGATCAAACAAATAGAAAGATGCAAAAATGAGCCCTGACATTAAAATATTTATCACTCAGAGTTCATTTAAGTACGATTAGTAGGAATCATAGTGTATAAGAGCTGAATATTGAAACTAACGATATCACTAGTAGTAGACAAATAAGTGTTAAGAATCAAGAAAGAGGTATAAATAAGGGGTGAAAGATAAACGGCAATATGATTTTTGGTGTTTAAGCTAAAAGTAAACACTAGATTCAGTTGGAATGTTAAAAATTGAGTAACAATTTCAACCGTCACTAATAACTGTTACACATATAATTAAAAAAGTTTGTATTTTACTGCATAAACCAGGTCAGCAATTTTAATACATGAAAATAGGTCGATGGACTCGATTCTGTAAACTAACAATAACTCACTAAGATGTTTCATACACTTTAAAGCAAGTATGTAATAAATTTATGCCCAATGTATCTAAATGAATGTGCTCTAATTCAGTACTTATATCACGTGAAACTTGAATATCAACATGTACGAATGACAAGCTACAAACTAATATCACGGGTTCTTTCCAACTAATTATGCGAAGCAATAATGAGTAAATTAAAATATGTCAGTCAATCGAACGTTACTGAAAAGATGACGATCAAATAATGAGTACTGATGGAGATCAGATTAATGATTGAATGCCCTTTCAAATGAGCATTTTTAATTAATACAATAGTCACTCATTTATAAATTGTCACACAAAATAAACGTAAATATTTCGGTGATCAAAAACCAATTAAAAGTCACTGATTAACTAGTTAACTAAAATCCTAATTATCTGACTTACTGATGATCGATATATTAAAATCTGACGAGAAAAGAATGATACCAATTATTTATATTGTCCAATACGTTCATAGTGAATTAACTCAAACTATAGCTAAGTTTCAGTACATTTGAAAGTAATCGAAGAACTGTTTCTACTTATGGCACTTGTTACTACGAGAATTGTTGAAGGTATACCAAGATATCTCTTGTGAAGTGTTCAGGGTTGTTCTACAATCAACCATAACCCGACATACCCAAAAGTTTATCATAAAGAGGATATTTTCCAATCAATATATTTGATAGGACTTTTAAAATTAAACAATGCTTAGAGTATTCGTACCCGAAATAACGCAACCAGTCATAAAAAATACTGCAGATAATTTGATTTCAATAGGACTAAAATCATTTATAAAAGTCTAGTACAATAAACAAGCTGAATAAATATGATAGAATGAAATATGTTACATCATGGTCATTATTAACAAAAACATAAGCAAACAAAAAAGAGGAGATATAAACTATCACCTGAGACTTCTATATCCGTTTTCTTCAACTAGCATAGTAAGTAATTGTTGAGTAAATTATTCTGTCTTGTATATTATCCCGTTTATTTACTTTTGATCACTATACCAATAAATAAATATATACACAATTTGTGGAGATTGCAGTATTTTCACACTTAAATTCACGAGAAACTAGCTTCAAGACGGAACTCCTAGAGTTTCAGTGAGAAGTCGTGACCAGTGAAGTCCAATCCGTGTCGGGTGGAGACAGTTATCCACCTGAGAAAATAGATGGAGGGTTGTACAAGATCATCGAGCGATGGACGTTAGACATTAACACCGTTGAACACTGGCTCAGTGATCTAGAGGTTAAGCGTTCGCACGCGAGTTCAAAGGTTCTGGGTTCAAGTCCTGAGTGCAGACTCGTGGATATGCACTGCTAAGGACTCTAATTATAGGACAAAATGATCGTTCAAAGCTTCCAATGGTGATTTAACTTAGATTGACTCGTGAACTTAACTGTGGATATATGCGATTACATATCAATTTTCAATTAACTAATGCGATGATGAGTTTAATTTAATTGCTATCAACCAGTATGTATGATACAATTTTGATCATAAACAGAAGTCACAAAATGATTATTGGTTAGTAATAACGCGCATACACGTATACAAATATAACAATTCAAACACAATTTATAACAAATAACGTTTACAACTGAGGTTATCCGCAATATTACAAATGTTATTTTATAAAACCAGTAATTTCGAGCATTGTCCAATTCATTCGATGAATAAGAGCTATAAGCTACAAGGTGATTGTCATTGACAATTTTATCTTAAGCTCTAAATTTTACCAGATCTGTATTATTTAGATATCATGTTATGCATCACTAAACTGACCATTTCATAGCAGACTATTGTGAATAGCTTTAGACGCTTAAAATGAAAGATTCAATGAAAATCACACTTTAATATTCAGAATAGTAAATTAACTGAAAGTGCTTGTGACATATTTTTGTGACATAAATATTTAAACGCTAAACTATTGAGAATAACCTAAGTTACTCCAAAATTACAAATTCAACTCAACGTATAAATATAATCTGTCAATTAGTGAATAAAAATTTGTTTTTTCAGACCATAGTTACTTTTAATAGTTTTTATTATTGATAACTTCATTGATAAAGCTGTAAATTTATTTATCAAGAAGTTTCCATACATATAAACAAGATTCATTCATACATAGTTAAGCATATATATTAAATACATGTTACTTACATCAGTAAAATCAATTCAAGCAAACAAACAAACTAACAGGATATAGCTAGTTATTATTAATGTTACATAGATAAACAATTTTAAATCTAAGAAGTACGCATTGACTATTGTGATGTTATTATCTCGTTTTATTCCATGTCAAATAACGTACTAGTTTTAAGACTTGAGAAATTTTGAGCAAAAAATTCTTCTTCTAAGTATATGAATAGAAAAATGGCTGTAGTAAATAAACCACAGGAAATGATGAGAGTATATTTGTTGGCAAAATAGAATTAATGATTTTTCTTGGAAATAAATAAAAATAGGAAATTGTTTCATTTGTGTATCTTTACCATTGGTAAAATCACTAAACGAATTAAGAAAAAATTACTACTACTAAGTTAAAATATAAAAAAATGTTGGTAAACATTAAGAAGCGGGGTATTTTTTCTGGTTGGCTATTGTTTAATTTTATTGTCGTGAGGTAATGACTCACTGTAGACAATGGTGGACGGTTGCACAATATTGTGGATTGGTTGAAGTTAGATATTAACACCATTAAATGCCAGCTCAGTGGTCTAAATGTTAAGTGTTCGCGCGCAAGAACGAAGGTCCTGGGTTCGAGTCCTTCGTGAGGGATCTTGGATGAGCACTGCTGAGTCCAATAGTAGGACGAAACGGCCGTCCAGTGCATCAAGGTTTTCAATGGGGGTTTAACATTGATCCATTCATGATCTCAATTTGAACTCAATAGTCACCACAATTCTGTACTGAGTTTATTCATTGATTCCTCCTAGTGTGTGCATGTATGTAAACTAGGATTTCATAGGTCAAAACGAACAAGAGTACAGATATCTAATCAGACGCGATAGTATTGTATTATGCAATATTTTTCTGTTATGTAAAATATGATTATTTGAAAAGTGAAAGAAATCATAAATCAAATCGAACTACAATATAAATGGTTTGGTGACAGTCAAGATAAAACAATGAA